TCACCATTAGACTAACCGTCTCCGAATTCACAGAAAGAATGTTGGGAGGAGTGTGATTATCCAACATCTCATTGAACAGAGCCCAAGCTTCACTCTTTTTACCATACTTGAGAAAAACTTCCAAAAGCACATTTCCAGTCGGTGGATGCATTCTGAATTTCTTATTTAACAAAGAATGGTAAGCCTCCATAGCTTCCTTATCCTTACCCTGCTCGAACCAGTACTCCATAAAGGTTGCATTCACAATCCCATCATAAACTATACACCTTAACTTCAATTCATCAAAGAACTCATTGGCCATAACCAAATCTCCAAGGTCCAAGTACCCTCTTATCAGATTGTTGTACACAATCGAATCCGCAGCTTGACCTTTGCTCAACATCTCCTTTAATAAGCTCGCAGCATCTCCGATCCTTCCAGCTTGAACCAAACCTTTAGTCAAATGTCTATAAGTAACCGACGACGGAGCAAAAGGAGCGTTTGCTATTATGTTGCGGTACACTTCAAGGGCTTCCTCCACATGCCCTTCGTCACAATGAGCGTTGATGATCTGATTGTAGGAGACAACGTTGGGGACGATGTTGGACTGCTTGAAGAAATACTCGAACAGAGAAATCGAGTCACTGTAACGCTTGGCTCGGTACATGGCGGCGATGATGGCGTTGCAGGTGAACACGGTGGGCCGAGTGTTGGAAAACACTGACTGGCGAGCGAGACGTGACGCAGCGTCGAGATCTGATGCTCTGATCAGTGACTGGACTCTGTTGTGTAGGTTAAGCCGTTGCCCGACGAGTGAGGAAGTGGAATCCGGAACCCGCGGTGCGTTGGGATCGCGTTTCGGAGGAGGAGCTGAGGGATCTCTTCGGAGAGCGTGGAGAGGAGGCTCGATTCTGAGACGGCGTTTGCGGCGGCGACGCTCGGCCGCGGCTTCCTCGGCTGATGAGAAGGCCATGGTTCGCTGCGGGATCGGTGGAGGGATTGGGGGATAGGTGTGATTCGGAGGGATATGGAACTGGGAAGGATCATTAGCTGGAAATGAATTAGGGATTGGGCTCGTCTCGGAATTTTGATTGTCAGTGTTAGTCTCCGGATGTTGATTATCCGGGGAAATTGAGATGTTGTAGAAGCGTTGGTGGAGGGGTGAGATCGGAATAGGGCTCCGGCTGGTGGTGGTGGCTGAACAGAGACGGTTGAAGAGGGAGGAACGGCGGCGGAGGAGGTTACAGATAGCCATGGCGGAGGAAAAGGGTTAGGGTTTTACAGTGGTGTGGCTTAAACCCTTTGTGAATTGCAAATGAAATGGGATATTTGACGACCAAACAAAAAAATTGAAAATAATACTCCAAACGGCGTAGTATTATTTAGTGGGATGTTTGGTGATACGTTTATTAGTATTCAAAGGACGAGTAGAGAAGGCGTAAGATAACAAGGTGCGCAGGAGAAACAAAGGGATTAATTTCACCTCCCAGCGCAAATTAGGGCTTCTCCTTCGCAAGACTGTGTTCGTCACTCTAGCTTAAACCAGTACTTTCTCTGTCTCTCTATCTATTATTTTGTCGCATTTGCATCAACAGTCACTTTTTTAAAGAAGATGAAAGAAATTAAATTCTGGATCATGCGAGTTTTATTTAAACTTTTTGTTCTTGTGATGAATTCAACTTTCCGGCAACATCGATTTTCCAAGCTTCAAAATTTCTTCCGAAATTGAGAAACCCATCTTGTTGGTTTTGCTTTCTGGTGATGGCCATTGATTGGCATCCAAACAATCGTCGTTTAGTAGCTCGGAGAATTCGAATTGAGTGCCTTCGAAATCTCTAATTACATTTCAAAAATATTCTCTTTTTGTTAGATTTTAAAAGTCTGAATCTTTCTAGCTTCGTGCTCATGAGTTATCGATTTCACAGTGGCATAGTGATTTCTTAAGTATTTGATTGCTTCCTTCATTTGAATACTTAAGCATTTCATTGGAGATTATCCGGTTTATATAAACACTATCAATGCTATGTAAAAATGGATTATTTTTCAGTTCTTTGATGAGATAATTGATTATACATTTTCAAGTAAGCACATAGCTTTGATCTCTTTCTCCAAAGAGAGACTTTTACCTATTGCATCTTGGTACATGCTCAAGAAGGTAATGTGCTTGAAATCTAAGATAACTCTGTTCATGTCATGTGCTTGTCAGGCAATCTTACTGAAGATACTAAAGGAGCAAAATGTCGGATGATGGTGGACAGATGTTGCTCATCTATGATGATCCCTCAGATCATAGATCTCTATCTTTGGACGATGCCAGTAGTACTGAAGAGTCTCCAGATGGGAACACTCTCTCTTTAGAAGAAGTTCACGAAGCCATTCCATACATCGGACAAAGATTCCTTACACATGATGCTGCTTACGAGTTCTACAGTACGTTTGCAAAGCGTTGCGGGTTCTCAATACGTCGTCACAGGACAGAAGGGAAAGACGGAGTTGGCAAAGGACTTACCAGGCGGTACTTTGTTTGCCACCGAGCTGGTAACACACCTGTCAAGACTATGAGTGAAGGGAAACCACAGAGAAACAGAAGATCTTCTCGGTGTGGATGTCAAGCATACTTGAGGATTAGTAAAATAACTGAGCTAGGTTCGATAGAATGGCGTGTTACAGGCTTTGCTAATCACCACAACCACGACCTCCTGGAACCAAACCAAGTTCGTTTCCTTCCTGCATACAGGTCCATATCAGACGCAGATAAAAGCCGGATTTTGATGTTTTCGAAGACGGGGATCTCAATTCAGCAGATGATGAGGCTCATGGAGCTTGAGAAGTGTGTTGAGCCTGGATTTTTACCTTTCACCGAGAAGGATGTCAGGAACTTGCTTCAGTCGTTCAAGAAACTTGATCCTGAGGATGAGAACATTGATTTCTTGAGGATGTGCCAGAGCATAAAGGAGAAAGACCCTAACTTTAAGTTCGAGTTTACGTTGGATGAAAACGATAAGTTAGAAAACATTGCCTGGTCATATGCCTCTTCCATTCAGTCATATGAGATCTTTGGAGATGCTATAGTCTTTGATACAACGCATCGCTTAAGTGCAGTTGAGATGCCACTTGGAATATGGGTTGGAGTTAATAACTACGGTGTGCCTTGCTTCTTCGGCTGTGTCCTTCTGCGGGATGAAAGTTTGAGATCGTGGTCATGGGCACTACAGGTAACAACTTCTGTTTATTATACTTTGGTTGAGTAGAACATATGGCTTCTCATATAACTACTTGAAAAAGGTTCTATGCTTAGAGAAACAATCCATTTTGCTTCTACCTGACATTCGTTTATTGTTTGTCTCTTACGGAAGGCGTTTATAGGGTTCATGAATGGGAAGGCGCCTCAAACGATACTGACAGACCATAATATGTGTCTCAAAGAAGCCATAGCTGGAGAGATGCCAACCACTAAGCATGCACTTTGCATATGGATGGTTGTTGGAAAGTTTCCATCGTGGTTTAATGCCGCTCTTGGAGAGCGGTACAACGACTGGAAAGCTGAGTTCTATCGCCTCTACCATCTGGAGTCCATTGAGGAGTTCGAGTTGGGTTGGAGAGACATGGTGAACTCTTTTGGACTGCACACTAACAGACACATAAATAATTTGTATGGCTCACGTTCCCTGTGGTCTTTACCATACCTGCGAAGCCATTTTCTAGCTGGAATGACTTTGAGTGGCCGATCCAAAGCCATTAATGCCTTTATTCAGAGATTCTTGAGCGCTCAAACCAGGCTAGCTCACTTTGTAGAACAAGTATGTTTCCATATTCTTCTGACAGTGCTTATTCATTGGAACTGAATATGTTACTCACACTAAGAAAAAGTCTATGGATAGTAACATTTGATGTCATGAAATTGTATTTCTGAAGCGTGTTGTGTTTGCTATTCTGATTATTTGAGTAACGGTTGAATATATGCAGGTGGCTGTTGCTGTGGATTTCAAAGACCAAGCCACAGAACAGCAGACAATGCAGCAGAATCTCCAAAACATCAGCCTGAAAACCGGAGCCCCCATGGAATCTCACGCAGCTTCTGTCCTCACTCCTTTCGCATTCTCCAAGCTCCAAGAACAGCTTGTGCTTGCAGCTCACTACGCATCGTTCCAGTTGGACGACGGGTATCTCGTGAGGCACCACACTAAACTCGACGGAGGAAGAAAAGTCTATTGGGTTCCTCAAGAAGGCATCATAAGCTGCAGTTGCCAGCTGTTTGAGTTCTCTGGGTTTCTCTGCAGGCACGCGCTCCGTGTTCTCTCGACCGGAAACTGTTTCCAGGTCCCGGACAGGTACCTTCCTCTGAGGTGGCGGAGAATCAGTACGTCTTTTAGCAAGAGTTTCAGAAGCAACGCTGAGGATCATGGAGAAAGAGTGCAGTTTCTGCAGAATCTGGTGTCGTCTCTGGTCTCGGAATCGTCCAAGTCAAAAGAGAGGCTAGAGATTGCAACCGAGGAAACCTCCTTGCTGTTGTCCCGCATCAGAGAGCAGCCTGTCTCTTCACTTGCTCTCCGAGACATTTCTTCTGTGCAGAGGAATTTTTGATACCGGATAGGATTTAGTTGCCTAAGTGACCATAGTGAGGATGAGAATTGATTTAACTGCAACTGTGCAAGTAAATAAGAAATGTCTTGAGAGAAAGCTTAGGTGATGTAATGAGCAAGGTATATTATGTTTGGCTATCATCATCATAATCATCATAATTTTAAGAACTTTATGATCTTTTCTTTGATTGACTTTAACCTCCATTTTCAAATCATGTTCTGAGTATAAGCAAAGGAAATGTCATCATAAGATAGTGTTGGTTTCGAAAACGAGATGATCAAATCCATCTCAAGTCACTAAAAAGGAGAAGAAAAGAAACGTACATTATTAATCCATAGAGATTCGTAACAGGCAGAAAAAAACAAACTGAAAATAACTTGAAGAAGCGAAACAAATCCACTCTTTTATTTGGAAATGAAAACCTAACTCGGTTGGACTCAGTTGAAGTAGATGGCTGCCAAGGCGATGGCGATGACTGAGAAACCAAAGATGAAAGAGATGACGACGAAAACAATAGATCTAGGGTTCACAGTGCGAGCAAACGCGTGGAGGAGCTGGAAGAAGAAGTAACCGACGGATGCGTAAGCAAAAGCGCGGGAAAACGGCTTGCTCGGGTTTGTCTCGTACGCTCTCAACTTGGGGTGGATCAGAGAGAAAACCACGCAGTTTAGCGCAGCCATGGGAATGTGCTCGAAGCATCTCCTGAATCCCTCGTTATCGTTCATCTTCAGCCTCGCTGGAAACAAAAACGCAAGCTTTCAGTTTTATCTTTCCAAAACAAAACAAAAAATCAAAAAGATGACAAGCTTAGCTGCTTCACCTTAGTTTTTCTCCAAGGATCGTTCAAAGAAAAGCAGTGTAAAAGAGAGAGAGAGAAAGAAAAGCAGTGTGATTATAGAGTGGGAGGATAAAGACAACGAGCCAAGTCCGGTGACTGCACTGCAATGCCAAATATTATGGATAAACTTATTAATATTTGTTTTGATTTTTAATTTTCGTTTTGCCACGTAATTGAAACCAGCTTGCTGACAAAAACTGTTTTTCCGTACGAGAGAGTCAGCCAAAAGTAACTTGGACTGGAAGAGTAAAAATGGACTAGAAGAGAGGAAATAAACAAAAAAAAATGTTACAGATCATCTTCAAAATTTACAGCTATGAACAACAAACAAAGAAGAAGCACTAAACAATATCAAAGAAAATGTCAGATAAAACAAAAATTGTGTACATGTTGCCACAAGTTCCAATTTGATCGTCAATTGGAATCAAAATAATGGGCCTAGCAATTTCATAAAGCCCAACCTTTACGGATTTATCCAACAGGTCCGACTCATCCGATCCAACACGTGTCATGCTCGAACACACAACCAATGCGTGGAGAAAAAAGTCAACACAGAGTGGGGACCCGTCTCGATTTCCTGCAAAGGACGATGATCAGCACGTCAAAACACGTGTCAATCAGTTATTTGCGAACATTCGGGAGTTGCTTGAAATTTGGAGAAGCAATTTAAGACAGATTAATTAATTTTTTTCGAATTGATTCAGGATCGGTTTGTAGAAAACCGAACGTAGTACAGTATGTACTTTCAAATATTAATTGAGAGTTAAGACGAAAAAGCAAAAAAACAGGCTTTTTCGAGTTATGACAGTAAACAAAATCGGAGCGATTCGATCTTGGAAGAGAACGTTGATTAACCATTTTCACATAATATTCTGAGTATAATCACAGGAAATTGTCATCATTTCTTTATTTTAAAGTCGTGAATCTACCTGTGCAATTTCGTTAAATCATACTCCTGTGATTTTGGGAAACGAGATAAAAACAAACGTAACCATAGATTCGTTACAGACAAGAAAATAAACTGAAAATTACTTTTAAGTAGTTAAAACAAATCCATCAGATTTTACTTAACGAACCCTAACTCGGTTGGACTCAGTTGGAGAAGATGGCTGCAAAGGCGATGAGGATGACTGCGAAGTTGCAGGGCACAGAGATGACGTCGAAAAGCATAGATCTAGGGTTCCTGGCGCGAGCAAAGGCGTTGAGGAGCTGAAGGAAGGCGTAAGCGACGGCTGCGTGAGCGAAAGCGCCGGAAAATGGCTTGCTAGGGCTTTTCTCGTAGGCTCTCAAGTAGGGGTAGATGATAGCATGCACCAGGCATGGCATCACACTTATCACAGTCCGAATCCCAAAGTTTCTTCCCCTTTCCTCGTCGTTCATCTTGAATTCTCTGAGAGAAAAGTAAAATCACAAACAGAGAAACGAAATATAAGTTAACAAATCGCAAGCTTCATCTTAAATTAATTTTCTCGAACATCTTTGAAACTCAGTAGAAAGGAATTAAGTGAGAGAGAGGAGAGGAAGATAACCAGTGATTATAGAGTATGGGAGGATAAAGACGACGAGACAAGTCTAGTGAGTAGTGTGACTGCACTGCAATGGCATATATATACTATATATATATATATATATTTACGAAAATTATTACTATTAGTTTTGATTTTTAATTTGCGTTTGCCATGTAAATTGTAATTGTAATTGAAGCCAGCTGGTTCTGTTATTGATGGGTTAAAAGTAAAAGTAAAACTGCTTTTTCTTCGTACGAGTCAGCCTCTCTCTCTCACACAGACACGACACACATTTTTAGTGGTACTCTTTTTTTATATACTAGGAATTGCAAGTGCCAAAGCGGCAAAGCCCAAAGGTTTAATTAATATCATGCATACAACATGTTTACGTACATAAAGACTTAATTTTTTGGATTTTGTGTGTTAGTAGTGTTACGGATTTCTCAAGTGTACTTGGAAGAGGAAAAAGGTTTGTGAGTTATGTCTTGTGTGACACGTAAAATTACCTTTTCAAAGTTTTATCAAGTTTTTCGTTTTCTTTTAACAGATAAACGTGAATTCGAAGTTGGTTTTCAGAACCAACAAAAGGAAAATACTTAAAACTTGATTGGCTGATGAGACGATATGTTGTTAAGTTCTAAAAGGAAAAACAAAACAAAACTAAAACAGAAATTGTTACCATTTTCAAGACATCATATAATTTCAAACTGAACCAAAACCAACCTAATTCATGTTGGTCTGGTTTTGGTAAGTTTTTATCAAACTGCCCTCCACACTCTAGTACCAAACTCGAGTCTAACTTGAATTATTGACCTAAAAGACTAAAGTGGATAATCAATTCCCAAAAAATCTTGAAGTTTCAAGTTGCAATCTAAAACATTTGATTCATTGTCCACCCCGTATCGTACCATTCCCTCAAAGAAAACCAAACGTGGGTGACTGGGTGTACAATAAACAAAGAAATATTAAATGTTGTCCCAAAGAAACTGGTAACCAAAACTCCAAACCCAAAAATTCCCATATAGATTAAAATTTTGTACAACTGAATCAAGAAACAATGTACCACGACCAACAAAATCCTCCACTCGGCTAAATTACATATCACTAGCATATTAGAAGAAAGTAAATAAACAAAAATTGTTACAGATCTTTTTTGTTCCAAAATTTACAACTATGAACAAGAAACAAAGAAGAAGGAACAAAACTAAACAAGATAAAATAAAATGTCAGATGAAACGAATAAAAGAACTTTCACACACCCACAAAAAAATAAATCAAATTTTGTCACCGAGTGTTACCAGGAGCTGCCAGATGCGGAAACTTCTCTTTAAGAACACGAGCCGTTCTCTGGTCAAACGATGCTCTATCTTCGACATTCAGTTTCTTCTTTTTCTTCTCCGTCACGTATACTGATCCTCTGTTTCTACTCTGTTCCCTAATCATTGGCACCAAGTACCAAACGATACAAGTGCACATGATCGAGACGGTTCGTCCGAAAAACACCAAGAAGATTAGAACCAAGATCGCTGTCACGGGCAAGAAATGGTTCGGTCTTGAAATCTTCTCCAGCTTCTCGTGCAATACACAGCTCTGTTTCTGCTCTGTTCCTGACTCTCTTATCTTCATTTCTATTTCTTCCTCTGTTTTTGATTCGGTCTTGACCTTGAAGTTGAAGTCATCTTGAGCATCCTTCTTCTTCGTTACCCTCTTTGTCTTGATCATGACAGGGACGCACTCTCCGGAGCTTTTGAACACAAACCGAATGAGAGGCAGCCCATCGGAGTCGATCCTCTTTGAGTAAATGCTCTGTCTCTTCTCGTCCAGCTCAGAGAGAAGTGCAGAGAACTTTTCAAGCCCACGATCTGAAAAAGGGTTCTTGCTTTCTTTGCTTCCTTTTCTGCATCTCTTAGGTGACGAAAAGGGACTCACCATTTTGATTCGATAAATTAGGATCCTCTGTTATTTTTTGTACTGGTGAGAATTGGAGAGATTAAAGGTTCTTGGTTGTGGAGGATTAGTTGTTAGAGATTTAGTTTTCGGACTAGAGAAGACGGCTTTGTTGTTAACTTATGAGACTTGTCTTAAATTATACTATGTGATTTTTTGGTATAAACAAATAGATTGGTGATATGACCAGATCTCATTAAATGTTATCAATTGATCCGATCACGTATTTTAGACACTTTTTTTTCCCTTGGGACGAGTACAATAGTTTCCACACAAAAAAAGAAACGTCATCCCAGATGTAATTTCGCTGGTCTTGCTGATTGACTTTCTTGCTGAAGAAGCAAGATTTCTTTCCATGATAATGTAATCGTTTTTTTTTTTTTTTTTTTTAATTTGTTTTGTTTATCATTAGTACATTGTGAATTTTGACTGAGATAAAGAAGATGAGAAATTCATCTATAGACATCTAGTTGGGATTTAAATGGCAATTTAGAGAGAAAGTGGAAGGAAGTTATAACCAATAAAAGCAACAAATAACGTGTTGACAAGAAAAGAAGAAGGAAGCAAGTCATGTGATGTAGGACAGTAGGAGGGTAACAAACAATACTCTTAATTTGTTTGAGACTTTGAAAATAACATACGTTTGGTTTCGATTCGGTATATTAGGTTCGGTGCAATTTGATTATCAGGACTGCACAAGAGGGTTCGAAGTTGTGAAATATTCAAAACAAGCAGAGAAACAGACCACTCTATGTAATGTACATATATGTTAGTATGTTACAGGCACACTTCAAGCTTGTAATAAAAAAAAAAAAAAAAAAAAAAAACACAGCTTCCATGGCATCACGACTCGCTTAAACTGCAAGTTATTCGTCTTCTTCTTCAAGACTATATAACAAACATAACTAGCAAAAGATATATGTAAATTACTCGTAGATGACTAGACCTCATAGCTCAGTGTTTAAGGTTGAAGTTTGTGGGTGGTAATGAAGCATCTCATTCCACATCATATCTCTAATCATCTCCTCTCCCAAATCCTCATCTACATCGAGATCATCAACAGGAACTTGAGCGGGAGGGTTTGCATTCGGATCATATAAAGCCGCCATGTAAGGATGCTGAAGCGCTTCACTGACACTAATCCTCTTAGACGGGTCAAAAACAAGCATCTTCTGTAGAAGGTCAATGGCCAAAACACTAGCTCCCGGGTAAAGCCGGGACAAAGACATCCCGGGCGAGTAAGGGAGCGATCTGATGTATCTTTTAGCTTTGTGGTTATCTATAAACTCAAGATCTTCTTCTCTCTGGCTCCCAAGAATGTTGACAATGAGTTTCAGCTGGTTTAAGCACTCCGTTCCTTGGAATATCGGTTTCCTACCAAGAAGCTCGGCGAAAATGCAACCAACGGACCAGACATCGATTGATGTTCCGTAGTTGTCACAGCAGAGGAGAAGCTCAGGAGCTCTGTACCAACGAGTCACAACGTACTCAGTCATGAACTGACCCTTGCTGTTGCTCGTCCGTGCAAGTCCGAAATCGCATATCTTCAAATCGCAGTTTGCGTTGACAAGGAGGTTGCCAGGTTTCAAATCTCTGTGCAAGATGTTCGCTGAGTGAATATACTTTAGCCCTCGAAGTAACTACACAACAAGAACAAATCAAACACAAAAAGTATACACAGAGAGCACTGAGCAGGAGGATCATGAACATATACCTGGAACAAAAAGTATTGGCAGTGATCGTTACTAAGAAGCTGAGATGATTTGATGATCTGGTGGAGATCTGTGTCCATGAGCTCATAGACGAGATACACATCCTTGAAGCTTCTTTTATGAATCGGCATCATGACATCTTTCAAAGCAATCACATTCTCGTGACGAAGATGGCGTAGAAGCTTGAGCTCTCGGAGAGTCCTCAAGGCATCGATTCTGTTCTCGTAGACGTTGTGAATCTTCTTGATAGCGACTTTCTCGTTGTTGTTGTCAGTGTTGACAGAGGAGCAGACTACACCGTATGCTCCACGGCCGATCGGTTTGATCGGCATGTATTTGGTGTCGATTTCGAACAGGTTTTGCCACATTGAGAAGTAATGCTTCCCTTCGTTCACAATCCCGTTTGGAGGATCAACCGGAGTCGCCATTTTCTTTCTTTCTGTTATCTACACAAACCCCAAAAACAAATAAAAACAGAACCAATAATGAATCTTCATCGATTTTTTTTTTGTTTTTGTGGTAAAAATCTTCATCATTGATTTTGTGAAGGAAGTCTAAACGATCGGAAATTTTACCGGAGAAGGTGGGAACGAATTCGAACCGGAAAGAAACAGCTGGTGAGTTGCGACGATCGCCGGCGAGAGTGAGTGTTTAGATTCTGCCGGTGTGAGAGAGAGAGAGAGTTGATGAAATTCAGAAGTTGGAAGTGAGAGATTTGGTCAACGTTTGGTCAGTTGACTCTCTTCTACTTGCCTGTTCGTCCGTTACCAATTGGATTTTGGAGGAAGGTGGTGAGATCTCTACCTAAACTTGTCTTATAATTTGGGCTTAAATTAAGCCCAAGAAGATTCGTGTATCTATTATATTGGTGTCGGTAATATTTAATTGTTATCGTATAATTTGTCTTTTGATCACCCACTAAACTAGCATTCATCGTCTTGTCATTTGTGAAACGTTTCCTACTTTCTTTTTTCACTAAGAACAGCTTGATTTTTAACTCAAGGGGACATGTTAGTTTTTGTGACAGGTAACGCATTTTTGTTACTGCTTTTGCTTTACGTGATTTTTACTGTTCCTAATAACTTTACACGAGGGACCAAATATTACGTTACTGTTTTCTTTTGCTTTACGTCAATCCTCCAAAATTAGTATCTTGACCTTGAGGATAAATATTGGGAGAAAAAAACAGAACAAAAAGATCTAAAATTTTCGTTTAAGTCAATAATATAAGCGAGGAAAAAAAAAAAAAAGCGAGGAGGCCCACAAATCTAAGGGGATGGCAAGAGAAATCTTGGAAACTATATGAATGATGATGATCATAGTAATGAAATAGTTGGAGTCTATTTTGATTAAAAAAAGATGTTAGGTATCATTATGATCACTCATTCTCTTCAACCAATTTTGTCAATCATACAGCTCACCCAAAACCTTTATGGTAAAGCATGTTTCTGATATTTTGATATATACACACACACACCATATTATAGTCTAATTAGAGATTTCCAACGAATTCACCGTAACCAATACAGCTTTTAAGCATTATCTAAACAAGACAAAGATTCTTTCCAGTTGTTTCCCCCTTTTTTATTTTCTTGCTCCTTAGCGTTAACCGTTAACCCAAGAGAGAGTAAAACGAATTTTACAGCCACTTAAACAAATATTGAGCATTGTGATTAGTGACATTGTCTTAAACAAATGTTAACAACCATTGTCATTTTCAAGCCATTGTATCATGTAACTAAACTACCTAAAATAGATTTTAAATCACTGCGTTAATGTTGAAAATATCTAGGAGACAGATATTGACGGGTGCTTACTTCAAGTTTGGACAAAAATCATTATGACAGAAAAAAATGCCGTTGAACATTTTTTTGTAATACAATATCCAAATTATCCATCGTTATCTTGTTTTTTTGGATTAGGCAGTGACAAAAAAAATGCTTGCGTTGTCAGTAAAACCCAAATTTTCGAATTTGAATTAGAAAAATTCCAAATCTTTGAAGCTAATATTTTCACAATCTTTTGAGAAAATTTCAAATTATCCAAACTTTTTTTTTTCTAGTAAATTTGCTTTTAAAAATGATTAAAGAAGAGAGACATGTTCATTTTCAATATATCTGGTCCCCATATTGGAAAAAAACAAGCAACAATAATTGACAATCTCTTACTATCATCTTCATCTTCATTCCTCTCTCTCTCTCTCTCTCTCTCAACAAGATTGAGCTTTCTTTCTTCCGACTCTTGGTCTGATCTCTTACAAGAAACAACAACACAAATGGCGTTCGCAGGAACAACCCAGAAATGCATGGCCTGTGACAAAACCGTTTATCTCGTCGACAAGTTAACCGCCGATAACCGTGTCTACCACAAAGCCTGTTTCCGATGTCACCATTGCAAAGGAACTCTCAAGGTTTTGATTCTGTTTTTTTATCTTTTTCTTTCTCTTCTTACATTTTTTGATGATTTCTCATAAACCCAGAGGTAGATCTAGTAGATATAGATGAAGATGACCAATCAATTAAGTAGAAATCTTTGATTTTTCTCTGATTGTTTTTTTTGTTTGTTAATGAAACAGCTTAGCAATTACAACTCCTTTGAAGGAGTTCTCTATTGCAGACCACATTTTGATCAAAACTTCAAGAGAACTGGAAGTCTTGAGAAGAGCTTCGAAGGTAAATATATTCAATAAGACAGATCAAAATGTGAAAACTTTGGGGGATTTCAAACTTAAAGATGGATCTTTTATTTCGTCATTGGTATGTATAGGGACACCAAAGATCGGAAAACCTGATAGGCCTTTGGAGGGAGAGGTAATTTCAGACATCCCATAAAGACTCTTACTCTGTTCTTGATTGTGTTTTGAGGTTCTCGAAATTCAACATTTGATCTGAGAGATGTTTTAACAGAGACCTGCTGGGACCAAAGTGTCGAATATGTTCGGTGGAACACGAGAAAAATGCGTTGGCTGCGACAAAACCGTGTATCCCATTGAGAAGGTATCCAATACAAAAATCTTTCCAAAACAGAATCAGATTGTGTCAAAGCAATTCTTAGGCTGTTTCCATTGCTAATGTTTTCTGTTCTTAGCATAAATCTGATCTTAAACATTAAAATTCTTTGCTACATTGTTCCATAACTTGACTGCTTGCTCTTTTGGACTTTGTGAAAAGGTGTCGGTGAATGGGACATTGTATCACAAGAGCTGTTTCAAGTGTACACATGGAGGATGCACGATAAGTCCTTCGAATTACATAGCTCATGAAGGGAAGCTTTATTGCAAGCATCATCATATTCAGCTGATCAAGGAGAAAGGAAACTTGAGCCAGCTCGAAGGAGGTGATCACGCCGCTAAGGACAAAGTCGTCGCTGCTTAAAAGAAACAAATGACCATCGAAGAATCAAAGTGTCACTGCTACGTACTCTCGATCGATAACATTTGGTGGTTCTGTTTCTTCGCAAGTTTGTGTTACAATTTTTCTTTCTTTTTGTCTTTGATGTTGTTTTATTTTCCGGAACTTTGTTATATGTTAGAGTGATATGTTCACTCTTTGTTGGGTTTCTTGAGATGAAACAAAAGAAAGAGAAATAATGAATATTTGCTTATGAGAAGTTATGTATTAAGTTCAAATAACAATTGACATAATTTATTTTTATGAAGAGCGTTCTTCAGTTCAATTTTCTTTGGTATAATGCACTGAGTTTTCATTTGTTCCTCTTCACAAGAGCTACTTTGTTACTTTCTGAGTATTCATTATTAGTATTTTAAATTGTAACTTTGAACAACAGAGTGGACGTGCCGGAGTGGTTATCGGGCATGACTAGAAATCATGTGGGCTTTGCCCGCGCAGGTTCGAATCCTGCCGTTCACGCTTTTTATTTTGCCGTTTTATATTTTGCCAAAACAGGATAGCTTAATAGTTTTTTTTTTGTATATAATCGATTCGCCTATTTAACATTTTTATACAGATGCCTACATATACATCAAACTATAGATGTGTGATGTCTTAGAAAGAGGTAGGCTTGTATTCATTCTATAAATTATTGAAATTGTGCAACGCACTATGCTTAATTTCGGTTATAATGTTTGCGTTAGATATGTACAAAAAAAATATTACTATAAATAATATGTATTCATAAAGTAGGAGGTTATGTATATGGCCAAGCCATTCCTAATGATGGAATCATTCCAACTGTATATTAATCAAAACTTAGGTGAGTATACATACATCATATCAAATTTTTATCTTTCTTAAAAGATAATAATAATCGAATTTTATGAAACAGAACTTTATATATATACACACGTACAACCATATATGGAATGAAAACACTTCAAACAAACAACACAAACATCCTTTTTAACGAAGGCAACAAAGACTACACGCGAAGAGTCTTTAAACACGACTTAATTATGTTTAGTCCAAATCAAACTTCTAACGCCAAAGTTCCATTTTCATGGGAGCTAAAGCCTGGAGTTTCAAGAAGGAACAACAGAAGTGTCCGTGATCAGCTACAATGGAAGCTTACGCCGCCTCCATGCCCTCAAGTCGAGTACTACAGCGAGGAAGTGTTGGAGAGTCCTCTTGTTATATGTTCTTTCACGCCTTCCGGTCTAGGAAAGAGTTCGAGGTTTAACATGTCGAGTTTCAGGAAGAAAGAGGTTGATCCTTTTCTTGAAGCTTATAGGAAATGTTTAGAGAGCCCGATGCGCAACCCTTCTTCGATGGGAAGAAACGTTGGAGGAGCTGATCAAGATCGTTACACCAAGGCCAAGAAAAAGTCTCTTCTTTTGTGGCTTTGGTCCCTATGGAGTAAGTACTCTTGCAGAGTTGGTACTCATGGCCGGACTACGGCGACTCGATTCCGTAAACCGAAATCCAACCAGAGAATCAATTCTACCAAGTAAACAATTTGTGATGTTCAAAGGCAATACTATAAGTCAAACTTAAATGTGGGGTTAAAATATGTTAAACACCACCTTATGTTGTTTTCGAAATTCGAAATAAGGGTTAAATAAAATACCTTATGTTGTATTTCTGTTAAGCATGAAATGTATATGTTTCATTCACATATATTATCAGTCCTCAGGTTTTAATTGTTTAAAAGGTTAAGTAATCGTCGTGAAACAATATTAGGCCGGTTCATGCTATGAGTTGTTTCACATCGGTGTGCGACTTCCCGGAATACTTATTTCTTGGTCAAACCTTAGATCGTTTTCATCTCCTTTTTCACGTGCTGCCATTTATACTGTTGAGACATATGTGATTTTTCTTGTCCTAACAACAATTTTATAAGTTTCTCGTCCTAACAACAATTTCTTGTCCACCTTATTTAGGATACAAAATTAAAAGTTCCAACCTTTTTCAAATTATTGTACTGGTTTTATGTGTTTTCAGAAATTGTATACATTTTCTCAGATTATATACTTATTTCAACTTTTGTTTGAGATTAAATTGTGGTAATTTGGGAATAGTTTTGAGACTTTGTTTTCAAATGAGAGGAAAAAATGCAATAGAAAATTCTTATGACAACTTCCCAACCATCGTGCCGTCTTTCGCTTTATTAAAGTCCACTACATGCCGTTTTGTATACGAAAGCGGCAAAGGCCAAAGAGCAGTCAGTAAACAGTAAAATCCCGAATCTTTCTGTCTGAGACTCGCTCGAGAGTCCAATCCATCACTATCGTGTTCGTGCTTCTTCGACAACAGTGTCTGAGACTCCGAGGAAGAGTGAGGAGCGTGATAATCGAGAGAGTGAAAGACATGGAGAGTAGCGAGGAAGAAGACGACTTCCCATCTATCGAAACCATTACTCCTCAGTCAAAGATCGATTCCGTTCACCAGTCTCTCACCGAAAAGGTTTCTTTTTTTGTCTTCCTCTCCCTCTCTCTCTCTGCTTCTCTACATTTCTGAGGACTCGTTTCTTCCCCAGAACTCTTTTAATTGCACTCTGAGATAGTTCTCTCAACTGGGTCCTTTCGGATTTTACCAATTGATCTGCTTTTAAGACTCAGAAGCCCTCGATTTCATCATAGATTTTTACTTCATGAAATTGGATTTGAAAGTAATTAAACACAACATTGTTGATGCTTACTTCTTCTTAATTTTATTTTTATTGCTGGTTGATTTGGTACATTGAAACAATGCAGGGAATTAGAAAGCTGTGCTGTGAGCTCTTGGACTTAAAGGATGCTGTGGAAAATATGTGCGGTGATATGCGTACCAAGTACCTCGCTTTCTTGAGGTAACACATCGCTACTAACTTCTCCTTGTTATTTGGTTAGCAAGTTTCGGATTCAAAGATCTAAGGCTGGAATATATCTTGTGTTGTACAAGTAATGTTTGGTGTAAGATAAAGTCATGTTCTTTATGCTTTCTTTGGTGTAGAATATCTGAAGAAGCAGTGGAGATGGAGCACGAGTTGGTTGAGCTACGGAAACACATTTCTTCTCAGGGGATTATCGTGCAGGATCTTATGGCTGGACTTGTCCGTGAGATGGATGAATGGAAGCGATCCGCTGGTGATGCAGATGACTCAGATAACTCTGAAGTCAATGATCCCTTGGCTAACGAGTTAACCGATCCAAAGTCTGAGTTCCTGGAGAAACTTGACCTTCTTTTGGCTGAACATAACGTAGATGCAGCACTTGATGCAATCGATGCAGAGGAAAGAAACAACTTAGAGCTTAAAGGATCAGCTGAGATGTCTTCTTACAAGTCTGCTTTCATGGAAAGAAAAGTGGTTCTTGAGGATCAGCTTCTAAGGATCGCTAAACAACCTTCAGTAAGTGTTGCTGAATTGAAGCATGCGTTGAGTGGGTTGGTTAGACTTGGCAAAGGACCTTCAGCTCACCAGCTGCTTCTGAAGTTTTACGCCACAAGCCTCCACAGAAGAATCGAGACCTTTCTTCCTTCTTGCTCGACCTGTCCAAACACATTTCCAGCTACTTTGTCGAAGCTTGTTTTCTCTAACATCTCAGTGGCTGCAAAGGAATCGGCGGCGATGTTTGGTGATAACCCTGCGTATTCCAACAAAGTTGTTCAGTGGGCAGAGAGGGAAGTTGAGTATTTGGTGAGGCTGGTTAAGGAGAACGCTTCTCCTTCCGAGACTGTTTCTGCGTTGCGTGCAGCCAGTGTGTGTCTTCAAGACTGTCTCAACTACTGCAAAAAGTTGGAGCCACAGGGCTTGATTCTGTCCAAACTGTTTTTGGTGCTGTTCCGGCCTTATGTTGAGGAAGTGTTGGAGCTGAACTTTAGACGTGCTCGAAGAGTTGTTTTCGACTTGAACGAAACTGATGAGGCCTTGGAACCATCTTCTGAATTTGTGGCGGTTTTATCCGAATTCGCAATCGCTTCGGATACGACAATGACTGATTGTAGCATTCGGTTCATGCAGATAGTGCAAGTAAGTTAGCTTTTGATACTACTTTTACCATTTTCTATGATTCTACATAAATTTATTGAAGCTTTGTTTGCTGTTGCAGGACATACTTGAGCAGTTAACGCATCTAGTTGTGTTACACTTTGGCGAAAGTGTGTTAACGAGGATCTTGCAACTGTACGATAAGTACATCGACTTTCTGATCAAAGCCTTGCCTGGCCATGCAGACGAAGACGGTCTTCCTGAGCTACAAGATTACACCATACTCGCTAGAGCTGAGACAGATTCAGAGCAGCTCGCTCTTCTTGGAGCAGCGTTTACAATACTCGACGAGCTTTTACCTAAATCGCTTGTTAAAGTGTGGAATCTCCAGATTGAAAACGAGGGAGGAGAAGGTGGTGATAGTAGTGCTGCTCTGATCAGTAGCTCTGCACCGGAGTTGAAAGAATGGAAACGCCACATGGTTCAAGCATTTGATAAACTCAGAAACTACTTCTGTCTGCAGTTTGTTTTGAGCTTCATCTACTCTAGGGAAGGACTAACACGATTAGACGCACTCATTTATTTAACTGAGTCACCAGATGACTCGAATCTTCCCTCTTTACCGTTTCAGGTACTTATGTCCTCTTCTTCTCGGTCTGGTTTTATAGTTTCTGGTTGATAAAGTTTAGCAAACGGAATCATTTGGTGTCTCTCTTCTTATGCAGGCGTTGTTTTCTAAGCTGCAACAGTTGGCCATAATTGCGGGAGATGTTCTGCTTGGTAAAGAGAAGCTGCAAAAGATTTTACTAGCCAGATTAACCGAGACGGTTATCATTTGGCTATCAAACGAGCAGGAGTTTTGGAGTGCCTTTGAGGACGAGTCAACTCCACTCCAGCTATCTGGGTTGCAACAGGTAACACACACTCTCATGTACATCAGCCTTTGATACCGAGTTACTGACATGAAATTTGGATCCAAAGTTGAAATTTTTTTGTTACATTGTTGCAGTTGATCCTGGACATGAACTTCACAGTTGAGATAGCTCGGTTCGCGGGTTATCCATTTAAAGTGGTGCAGAACCATGCATCAGTCGTCATCAATCGAGCCATCAACATATTCTCCTCAAGAGGGAACAACCCACAAAGGTAACTGAAAAAAAGGTCATACTATTAAGAGTCTCTCTACTCGATCTCAAACATGGAATTAACTAAAAGTATATCATATTTTTTTTTGTCACCAGCGAGCTCAAGAAAACCGAGTGGTTCACGGAAGCTGCCAAGTCAGCTATAAACAGGCTACTCATGGGCTCAGAGGACGCATCAGAACCTGAAGAATACGACTGCGAAGAAGACGGTCACATTGTCCTCCCTGAGATTAGCGATGATGACCACTCAGATTCCTTAGAAACTTCATCACTTTCTACTATGGACTCGTTCGAGTCATTTGCCTCTGCGAGCATGGCCGACCTTGAGAGTCCCTCTTTCACCGATTCCGAGTCCTGAATACACTGTTGATTAGTCTATTTAATTCTTGAAATACCTAATTAATTAAGTATAGTTTCGTCGTTCAACTTAAATTTTAAATATATGATCATATCAATGGACTTAAAGGAAATTTAGCAGAGCTTTTATGATCTCCGGTAAAGTTAATTTAGTCAACGATGTTATGAAGGTCTTGCATGCTTCTCGCCACAAAATCGATAACCAACCGGGAACGGTTTGAATAGAAAGAAAGGTTTTCATTTTTCTGCTCTGTGTTTTCCCGATACATTTCGCAACCTGATAAAAAGGAATTGTTTCTTCAACTTGTTCAGTGGATGCCTGGTAAAGGATACGTTGTTGACTCCTCCACAAGTAACCTCATCGCAGAGATCTTGTCGAGGCATCATATAGCCTCCCAGACAGTGACAAAACCTGGACATAAGATTTGTACAAAGGCCCAATAAGAAAGAGAAGCGAACATTACTGAGAATTGAACCATCTTTATTACCTTTTGTCAAGCCAAGAAGCGACATGACACGTCTCGTCTTTATTTTGATTCTGTAATGAAGGAACACGGTTCAAACAACAAGCAGAGAATGGCAAAGTAAGTACTACTTTTGACTTTTCCATTGTTAATAAATCATTCACTTAGGAACATGATTATGTAATTTCCGGAACCAAGGTTAAGCTTGAGGCGTTTGTGTAATTAACGTTGGTGTGTCAAAAAATTTGTTGCTATCTCCTTGTTAGCCTTATTTTAAACTTTTCAAACATCATCTATTTGCAAAATTAATTTTCTGTTTAGTTCGGATTTAGTGTGAAAAAATCCAAATATACTATTCCGAGAGTATAGTTCGGATTTAGTGTTCGGATTTAGACTTTGAGAGTCTCTCTTTCACCGATTCCGAGTCCTGACCAGTGGCCACTTGGCCTTATGAAAATCTCAAAGCTTATAAGTATTGAAATTAAACTTGATTTTGATCAAGGTTTAATTTTGGGTCCATAAACAAATTATTATTAAACCCAAAATTAGGCCCAAGTTCTAGAACTCTCTAGAAACATCATAAGAGGTCATCACTTCCTCAAATTTTCTAGAGAATTCTACTAGATAACTCTCTAGATATTTATGTAGAACTTTCTAGTTCTTGTAAGACAAAAATCTAGATATTATGTTAGAGAGTTCTAGAGATTAGGATAAACTTGTAAGATAATTTGTAGAAAGTTGTAGAAGAAGAAGAAGAAATATCTAGGACCTAAGGAGGTTATAGAAGAGTGTAGAAACTTTGTAAGTAGATTTGGGAGGCTATAAATACCTCCTCACCCCCTCATTTGTAAATGCACAAGAAATTGAACAAGTTAATAAAGAGTGTTCTAAAGCTAAGTTCTCTCTTGTTCTTCTTAAAAGTCTTTCAAGTATTCTCTTGTGTTCTTCCATATTTCTCTTCATACTTAGAGGGTTTATTGTTTCTTTCGGGTTTCTCGGGTATTACGGTCTTGGGCTAGTGCTAAGCACTATCGGTGCTGGTTTCTCCACAATAAGACAGCCAAGTAACCACTAGACTAAGAGAAATCTTTGGAAATATGGGCCAAATTATTGTATATAAAAAGAAGGGCCGCAAGCAGGAGCTTGCTCTGCTTGCTCCAGGGACGGCTCTGCTTGTATTTGTAGTTTTTGTAACTCTTAAGTTAACATATAGGGTAAGTATTTCTCTCTACTTATGTAGACTTCTTTAACCAAATCCATTTGCAAATTCAATTTCCGGTTTAGGTCGGTTAAATGGGGAAAAAACAACCAAAATTAGTTGGACAAATCCAAATGTCAAAGATCATTAATCCAACAGAGAAGCCCATTTGTGGCCCATCACGATGTAGCGGTGCTCTAGTGTTCGTCCAAGAACAATAAAACAATTCAGAGGAAAGAGAGAAATAGATAAAAAAGAAAAGTCGTGCGCGTCTCTTTTTTCTCTGTCTAATTTCCTTTGGCTGCAAGGCGGTCTTGGGGGTCTTTCACTTTCACTCGCTATATATATCTATCTTCTTCCTCGTCGCTCTATTTCATCCTACAGTCTCTCTCTCTCTCCCTGAGAAATTGAAGGACTAATCAAATTCACCTCTAATTGTTTCCGGAGATTGTTCTTTGTTTTTTTTTCCCTTCCGTTATTTCCATTTTATTTCCAGGTACTAATTTTTCCCCCTTTGTTTATTTGCTTCAATCATTTTATTGCGATTTGTTTTATCCTTCTTTGATTCATCAATTTTTCAAGCGAGATTATGTGTATTGTGTACGTAGCTGTTGGTTTTCCCAAATTTCCTTAGATATGATAAACTAGGGCACTTTGATTTTACCCCTTCTCCTTAGATCCCGCCGCATGAATAATAGCTCAGAATCTTGTAACCCGTTGAAAGGCGTCTTTTTGATTTTAGTATAATTAATCGTAAAGCATTTTACGGGCATTCAAGTATTCGTTGTTGGTGTCTAAGATTTGATTTCTACATATATTGGTTTGATTGTGTGAAATTATCTGGCTATCTCTGTTTGAAAGATTACCAAATGCTTTTATCTGAATACAATTATCATTTGGTTTCTCTCTGTGCAGAAGCACTTTGTGAGTGTACACCCATTGCTCCAACAGTGACAGGATCTGGTTCTGTGTTTGTGGAGTCTGAGAAGAATATGAGCTCTCAAGTCAGGAGAGATAGGCCTCGATTCAACCCTCAGAGCTCTCAGCAAACGTGGGTTCCTAGAGGTCCATCCAACTCGGCGGTGGTTGTAAACGAACCTTCCCTTCCTCCTACTAATACAGAGAGAGTTTCAGAAAGTCTTGATGCTGCTGCTGCTGCTGCTTACCGTCCTCTTTATCAGCAAAGGCAGCGTAACGGCTCTGGTCATCCGCCCTATAACCAGCAGCAACAAAGGAGCAATGTCGTAGGTCCGCCCTATAACCAGCAACAGAGGAGCAGTGTGGTTGGTCCACCATATAACCAGCAACAAAGGAGTAATGTCGTTGGTCCGCCTCCACCTAATCGACAAAGAAGAAATAATGCTTTGGAAACTCTGCCTGATAATCGACAAAGAAGGAATAATGGTTCGGGAACTCTGCCCCTACCTGATAATCGCCACAGAGTTGTATCTAGGACCAGGCCTGTGAATCAAGGGAAAAGGGTAGCCAAGGAGGAGAATATTGTGTTGACAGACCCAAACTTGCCTCAGCTTGTTCAGGAGTTGCAAGAGAAGCTGGTGAAGAGTTCTATTGAGTGTATGATTTGTTATGACAAGGTTGGGAGGTCTGCGAATATATGGTCTTGCTCCAGCTGTTACTCCATTTTCCATATGCATTGTATCAAGAGATGGGCTCGAGCACCGACTTCGATTGATCTGTTGGCTGAGAAAAATCAAGGTGATAATTGGAGATGTCCTGGTTGCCAGTCTGTGCAGTTGACATCATCAAAGGAGATAAGCTATCGGTGCTTTTGTGGAAAGAGGAAAGATCCACCGTCTGATCCGTATCTGACTCCACACTCTTGCGGGGAGCCTTGTGGGAAGCCGCTGGAGAAAGAGTTTGCAACAGCTGAGATGAGTAAAGAGGATCTCTGTCCTCATGTTTGTGTGTTGCAGTGCCATCCTGGTCCATGTCCTCCTTGTAAGGTGTTTGCTCCACCTCGTAGCTGTCCTTGTGGTAAGAAGATGACTACTACTAGATGCTCTGAGCGGAGATCTGTTCTTGTTTGTGGGCAGAGTTGCGATAAGCTTCTCAACTGTGGGCGTCATCGATGTGAAAGGACATGTCATGTTGGCCCGTGTGATCCTTGTCAGGTACTGGTCAATGCGACATGTTTCTGCAAGAAAAAAGTGGAGACTGTCATTTGTGGTGATATGAATGTGAAGGGAGAGTTGAAAGCAGAAGATGGGGTGTATTCGTGCAGTTTTAATTGCGGGAAGCTGCTTGGTTGTGGTAATCATTTTTGCTCTGATGTTTGCCATCCTGGACCTTGCGGGGACTGTGACTTGCTTCCCAGTAGAGTCAAGACATGCTATTGTGGGAAAACACGTTTAGAAGAACAGACCAGGCGGAGTTGCTTGGACCCTATTCCTTCTTGTTCAAACACATGTAGGAAGCTTCTTCCTTGTGGGCTACATACTTGCAGCGAGGTGTGCCATGCAGGTGATTGCCCTCCTTGTTTAGTCCAAGTCAACCAGAAATGCCGATGTGGGTCAACATCTAGGACTGCGGAATGCTACATGACAACTTCTGCAGAGACGGAGAAGTTTGTGTGCGCTAAGCCATGTGGACGTAAGAAGAACTGTGGGAGACATAGATGTAGCGAGCGTTGCTGCCCTCTCCTGAACGCAAAGAAGAATGATCAATCCGGCGATTGGGACCCACACGTCTGCCAATTACCTTGTGGGAAGAATCTAAGGTGCGGGCAGCATTCCTGTGAATCTTTATGTCACAGTGGCCATTGCCCTCCTTGTCTCGAGATGATTTTCACTGATCTAACATGCGCATGTGGAAGAACTTCTATCCCTCCACCACTACCATGTGGGACACCTGTCCCTAGCTGCCAGCTTCCATGCTCGATTCCTCAGCCTTGTGGCCATTCTGCAACGCATGGATGCCATTTTGGTGATTGCCCTCCTTGTTCTGCTCCCGTGGAAAAGAAGTGTGTTGGTGGTCATGTGGTTCTGAGAAACATACCTTGCGGGTTGAAAGACATAAGATGTAACAAGATTTGTGGAAAGACAAGGCGTTGTGGCATGCATGCTTGTGCGAGAACGTGTCACGCGGAGCCTTGTGACAGTTACAATGAATCTGAAGCAGGTTTGCGTGTTACATGTGGACAGACGTGTGGTGCTCCTAGAAGAGACTGTAGGCACACTTGTGCAGCACTTTGCCATCCATCTGAGCCTTGCCCTGACTCAAGATGTGAATTTGCAGTTACAATCACTTGTTCGTGTGGTCGCATAACTGCTCCTGTCCCTTGTGATGCTGGAGGAAGAAGTGCCAACAATCTTCATGTGGATTCTCTTTATGAAGCCTCTGTTTTGCAGAAGCTTCCAACGCCGCTTCAGCCTGATGAGTCGAGCGGAAACCGAATCCCTCTCGGGCAGAGAAAGCTTACGTGTGATGATGAGTGTGCTAAGCTGGAGCGTAAGCGGGTTCTTCAGGATGCGTTTGATATCACTACCCCTAATTTGGACTCTTTACACTTTAGCGAGAATCCTGCTATGACAGAGATTATTTCAGACCTTTATAGGCGTGATCCGAAGTGGGTACAGGCTGTTGAAGAGCGCTTCAAGTTCTTGGTACTTGGTAAAGCCAGAGGAGGCGCAAGTGCCCTGAAGCTCCATGTCTTCTGCCCAATGCAGAAGGATAAACGGGACACAGTTCGGCTATTAGCTGAGAGGTGGAAACTTGCAGTTAGCAACGCAGGGTGGGAGCCAAAACGGTTTACAGTGGTTCACGTAACTCAAAAGTCGAAGCCACCAACACGGATCATTGGAGCTAGGGGTAGTGCTGTCTCGGTAGTTGGGGTCCATCCACCGTCCTTTGATCCGTTGGTAGATATGGATCCTGGGCTTGTTGTTTCTTTACTGGATCTCCCGAGGGAGGCGAATATCAGCGCCTTGGTGCTGAGGTTTGGGGGTGAATGTGAGCTTGTTTGGCTGAATGACAAGAACGCTTTAGCCGTGTTCCATGACCATGCCCGAGCCGCCACTGCCATGAGGAGGCTGGACCACGGTTCTGTATACCATGGAGCTGTGGTTGTCCAGAACGGCGTGCAATCTCAATCAGTCGGTGGTAATGCGTGGGGAAAATTACCCAGCGGCTCAGCCTGGGATGTGAACAAAGGAAATCCATGGAAGAAAGCAGTGATTCAGACGAGTGATGAGTCATGGGGAGCTGAAGATTCCCCAATTGGAGGATCATCTACTGATATTCAAACTTCTGCCTGGAGATCAGCTAAGAGCAACACTCCAGTTGTTACCTCGGTTAACCGCTGGAGTGCCCTGGAGCAGGAGAAGCCCAACACTTCCGCAGCGTCTCAGCCATTGCCTCAGACAGAAGAAGGGAGCAGCAGTTCGAAAGCTGCCGGTAAACAGCCGGTGGATGGCTCCAGCGAAGAAGTGGCGGATGACTGGGAGAAGGTATGTGACTGAGGAGATATGCCAATGACATATTTCTACTTTTTTGCTACGTATGAAAACGGCAGGTCGTTCAGACGGATATAATGTAGTAGACTGCAGGCGAGTTGCGACTCTGATTGTTCATTTTGGTCTGCCGTTTTTGTCGTGACATTTTGGTGACGTTCGGTTGATTGTATGAACTACAAAACTATTTGATTGTGCAGTTGGCGATCTTGTGAAACGGCATGTTTTGTTTGTTATTGAAGAAATTTTACTTTTTGAAAGAATTATGTGACATGAAGTACTTTAATTGTTGAAATCACTAGGAATTGAGTAATTATCTTGTTTTTGTTCTCAAACTTCGCCCATTAGCGAAAAAGCTATCTCTACCATAGAATCTAAAACATCAGGAATCTTAAACAGCAAAGACCATCTAGTTCAAAAGCTTCATTACAGTAACGCACTTGCAAGTTGAGTAACCAACTTCATCTTTACTCCATCGCCACTGCCACCTTTCTCCCTGGACCTAAAAAATAGTAAATAAAAAGATTCCAGATATTTGGTCTAATACTCAAGTGATCCAAAGTAGCATTGGACTCAAATTCAGATCACATAACACAAAAGCGACAGCATCTACTCTGATGACTAATACAAAATTGCTGATTTCACATTTGCTTAACTACGCAAAGAAAAAGAGGTTTAGATGGTCATTACATTATAAGTAAATATTTGATATGTGATCGAGGTTTGATTCTCAAACAAAAATGTTCAGATAGGATAAAGAAGAAGAGCCACAAACTAAGAATACTTGCTTTACCTTTTGCCGTCCAATTGAGTTATGCCTTTTACATGGTTAATATTATCATATATGCAAAGTTTACAAGTATTGTATTGCACTAAAGTAATGCTTACAAGGAGAAGTTAAGAATCTTGGGTGGGTCCAATCTAATTTATTCTTTTTCTATCACAATCCTTAGTATAAAGTTTCCACAAACTGAAAAAAGTACCAAATCTCTATATAACGCTCATTGAAGAGAATTGTTCTTTTATGAACAAACAACAAAGAAAGAAAATGTCTGCCCAAAAAGCTGTCAAGAGTTCTCACTACGAGGCAGAATCCAACATGGAACAAGATGTACTAAGTCAAATTTTGTTTCACTAGTTATATTTTACATCTGTTGCTTATTTTGCTAAAACTAAAAAATCAAACTTGATGAAACAGATCGTTAGAAAAGCATGGATTTTTAAGCCAAGTGGTCTTAATTTCATATGGGGAGGTGACTCTCGGTATTGGGTCATCCCTAAAGAAGACAGGTACCTCTTCATCTTTTTGGTTACGAATGAAACCGGTTTTTGTTTCTGTGTTTTGAGACCGGAGTCTTTGGTGTTTTCAGGACACCTGCCGAACTAAAGATGGTGAGTTGGTTAGAAGTAACCAGTTCGTTCGACAAGGTAGAACCAGGCAAAACGTACCGAATCGGTTTCAAAATCTCCTTCACAGCTGATGCAACCGGATGGGACCAAGCTCCGGTTTTCATGTCGGCCAAAATAGGTAAGAAAGGGAAGACAATTTGGAAAAGGATCAAATCGGTTAACAGCAACATTGAGAGACTCAAAGGCGGGACAGCACCGGTTTACATACCAGATGAGACAGATGGAAGATTCGAGATCTTCGTCAGTCCCAAGGTAGCAATAAACCAAGATACCAAGCTTCAATTTGGTCTGTATGAAGTCTGGACCGGAAAATGGAAAACAGGCTTATTGATCTATGAAGCTTTTGTTCAAGAAGTGTAGTAGAGATTATAAATTCACCATCTCAAACTTCCCAAGAACCTTCTTAATGCATATGATATATATATTCAATCAATAAGAATCAGTTTTTGTCCACATACATAGACACAAATCTCTATACTATCCTCAGCTCCAACTATAACAAATATAACGAGAAGGAAGCTGATAAATCTTTGTGTATACCTATAACCAATAGTTCTTCATCTGAAGGAACTAAAAATGCTGGCTTACGCCTATCGGAGAGCTCCGAACACAGCCGCTTATAACATGCAAGTACAAGGCGAGCCACACAGTGATTATAACAGAAGACTTGGCTCCAACGTAACCAACCACTTGTCGTCCTCTGTCTGTAACCTCCTCATGAACAACGTCGAAGCTTTTTCTAATCCCTTGATACGTCTTCAACATTATAAAACCAACGATTGATCTCGCCGTCTCTAACGTCACTCTTCCTGTGACATCGAACATAAACTTCCGGTTGCTTGGAACCGCCAATGTGGTTGAGATAGCCTCCACCCAACCGCTACTCTTGACATCGTCTTCTTCTTCTTCGACCTCTTCAGTCACATTATCAGACCTTGAAGGAGATGATGATGCAGTGAAGACTTGGTGAGACGTTCTAACGAGAGTCTCGAGAGCACCGTTACACACTGAAACAAGAACGTCCTTGACGCTATCCTGATGTTTCGGATTCGTCAAGCCTTCGAAGATTTGATCGTAAGTGTTGATCTCCATCGTCTTGTCCAGATACACAGCGACTGCTGTGTTTGTGAATCTCTCAATGCAATCAGCTAAAAGCTCTCTACATTTCTCATCACAGAGCAGAGTCACCCACTGAGGTGTCTCTGAAGAAGAATCGGAATCACATTTCACACCATTCTCGAGCTCGTTCGAGTAGAATCCAAGAACGAGATTCTTAGCGAAGCTACCAACAATAGCTGAAACGAATCCAGATCCAGACTTTGAGAAAACCTTATCAATCACTTTATCAACAGCACTTGGCTGCTCCGATCCGATTCCTGAATCTCCGACGTTGTTGTAACCGCGAAAGACTCCGATCGTGACAGCCTGAGAAACCCTAGAGAGCGAATCGGTGAATTCGTGCGACGTGGCGATCTTGGCGATCTGTTTCAGGCTGTTGGGGATTTCGTCGGAGTCGGAATTGAGGAATCCGTTCAGGTCTCGCGACACGATGCTTAGGGTCTCGGCGGAGTCGGAGATCAATTCGGCGACAGAGAGAACGGCTCCGAAGATCTTCAGAAGACGTTTCCTTTTCCTCGCGACAGATGGCAAATGGTAAATTTTGTAAGCTCCGTAACCGGAGACGCCGGAAATCGCCATCAAAATCAGCCATTTCCTTCTTCTCTGAGGTGAAAAGAGACCCTTTTCCCCAAATCGAAGAAGGTCCATTCAACAAAATTGAATTGAATCAGAATCAAATTGCAAAAACCACAGATTTCAGGATACCGAGAGAAAGGTTTTGGGACGATAGACAGAGAAATCTAGGGTTTGTAATTCTGATCTGAAGATCGGTGATACGAATGAGATTCGGTTATTGACCTCAACTTGAATGGAGAGAGGTAATTTAATCAGCAGATAAAGAAGAAGATAAGGGTATAGCGTAGCGATGCATGAAAATGAAATTTGCGTGTGAAGATGTGAGAGAGAATCAAAAAATTGAAGCTTGGAAGAGAGAGAGAGACAAACGGAGGACAAGTTGGATAACAAAATAATATTATTACAAAAACATTATTTTGGTTCGGTTTCATTGGATAATGAACATACACAGTAACGACCTTTTATGGAATCTTTCCGACGGTTCAAAAGAAAAATCTTCCATTTTTTATTTTGTTTTATAAAAGGCTTTTATTGCAATTATTTGTTTGTTAACCGTTTTTTTGCAATTTTACAAGAGTTTATAAGAGATGTCTATATCATCAGATTTCTTCTCAACTAAATATTTTTCGTAAGTGATTTTCTCAGCAATATAAAAATTAACGAATTATCAACTGACATAACAAACACAAACACTAACAAACATGTCAAATTAATATAATGTTGGTTTTATGTCATTTTCTTATTAACATATGTAATAAAAGTTCAAATAGGGAGTCAAACTATGCTTCATAAATTTACATAAACCATTAAGTTCAAGCATGTGCAGCAGAGAGCAGAGAGACTATGAGGGTTTCTTTAAATTTTTGTTTTTTTTGTTTTTTTAATGATTTTCGAAAAAATTTAAAAAAAAAAAAAAATTTGAAACTCAATCACATACTGACATGTGGAGAGACGTGTCAGAGAAACGGTTCTGGAATCTCTCCCCGGAGATATGTCTGTCGCCTTGGGACTCGCCACATAGGTAAATGTTTTTATTTTTTCTTTTTCTTTTGGCTAAAGAAACCCCTATAGTTTATGTGCTGCACATGCTCTTAGTGCACCTCTGTCAATATTACATGTCATCATTCCAAAAGTTATTGTCTACTTGGTTAGTTGGTTACTAAGGATAATTAATGCAAGGTAATGTTTAAATACATTTGTTGTTTCTAGAAGCATTGATAGTTTTACATCCAACATGGCTCCACTTGTTGTTCTTATCTGATTTGATTTTCATAAGATATACTTTTCTAAGACGATGTGCCATACCTGCAAAAGTCCAAACCCACCAACGATTTTTCCCCACGCTTCCATATTTTGTGTCCGCACCACGTTTCCAATTTGTTTTTCCTTAATAAAATCATTTTTAAGTAATGTGGTTGGGGAAATCAGAAGGGTTTTGAAGTTCGATGTGAATTGTCATAAGTTCTAGACATCTTGTTATCTCTTACAAAAATCCCTTAACAAGTGTGACACTGTGACTCTATCCGTGGTTCGGAAACATATAAAAATAGAAACAATTGAATCCTTGTTCCTGATCAAATCTAAAGTAAAATCAGTTTTAGTAACATTTACAAGTTTCTAAGGAACTAAAATCGAGATCCAGCTTCAGTATGTATACTCTATCTTAGTATAACTTTTTTTTGATAAATCTATCTTAGTATAACTTGAATAAAAACACTTTGGAACATAGGAAAATAAACAAAATAGGGCCGACAAAACGATTTCTATATTTTATACAACTCGACGACAAATCTACGCAACCTTGACTAACACGTACATTCAGAGGCTTTGACGTTCGTATTTTCTTGACATTTACAAATTTGAACACCAACAAATAAACGCGAGACAAACGAAGAAAATCGAAGGCGGCGCTTTTCTTTCGTTACGTATATGACTTATCCAATATTAGGTACTTTTATTATAATCTAGATTACATTCAAAATGTATGCACGATAAATTATTTGTATACTACAAACTATTGGTTAAAGTTAGAGTAAAGTTATATTTGATGAATGGATGATACAGTAGTAATAGTGTGATTTTTTTTTAAAACTACTACTAATGATTGATTTCGATGAATGGGACCTTGCGACTGCTCTCTAAACACTCTGTCGACAATTATTTTCGTAAACCAGCTTTGTTTTTCCAATAAACATATCTAAACAAATCCTTAAAAGTCACGTTTGATTCTCTCTCAATTATTTCTCCTTTAACACACTTTTATTATTTAATACTACAAATCAACATTTAGGACTCTTAAAACCACATCATACTCCAAAAACCAAACCCATCATTCAACCAAACACACACAAAGAAACAAAAACCATTTCCCAACAAAACCAAATTAGAGAGCATGAGAAACAGAGGACAAAACCAGAACAAGTTCTTGAGAATTATCTCAACACCTCTTAGAGCCTTAGGCAAGGCACGTGATTTCTACGTGAGAAGTATCACGGGCTGCGCATCTCGGACTCAGTATTCCTCCTCCGCCCCTTTTCCAAGAAGCCGGAGCTCCTCCTCCGCCGCCTTCTCCTCATCAGCATCTTCCCGGAGAACCACCGATTTTGGGATTGACGACGATTATAGCGAGCTAGTGAGAGCTGCCTCGGTTAGGAGTCTAGGGCACAAGAATGAGATCGACATGTTTATGCAAGAGAAGCTGCAACAGCAGAAGAAGCAGAAGCAAGGAGGGTTGCCGAAGAGCTCGAGCGTAGGTATGGCGAGGATAGAGGAAGAGGAAGAAGCAGAGGAAGGATCCGTAAACCCGAAGATGAAGAAGACCAAGAAAGTCTCTGATCTCTTGTATCCTCGCAGCAAATCATATGCTGTTACTGGTAGCCCTAAACTGTAGTTTCTTTTTTTCGTTATCTTTGTCTTTCTTGATTTTAGTATTCTATGGATTGATTATGGTAAATTTTTAGCTCGATTTTTGTGGACACTAGTATTTTTGGTAATAGATAAACTACTCTTGCTTTATCTCCAAGTTTGTTTTTATATTAGAAATGCACTAATACTGTATATGCATTATGTCACTGGTATAAGAAAAACCTTCTGTTTTTAAGTTCTGAATATATATTTCGGATTAATTAGTTAAATGGATCTAATTCCACAGGGGGGTTAGTTTTACTCATTTCCTTAGTTTACTACTACTACTTTCAAAAACAAAATAAAAAAGGGTTAAGACTATTTCTCACATTCAAATACCAGAGTTAGAATGAAGATGAAAATCTATGGTTCTCGTACGTTTATTGGTAATTCTCATAAAGTGATATTTTCTTATACAGAAATTTAGAAAGCTACTTTGTTTCTGCTACTTTGTATCGTGTGATTCATAAAGTTTTCTCTGTTTTCTTTTTATGATGATTATTGATTATTAAAGCAAGGTTGAGCTTACCACTAATTCACGGAAAGCTTATGAATTATCTTACTGTATAATTAAACTTTTGTTTGCTTTGTTTTTTTGTAGTTATTGTATTGTTGTTGTTGTTTTTCGACCAAACAAGAAAAATATTATTGTTATTTTGTCTTCAGTGGGCTACTGCCAAGTGCCAACTCAATCCACTTTACGTAATCAGGTACTATAGGGCTGCTCGCTGTTAAAAACTTAAAATAATGTTTTTCCTAACAATTAATTACTTACATCTTCTCCGAGGATCGACATAACCATTAGTGGATCTAGAACATCTTTTAACCGGGGACAAATTAATGTATTACTATATTGTGTGTAATATAAATGCATAATTAACATTAAAAATCTATATATACCAACAAATGGGGTGTAAAATAAATGATAATTACAATTAGTTGATGGAAATAGTTTTATTGCACAAGACATCAGCATGCGGAATGCATCCGAAACACAGTTGGACCTGAGAAGGGACATGCTGTGGCACTCCGAGTGAGCGGAGCAATCATCTTCAAATGCCGTATTGATGAGTTTTCAAGATTCACTCTAGGCTTATTCAGATAGACAATTTTACAGCCAATGCAACATAACCGCGGCTTCAGATCTCACTCCATGCTGAATATCAACTTTTTAATTTTTATTTTTTTTGAATAGTATTTGATATTATATAAATATTTTACATTTTAACATTTCTGTATAGATAAACTAGAGAAAAAAATATTAATCCACTTATCATCAGATAAGCTACTATAAATCGACTTAGTTGCGTAAATAAATATCTACTTTTTCCTAAGTTATGTATTTTGCAATATGATACAGTTTGTAATGATAAGCTGATATCAGTTCTATGTAACTGATTCCAAATAAACCAGTAACAACATCAATTATATGTTAATTTATAATTTTTTTATCACTTGCTAATAATTAAAGATGAAGTATTTTGCTTAGTTTAAAATTTCTTTACTTTTCTTACTTTTTGCTATTTTTTTGCTTAATTTTTGCTGATTTTTGGCATATATTTGTCAATTTTACAACTGCTCACATATTAATACAGTTGTAGTCAATAAAAAGTTCTCATTACATTTAGTATAAAAAAATTGATTTGATGTTCTTAAAGATATGCAAAAGAGTTAAAGAAATGTACACACAAAATTAAAGGCAAATAATGTCTGCATGGAAATTATGATAATGCCGATTCTACTAACAGATGCGCTATATATGTTAAACTCAAAAAGTTCTTCAATGAAATCAGACCCCTTACTATAAAATTTGACCCGGTTTAGCTTGGTTTACTGCAATGAAGATCTTTTGGTTCGTAACCATAGACTCATAACATTAAGCAACGTGATTGTTTTGGTCTGCAAGTGTGGTCCTTTAAGTAGGTCATGTTTTATCTCCATAAATATATATTACTATAATATATAGCAAATCAGACATAAAATAGGCTCAAAATAATTAGTAAACCGGTGAATAGATAGATAACACAAGGTCTAAATAAGATGTTGTAACATTAAGTTGTAATTTTGTAATGCTAATGGAAATCTGAAGCCTTTAACAGTAAATGCACGACAGAAGCAGTAGACACTGTTTAATGTAAGAATACATTGTAATTTGGTACCACAAAACATAAAAAAAGGTCAAAAGCGAAAGAGGGTTTATAGTTTATGGCGTTGGAGCTATTTGGATTGCATTAGAATCTCCCAAGAGTCACTTCCCTGTGTGTTGCTGTATATATAAAGCCAAAACTCGGTATGACAAAAAAAAAAGGCTATCTCTTGTTTTCTTATCCTACTTGTCACGCCGGTCCTTTGGGAGTAAATCAATTTTCCTCAATCTGAATCTGAATCTCATGCCTACATAAACAAAAGAAAAAAGTAAAAAAAACAAAAAAATCAGAAACAGGACAAATCTCATGCCTCTGTAACTTTAAGTTCAGTTGAAACGATAAACTGTATGAGAAATCACTGAATAAGTGTAGTAAACATTACCGGTATTTCTAGACAGGAACTTCAGAAGCTCATCGATGATGATAACCTGCAGAGGTTACAGAAATATTCAACCATATGAGAACTAAGGTGGTATGTTGGCAAGATAAGATATTCACTGTGAGGGTTCCTTGACAGTTCTAGTTGATTATGCAGAAGAAGCTAGAAGTGAGAATTACTTACTGGAAAAGAAAGATACAGAACAGCGGTCCACTCGCCCCAGGACAATGGCGTGACCTGTAAAACAGTTGACATGAGAGACATTGAAAAGAAGACAACGATACGGCATTTTGTGTGGAAGAGATGAAACTTACAGAAAATAAGACCGCCAGTGGATGAACATATAATATTAGCACGTGCAGAACCATCGTCAGGATAATTGAACCAACGAGCCATAAATTACTCCTTGGGGTTACAACCCTGCAATCACAACGAGCCATTAATATGACCACGTAGCAAACTTGTCAAGTGGCATATTCCAATGTTTCTTCGTGGACGACACTCCACCACTTATAGTCTATACATAGCATTCAAGGAAAGAAAGAAAAGGAAGAAGCTATACTTACAGAAGGGATTGATTTTCGCTGAGGTTATTGAGAGCATTAAACATCTCTACAACAACAAGTACTGTCATAGCCACAGTCGATGGATGCCTATCCTCAAATATGCTGCAGGGATAAGTTGTCTCTCTAAGTGCGCACGTTTCAAAGTTCATCTGAAATGAGATTAAGCATTCTCAGATAAATATAGTGAAAATAGATTCCACTAGAGATAATAACGGTGGATATGAATGGTATGATCAGCAACTTGGGCAATAACTTTGAAAATGCGGAGGTTGACACACATGAATGGTGAAAAAATGTACACAAAATCAGACTCAGCGACAATTTAGCTAGAGATAAAACCTAACCAGTTCACTGTAAGTAAGTTTAGGACCACCATCAGAGTAAACAAACCACCATATGAAGCCAGCAACAGTTGCCAGACCGACATAAACTACAAAGAAAGATATAGAAAAAGTCAAGCAGATAGGTCATAGATGCGTGAAGTTACAGAGCCATCATTTTAGTTTTACCTCCGATAACCAAATACCGGAAGAATAACCACCCAGTGACCACTGCTTCACCAACCTGGAGTTCAACAACAAAGAGAACAAAAAATGACTAATTAAGGTCTGAGTAGTTTGAAAAGAAATTGGCACACTACAGAAAATCGTTAATTGAGAACTCATAAGTCCCTTCTTCACGCTATAGCCTAAGCACTATCATCACTGAAACCCATAAACCTTGGAAGGGCCTATAAATCATGCGACAGCAATTGTCTTTTAAGTTACAGCTGCTACCTTTCGGGGTTTTGCCTTCATAACATCGGAATCTTGTTTATTAAATCCAATGGCAGTGGCAGGCAATCCATCCGTTACTAGATTGACCCACAAAAGTTGAACCTACACAAAATTTTAACCGTAACAATCATAGATTTAGACAAACTTTGCAGATAAGACTATCAAAAATTGATACTTCATTGAGAGGACATAATTCCAGGCTAAACAAACTCACAGGCGCCAGGGTATCAGGGATTCCCAGTACAGCTGCCACAAATATACAAACCACTTCCCCTATATTTGAAGAGATCATGTATCTAATGAATTGCTTAGTGTTATTATATATAGCCCTTCCTTCTGCAACAGCCTGTCAAGAAGAGAGACAGTTTAGGAGTTGCAGTAAGAAGATACTGCAGTGTGGTTATTCCAGAATCAATAGAGGAATAACCATGAAAATTAAAAGAAAACAAACATACCGCAACTATTGAAGCAAAATTATCATCAGCCAAAACCATATCTGAAGCACTCTGAAATGCAGAAACAATTAGAGAAAAATAGGTTAAACGCAGAAGAGCATAGAGATATGAACCCTCGCCAAGCCACTTTATTGAAGGAATGGCGAGTCCAGTATTATTAGTAGCTTTACTAGTCTGCGAGCTCAGAAGAATTTTCTAAAGCAGTCACATTGTATTATACCACTAAGAGCAAAAAAGGGAAGCTTTTTCACAATATTTTTCATTTCTGATTGCAAATGAATATAAAACCGAGCACAGAGATGGTGAACAAGATTCCCATGTCAACGGATTACCATGTCTGGACGAGAGGAAGAGATCAAGATAAAGCACATGAACAATATAATTATGATTTTAAAGATGATAATTAGTTTTTTAGAATACAAAAAATATCAAGTCACACAGGATGCTAATCAAAACAAACAAAAGAAAAACAGAATGATACCTTTGCAACAGCTGTTCCAGAACCCATAGCAATCCCAATGTCAGCTTTCTTTAATGCAGGGGCATCATTGACGCCGTCACCAGTCATTGCCACCTAGGAGAACAAGGTTCGTGCGTAACACTGTTAGAAGCACAAACTTTTTTTCTTTAATAAGTACAAATGTGAACAAACATAAAAACCTCAAACAAAGCCACTATCGCAAAATGTGAATATGCATGTAAGTTCAAATGCGGACAAAAAAAGAAGAAATGTAATGAATGCAAACTTTGTGAACATGAGGAATTACCACTTCATTTTGGTTCTGTAGGGCTTCAACAAGCATCCGCTTGTGGGAAGGTTCAACCCTACACGCAGAAAATTATTGTTTCCAATAAACTTTAGAGAAGAAACAGAAATACGCATTATGATTAAACCTTTCAGTTCCTTGAAGGAACGGATGAAAAAATACCTGGAAAAGAGTGCCATCCGTCGCAACGCTAGTGTTTGTTGCACCGCTGGAAGCCGTTCAAATTCAGAAGCGGTGTAAGACTGACCAGAAAAGTCGGCCAGATTGTCGAATGCCCCTATTTTTCTACAGAGTGACTCCGCTGTGGACTGAAGTTTCATGATAATCAGAATACGCACCAAAAGAATGGAGATAATCAACAAAGCACACGTGCTCGGTTTTCTAGTACCTTGTTATCCCCGGTTACAACTATAACACGTATCCCAGCAGTCATACACGCAAGCATAGCATCTCTCACTTCTTTTCTTGGTGGATCAAGCATTCCCACCTTCAAAGGAAACACAAGATGAGATGTCTTCAACAGTTGACGAAAAATGACGAATAGTCAGTAAACCATTTGAATCCACATATTTGAAAGAAAGGCGTACCAACCCAATAAACGTCAGGTCGTTCTCATTATCATAGGAAATACTTTGTTGACCTTGGGGCACTGCTTTAAATGCTAATGCTAAGCATCTCAATGTTTCATCTCCAAAACTGTTACAGAGAAACATGGTTAGAAAATAGAACAACCTATTCGTTCAAATCTTTCAGAATTACCATACGAAGTGACAATACAAGCATCAAAAGATAACCATCACAAAGTGGAAAGAAAACCTAAACAATTCTCATTAAACGAACGGATGTCTGACCTTTGGAACCTCGACTCAAGCTCTGCACGGGCAGCAGCAGTTAGAGGAACAACAGAACCATCAACGTTGCAGAGAATTTTGGTACACCTAGCAATTATACTCTCTGGAGCACCCTTTGAAAACATTACATCCATTTGTTTATGGCTACATAGGACGCTCATCATTTTGCGGTCACGTGTAAACTCCAAAACATAAACCTGAACGGATATATGATATAGATGACCGTCAATTACTCATACAAAGTCACTTGTTTGAAATATAAACTTGTTTTGCATGTAAAACGACAGCCAACAGAACATAACAGGTTAGTTTTACTAGAGCCACACCTTTTTAAATTGGTTTTCCCAATAATGGTTACAGTATGATGCACGTTCATGCTTGCTCAACATATTTAGAGCAGAAGGCATTGAATCAAAACCAGGGAGGCCAACCTGAAAATAAGTAACAAAAGTAAGTTGGACAGTCTTTCAGGTATTTTAGACTTAGTAAGTTCAACCTCTGTGCAGGGTCTACTGTAAGATGACAAGAAATTGATGGTAACAATCAAGTCTAAGATTCAGCTTGAGATAGGATAGAAAAACAGAGTGTTATGTTCCATGGCTTTTCTTTATGTGGAAAAAAATCTACATAAGAAAGAGTTCACAAAAACACAGACCTTTTCTGCAAGAACTCGAAGAGCAACTTCAGTTGACTCTCCAATTTTTTCATAAGAATCCTTGTCCGGATTATATTGCAAAATGGAGTCATTACAGAGTGATGAACACATTGCTAGATGATGAAGGCAAGGTGACTGAGCAGGGACGTCAAGCTGCAAAATTGAACACATTGTCAATTTTTTAGTTCTATTGTGTGGTTGTCCTTGTGTGGTTGCAACTACCAGTCATCTTTACAAGTGTCATGTACGAAATAGTTGATAGCTTACATAGGCCATAGGAGAAGTAGTAATTACCTGCTGACCATTGCTGTCAAAGACAGTACCTTCTGGTGCATAAGTTGTCCCGCTAACATTGAATTCATTAATCAAAGGACCACGGTCTGCAGATTGGACTACACATATCTGACATACAAGCACAAGAGTAAGACTATTCAAAACTTTGATTTGAGACACCACAAACAGAAAATTTATATGCAAGAATGTAATTAGTTGCACTTAGTTATGCACAAAATCAAACAATCTACAAGCAATATTTGATTACTTCCCAGACATATACGGGCATGTGTGTTTTACACATGAAGTACATTGCCAAGATGCTCACTCAAGATATTCGTATATACAATTCAATTAAAAAATCGCAAGTGGTTCAGATACCATGAATAAGAGTTAACCGGCTCTGCTAACCTTAGACACCGACATCATATTGGTTGTTAATGTTCCAGTCTTGTCACTGCAAATTACAGTAGTGCAACCAAGTGTCTCGACAGATGGCAATGACCGTACAATGGCATTCAAACGGGCCATTTTCTTTGTTCCAAGAGCTAAACACCTAAATATTGAAAGGATTATAACCAATTAAACCACAACATTATAACCAGGAGTAGCCTCCCATCGTGGAAGATGACTAGTTGCAAAACATTTTAGACTCAACCAACATTAAAGCTATCTGAAACTTGAAACAAAATTATCATTTGATGATCACAAGAGCCCGCTACTTATCTGGGAAACTTCTGGTCTCCAAGATATCACTAACAATCCGCAGAAATCCTCTTAAGTTTCAAGTACCCTTTGCTTTTCTCCTAATGATGTTATTTGCTAACAATGGAATTAGCGAACACTTACGTTGTAACAACAGCAGGAAGTCCTTCAGGAATAGCTGCAACAGCAAGGGCAACGGCGATCTGGGAAAATAAAAGTAAAGCAACAATCCTGTCACCAAAACATACACTTATGGCATAATTTAAGTTGGTAAAAGGGATCTGGTAACATCTATCTTTTTGATATCACAACAAGAGTAGAACACACAAAACTGATAGTGTAGTCCGTAACTAAGAAATCAAAACTGTGAGGAGAGAACAAAAAAATAAATCACCTTAAAATAGTGAATTGCGCCTTTAAGAATTCCACCATGAGAAGGGTCACTGAAGTGACCAATGTTGACAACCCACACAAGTACACAAATCCCCGCAATAACCTATACATACAGAATAGGCTAGTACATTCTGAGAGAGCTTCAAGTTATGTTGAAAAACATACATTTCAATGAAATTAACTAACTATAATCACTGCAAGAGATTTCTGTCACGTCAGTCATTTGACAAATCCTTTTTTTTTAAAAACTCATTCACACTTCTCAGACACAATTAAGAAATGCTGACAACTGAGAGTTGGGCATCCAACGGAAAGACAACTCCATCCAGTCTTGTAATTTCAAAATGTGAAAATTCGAAACTTTCAAAAAGGAAAAAGGTTTTCACCTTAGCCAAAAAGCTGCCAAACTCGTCCAGCTTCTTTTTCAATGGAGTTGCCTCCTGTGACAGTAGCATTGACAAGTAAGAGAGAAAAGCCTTGTGCACTCCGCAAATAAAAGTTACAGAACCTTCTTTTATAAGAGAATTCTGACCGGCAAGAGAGCATATCAAAAGTGCATTTCCAGATAGAAATGAAAGAATATTGATAGCTTACATCATCTGTGTGCAACATAGAATCGTGTATGCTGCCCATCGCGGTGTTTGAACCAACTCCAATGACAATAGCCCTCCCCCTACCCGCAACCACATCAGTTCCCTGGCAGTCATTATATATTCTACCGAATTAAACACACAAAAAAAAAGAGATATAAAGAGGTAACTCGAACCAGAAATAAGTGACTAGGTTGTAGAGCCAAAATTTAAAAAGTGAGAAAAATCAGAATAATACAGCTATTTAAGGTCTAAGCATGAAGTAGCATTAGATCTCTAGGACCAATAAATGAAAAGACAATAAGCTAATGCAAGAATGAGTAACTCCTACCGAAAATAAAACATTCTTCTTGTCTTGGTAGACAGCATTTGTTGTTAAAGTACACTCAACATCTTTCTCCACAGAACAGCTTTCACCTGCAATTTCCGGGGAATATAATTGGTAGAGCGAGTATGAATGTAGTGCACAGTAAGTGACCAGTTGGACTTTAAACTACATGTAAAAGAGCCACTATTATTGCTGAAACTATAATGTTATAAGAAAAGGCATGTTCACTAATCAATAGAGAGAAGGGTTGACATGAAGTTGTACTAGTCACCAACTGACGTATATAGTTCTTGTGGCTCCGCAAATAAGAAGTTATAAGTAACATAATGACATACCAGTCAGAATTGCTTGATCAACTCGGAACTCATTGCTAGACATCTCAATCATCCTCAGGTCAGCTGGTATCTTACAGCCAACTGTTTACCATGCAAGCGTCAAGAAAAGAAGCTTTTAAGAATTTAGCAAAAGTCTAAGCCATTACTACAAAACTGTATTTAGGTGAGATAGAGCACACATACCAGTTACTTCAACAATGTCGCCTGGCACCAGCTCTGTTGCTGGTAGTATAGAGAAGCACCCTGCCATTATATACATGTCAATATGGAATGCCATCAACCTAGACAAGCACTCAGAGTAATTTTTGCAATAAAACTAATCACTTGGTCATATTATGATGCAAACTAACCATTTCGCAACACTGTAGCTATATTTGCTTGGTAGGCACGTAGCTCCTACAACAGGACAAAGAGAACACATACGAGATAGGTAAGCAAATGTTACAGCTTACAGCCAAAATAAGATCTAAGCTAACAAATCTTTAAGTACATTAGAGTCTTTTATACCCCTGACAAAGTACCTAGGAGAAAGCAAGAAAAAACTGATCTTTTACTGTAAAAGCAATTGATTTAAAAGAAAATCTGATATGTATCTGCATATATGTCCTCCCTTAAACCATAGCATAAAAACTACCTCAAGGGCCTTCTCAGCATTAGTCTCCGTAATCACCCCCACCGCTGCATTTGCAGCCAATATCAGCAGAATTACCTGTGATGGAATAGTAAATTCAAATAAGAATTGAGATACTCGAAGAAAGCTTCACACACAAAATCTAGTTTATGTGGTCTTGGTGCGGGTAAATCATATAATGAATAAAATGGAATCATATCACAAGACTGAATCCTATTAATGCTGAAATCCCTATTTCTCGTCTGCTTATAGAGATATTATTTAGGCCATCACAAAGAAAAATAGCCAGTCTAAAGAAAAACATTTTTAATAAAAATTTCACAAAATATTGTAACTTACAAAAGGCTCCAGAAATGCTGTTATCCCAGTCTCTCCATTGGCCAAAGCCAATACGAAAGAGACGATTGCAGCCACAATCAATATCTTAACAAGTAAATCATCAAATTGTTTCAGAACCAGTTTCCAGAATGAAGTTCCTGCGTTCAGTAAAGAAGAAGACAATTAAAAAAAATGGCACATGTCAGGGGAGTACTTAATCCTCTTCCGAGGTAACATCATTAGAAAAGGCTAGGTCCATGTGTTAAGAAGAACTATAAGGAGGATATAACACGATCAGCTAATACAGTCTCAAAACATAAAATGCTTTTGTAATAGAACAGCTCTATTCTGGACAAATAATGAACCAGAATGAAATAAAAAATATCCAATGCGAAAATTGGTCAAGTCATCACAGCGCTAAAATAATTTAGGAACTTCCATAACCATGATGTTCATCTTGAAACTAAAAACAAAAATCACATCTTTTTCAGAGAACCTCTAAGTACGTATTAATATGGAGGCCAGGATGAATATCAAAGACAGTAATTGACAAACTTACTTTTCTCTTCAGGCAGGACTGCAGTTCATGTGAAAAGACATGCAAAAACATCAAAAGATGGGATTAGAACTAACAAGATAATAATATCTGAAAAAAGGTATGCTCTTTACACATAAAGCAGACTAATTTCCCGAAGTGCCAAGATTTTAATCGCTCAGACAATCATATGCAGGAATTTTTACTGAATAACACTCACACTGTGCATCGATATTAGAATTCCTACGGACTGTTCAAACAAAGGGAACAACAAATTTGTAGTCTGTGTACTTGACAAGTAATTCACAATGCTAGAGCTTAAAAGTAGATGCCAATACTACAATCTACAGCTCGCTTAAATTCCATATGCTTCACTAAAAAGGAGAATAACACACTAAGACCCTATTATCACACCACTGCAGAGAGTCTCTCTGTGTCCTTGAGTGATCCTTTATATGAACACAAAATTTAGAAGTGTTAAGTGATAATACATACCATTCCTGCCAAAAAGCCTAGAGTGATGATCAACCTACAAATATGGAAACCAAGGATCAATTTTGCGCCATCCAGAAATTCAACGTCAAGGGTTAACTAAATTTTGGATTCAAAAGTTGCAAGTTTCAAGTTCCAACAATGGAGATCTCAATTCGATTGAGAAACATACCTGAGCATCAGAAAGACCCTTTGTTGGGTCTACCCCAAAGAAATCAAGCACCTGCACAAACAAGAGAATCCCATCAAAATTCAGCTTGCATCGCAGCTGAAATAGCTCCCGGGAACATCATCACCAGGTTGTTGTGATCGTATACGATCGCAATCATATCGCATTCCGAATTCGATTACAAGAGAACAAAATTGAGAAGTGAAATGCAAAGCACCTCAGTGACAGATCTGGCGTAGGCGTCTTCCATGTTGAGGAAAACTAGGGATTGTTCGAATTTGGGGATGAAAGACGAAAGTGAGCTGAAATCTAAAGAGTAGAGAAGATGAGAAGTTGTAACGCCAGCTTCGGTTCCATGAGAGTGTCTCCGTCTTCTCCGTCGCGATCGCTGCGAGTGAAAGTCAAGTGCCGAGCGAGACACACTTTACATGATTTAGCCGCTAGGCTTCATATCGTTCGTTAATTAAATTATTTGGAAAATCAATTAAAACTATATCAAATTTTATTACATTCATATGGTTTCAACTTTCATATAAATTTTTGTTACTCAGTTATAACTTATGATGATTCATACATCTCAACAGATCAACCATACCAATCTTTGCTATAACTTATGATTCATACATCTCAACAGATCAATCACAAATTGATCAATCTTTTTCTAGAGTTGCCAAAAATGAGAAATTCTTATAAGTTTTTCTCTCTAATAAGTACATCTTAATGAGGAATTTGAGAATTTTGTAAGCGTATAGCAAAGATTGCTCACAAATTATATTCTTCGTGTATCTGATCCGATCCCGTTCTGATATTGTGTTCTGGCTACGTGTGTTGCAGACACTGATGATGGGCCGTTAATCTCTTAAGATAACTTAATGTTGGGTTAATGAGTACGGTTAATTAGTGTAGAGTATGCATAGTCTTGAATAGCTCTGGTTAAAGTGTGAAATTGGCAGCTGATTTGTCACCTGGACAATCGGGAATTTATCTTCTGTAATCTCACAGTGAATGTTAAGGACAGTGAGAGGGCTCTGTGGGAAAATCCCAGTTGTTATTTGTGGGAATAAAGTGGTTAATGTGAATTGTGAAGGAACCGGTGATGTTCTCTAGGGAGGAGGAATTGCTAAGACCAGCTACAAGCCTACAAGTTTACAACTATAGAACTGGCTTCGGACAACACTTCTTGTGGGCCATGGTAGTTTGAGTTAAAAGAGGGTCCACATAAGTAGTCCTCGCGCGTGGTCGGAGGATCTTCTCGCTTTAGTTGGCTTTACCGTAATCAAAGTTAACATATTCTGATTTCAGTACTATTATTTTTCTAGTAGAAGAAATTCCGTATTACAGTATATTTTTAATTTAACCAACTCCATTAAGGTTTCTTAATCATTCCCTTACTCGCTTTCTACGTGTGTCATTTGCTCTTTTACAGCACATGAAACGGAGATCATATAACATTTTTAATTTATTATAAGTACACTGGTTAGCTAGTTGGTAATCTAAGATGTACGGAGCACTGATTCGACTTTCACTGTTTTACGGAACATTGATATCGAATCATCGATGGTGAAAATTGTTTACTAACCAATAATCTTTTAGCTATATTATTCGTAGATGGATTATTTTGTATATTTATGATGAAAAGCTCGTAATTGTTTCAGCCAATGAGCCATAGTATTATTTCTTATACATTTATGCTTCTGTGTATATGCATATATGTCTGGTGAAACAGCAATCTAGTGTGGTCCCATATGATTATTGGAGTAATGTAGAATGAGTTGTGTGCAAGTCTCACTTATCATAATTTGGTTGGATCTTAATTCTTCTCCTTGTTTACAATGATGAGACGCATTGCCAAGTTGAATAAACAATTTAATTCTCCCGACCTAACTATTTTGTAAATACATTTCTCTTACAATCGTACATATTTGGTTGATTTCTTACGAAAAAACAAAAATCTGAAAAGTAGTGGTGACAAAATGTATTGTTTTGTAGTTTACTCGAAGTTTGGAAAATACACTCGACTTTCATAGATTTGAAAATCAAAATAATATTTAAATTGCCAAAGTCATTATTTAAAAAAAAATTATCATATGTAAGTAGAAAAATATTTAGTTAATTATATACTTAGTTTTAACTTTTAACTACTGTGTTAATTGTGAAACAAACAAAAATACAGGTAGCATAAAACACGTGTATAGGCTACGACGTTTATACACTAGATCTCACCTTTGTTTACAGCTAATTAACAACCATGGTTGTGGGTTTGACCAAATAATTAAAAGTTTGACCATTATTTATTGGTTGTTGGGGGTTAACTACAGTACGAATCACTAGTGTGTGCAAGTCTTATAAACAGCTGTAAGCTCGACTATATGCATATTTTTAATGATTAATTATTTTATTCTGAATGAAAAAAGATTAGATTCCCTTTTATTCCTTCTGTTTCCTCCTATGACAATGATGTAATATATTGGGTTTTTTGTACTAATCTAGGATTATTTTGTTGACCAAAAACAAAAAGTTACTAGTATTATTTTGCGTGTGCTTCCGAACATAAAATTAGCATTCCGTGACTAGATGTGATTGTTAGTAAAATGAGTTTTAAGTCAAATGATTTATTTCCGATTTACCTGTTACCACTTACCACCGACTATATATATGACCGAGAGTGATTTGGAAGAAGTGGGAAATAACAACCTGTTCATAGTTAAGAAAAATAATTGGAACTACGTGACCAAACTGTACTTATGGCTTACTCCAATATTTATACAGTATATTATAACAAACATAATACATGAGATGAGAAAATATAGTCACTGTCTCTGAAACATTATGCAATCAAAATCCTAGTCAAAGACGGGTTTACTGTTTAGAGCAATGTAATTTTTTAGTTGATTTCAAGTAGCGATTTCTCTTGTTTCAACAAGTGTGAACTTTGCTTGTTTTGGGGGAAATAAAAGACGAGTAGAGATAGATATTCAGAAATTGTCAAAAGTGTTGCCAGTTTAACTTTGCTTGTTTTCGGAAAATGACAACACAACCAAATAGTATCACCTAGATTTTAGGACCCTCGCAAACTTTACGCACTGTTCAATTTCATTACAAGGTCGATTATTTTTGTTATTGTTAAAATGATTTGTTTTGTCTCAAGTTGCATATATCTGTAATATTTACAAAGAAAAAACCAATGTCCCTCGTGCCATATTCCACTTATTTCAGAAATTTTCAAACCACCTTTTAACTCCGAGAAACGAAGAAAGTCTTGCGTGATCACAACGAGTTTTAACAAAAAAAACCTTATTACTAGAACAATTTTTTTAGATTATATAGTTTTGCAGTATAAAAAGGAAAACAGTTAAAAACGAATAAAAAGTATGTTGCTTGGATCCAACGGCGTAGAGATGAGATCCAAATGTAGTGGTTTAATCACACGGCTGTTAGAAAAGCTGAGCGAAAAATTATTCCAAAAGAGGGTTAGTTGGCACTCAGAACAAAAATATGAGTGTGTCACAGCAAAGAGTCTTCTGTTAGAATATATAGTTGGCAATTTCTGTCAGTAAAAATAATATTATCTACACATATAAATATACAAACATAATCATACATGCTATATACATGCATGTATGTGTACTTATATATGTTATAATATTCTAAAGCACATGTCAGAGTAGAAGCTAGAAAGCAAAGCTTGGGCATGAAGAGAAGAACCTCTTGCTTGTACATTGAGACTTTGAGTTAACAAGGAGAAAAAATGCGACATTTTAATAGAAATTGATTAAAAACATAGGAAATTTACACTAATACCATTTTAAATGTGAAATCACCAAACCTTCAATCTCTTTTTTTTTTGTAATGGAAAAATTGTTAATTACTTTATCACATTGCATAATACAATCCAGCTTATAGGGACAATTGCTGTAATTTAGGATACTAACAAGGTGTAAAAGTTAAGACATGAATTTATGAAAAAGAAGGGAAAAGTAAGACATGTTAGAGAGGTAGATTAGGTTGTGTAATAATGAAAAAGAAAAGAGCAAATAAAGCAGTTGGCAGTAGTTGTTCAGTCTTTTGTTTTAATAATCATATTATGTCTCCTCTGTTTAGTGTTTAACTCTCAACCTCTCTCTCTCCTCTCAAATGGTAATTATCAGTCTGTATTTTTTTCTCTTTCTCTAGGTCTTTTGTTGTCATTAAACACAATTATTATTACTGTTTTCTTTGATCCCTTCTATAAAGGTCGGAACTTGATGCTTGCGTGCTTTGCTGTTTGCTCGATTGTGAATCTCTCGTTTTTATCTCCCCCTTTAAATTCCACATTCTCTCCCCAATTCAAGCAAAAACAGCATCTGATTTAGGTTTACTGTAAAACTGTGAATTCCCCACTGAAGAATTTGATTCTTGTTTTGTACTCTTTCCAAGGGCACCACAATCTTGGAGTATCTCAAACAGGGCCTTGTCTCAATTTCCTTCCATTTTATTAATCCTCCCCAAATAATTGCTTCTCTGATCCTAACAACTTGTTTGATTCTATCCAAATGGGTTTGCGTCAGTTTCCTTCATTTTAAATTCCCAAATTCTTGCTTCTCTGATCTCACCGTCTGTGGAAGGCCAAATCTTTTTCTTTTTCTCTGATCACCCTGAAGCTGAAGAGATTGGTTATGAGAGAGACAGTGACTTTGCTCTCTCACACTCATAAAAGCGAATCTACTTTTCCTTTGAAAAATAAGGTCTTGTGAGCTGTAAACTTAGCTAAATCCATTTGCTTGTTACCACTTTATGCTCTGAAAGTTCTCAGCTTTCTTTGTCTATTGATAAGTCTATTTGTTCTCTTTAATTATTTTCTTCGCTTGACTTGATTATACGAATAAGCATTTATCCTAGGGTTCTCTCTCTTTCTCTCTCTCTTCTCTTTCCTAAAAGAACCTGTGACTTGCTTCTGCTACAATAAGATTTGATGCCCTGCTGATTTGGTTTCTTTTATTTCCTCCTCTTTCCCAACTTTAAAAAATCGGCAAAAACTGGTTTTTTGATTTCCTTGTCAAAAGTCTTGCAAAGAAGGGAAATTTTCTTGTTGAGGGGTTGGAATCAGAGGAATGGGTAGAGAGAGTAATGAAGGAGAGATGGGGTTTAAGCATGGAGGAGGAGATGATGAGAGTGGGATCTCAAGAGCTGGAATTACATCAATGCCCTTGTATGCAAAGGCAGATCCTTTCTTCTCTTCTACAGATTGGGATCCAGTTGTGTCTGGGATCACTGGTGGTGGTGGTGGTGGTGGCTTCTCAAGCTCTCACTACCATTCAATGGCCATGGACAATCCAGGGATGGGTTGCTTCCCTCATTACCCACCCGGTTCGGGTTCGGGTTCTGGCTATGGAAACATGCCTCCGAGTCTTCTTCCGTTTGGTGAGTGTGGAGGTGGTCATTTTCTTGGTTCGGACAAGAATGGGGAAAGTGTTGGAAGATTGATCAGAGCTGGAGAGTCTCATGAGGATCATCATCATCATCAGGTTTCAGATGAGGGTGTTCTTGGTGCTTCCCCAACTAGAAAAAGAAGGCAAACCGAAGCCGAATCACAATGGAACAAGGTATGTTGTTTTTTGGTTTGCATTTAGGAAAAAGGCTGAAGCTTTGTTGTTGCTGAAACAAGTTGTGAAATTGGCAGAAAGCTGTGGAGGAATTTCAAGAAGACCCTCAGAGGGGAAGTGATGGGAGCCAGAAGAAACAGAAAGCAGAGCAGAGTAAAGAAACAATGAACAAGGAGAGCTCACAGAGTGAAGAAGCACCGAAAGAAAACTACATTCATATGAGAGCAAGAAGAGGCCAAGCCACTAATAGTCACAGTCTTGCAGAAAGGGTAAATGACTCTTTTACTGATTATTATTTACTTGAATTTGCTTTCTGCACAATCACTGGTTCTGAGAAGTTTGCTGTTTTGTTTTCTTGTTTGAAGGTTAGAAGAGAAAAGATCAGCGAAAGGATGAGATTGCTTCAAGAGCTTGTTCCGGGATGCAACAAGGTAATTGCTTTTATCAGTTTAACTTCCTTTTGGTTTCTGTGTGTAATTTTGCTGAGTTCTGATAATTGTTTAACTAGATCACGGGGAAAGCAGTTATGCTCGATGAAATCATCAACTATGTTCAGTCATTGCAACAACAAGTTGAGGTAAAGAAAATTCTCCATTCTTGGAACGCTTTAAGTTAGTTTGAAAGAGGTTTTTTGGTTCTGATGTTTCTGTGTCCACATCACTGCTTCGTTTTCTCCAGTTTTTGTCTATGAAGCTTGCGACTGTGAATCCAGAAGTCAACATTGATATAGACAGGATTCTCGCTAAAGATGTAAGAAGCTCGAATTCTCTCTCCCACCAACACTTGATAATGAAATTGTAGTCGTGTGCAAGTTGTGAATGAGTACTAACTAAACCTCGTTTTTGTCCTTTCAGCTTTTGCAACCAAGAGACAGAAACACTCCTACACTTGGGTTGAATCCTTTTAGCGGTTTTCAAGGGACGATGCCGAACATTTCTACCAGCACAAATCCACAGTACAACACATTACCTCAGGCAAGCAACAGCTTAGAAGAAACAAACACCATGTTCACTCTAAATATATTATTCTTACACATTCTAATCTTTTAAATTTCATCCTACAGACAACACTAGAGAGTGAACTACAAAGCCTTTACCAAATGGGTTTCGTCTCAAATCCATCGACTATGTCCAGTTTCTCACCTAATGGTATATACAAACTTGCTTCTCTTATATCTCATCTCTCTGTTTTGTGTGTGTGTGTGTGTGTGTGTGTGTGTGTGTGTCTTTATTGATGTTATCTTCTTTCTTGCCGTAGGTCGATTGAAACCAGAGCTCTAGTACTTCAAGGAACATTCGCAGAGAGTTTGTATAGAAGATGGCTTTGGTTCCAAGTATTATTATCATATCTGTTCTTCCATATGTTATTATTATTTTGTCTAAAAAAAAGCAGAACGATTTGGATTCTCGGTTGTTGTTGTGTTTTTTTCCCCTCTCAACGAAGAATGCATTTATTAAATATTGCATCAGAATACATCGTTTTACGATATCCAAGTGATGATTGTCAGAGAATCTTCTCAACGAAGAGTGCATTTACTAAATGAAAATGTCTGAATCTTTTGTTAGTTGAACTTCTGAAAGCTTTATATGGTCTAAGATGCACCACAAGTTTCCAAACAGAGTGAAAATCTCGAGTTTTGTAAAATTAAGAAACTCAACGGAAGAAATAAAGCACAGCATGATAGGATCTCATCAAAGAGTCTACACTTTGTTGAAACAAGTCTACATCAATACAAACAATCCACAACACCTAAATCTCTAAGCATCACTCAGATCCATATGCTCTCACTAGATATCCATACGGTTTTGGTTCTAAATAGCAACAGTGAATGGCCTCACATATATGGATTCAGCAACAAGTAAAAACGGTTTCACTTTCCAGTCACTTAAAGAGGACATTAATGAAGTCATGTACCTAGTGAATTCACGTACATATATATCCTCAGTTCCGTCTTCTGCAAGTCATCAATCTTACAAAGGATTAGGCTACAAGACAAAACGCAGAGTACTATCTTAACAGTTCAAGAATAAGAGACGGGTGAGATTAACTAGAAGCAAACCTGGCAACACAAAGATGATACAATCTTGAAGAAGCAAAGATTACAATTATGCAATGATAAATACTCAGATAAAAAAGTTTATAAAATAGAGATTAAACTCTGGAAATAACAAACAGGATATCCGATGGATTTAGCAGAGTATGCGGCATCATAGGATTGGGTTTCCTGATCCTGGATCACCAGCTCGCGACCATAAAACAGCAACTTCTTCTTCGTCTTCTTCTCACCGTCGAGTAGTGCTAGTGGCGCGAGGGCGCATCGAACACTGTAATTAGTACCAAACCAAGAAGAAATTGCCTCCAGGTCAATGGACCACATTTTGTCCCATGTCTTGTTGCCTGAACTGAAGGACCAAATCACTTGGTTGGGCCACTTCATCTCGGAAACGCACAAGCGGTTCTCGAGGTTGCACATGACAATCTTGTTATCTCTGTAAGGATGTACATTGACAAAGGGAGCTTTACAGAGGACTTGAAAAGCTTCCGTGTGAAGATCGAAGGATACGACTTTGGTTTCTTCGCACTCGGTGAACCAGTGAAGCGACCCATTGGCGCAGCGTAAGAAACGGATTTGTAGCTCGATCAAGGATTCTTTCAAATTCTTGAGACCTACTCTTGCTCAATCAAGTGAATTCAAAGAACTCTCTTGAGACCAAGCTTCCTGTATTGATGAATTGAATCAAATCAAGACAAGGATCAGAGCAATAACTCTTTTATTAATAAACTTCAAAACTGAATGTGAGAAGAGGAATTACATCGACTTAAATAAGAAAGCATCAAGGTCGGTCACAAACGACTTTCCTTTCTAAAGAATAAGAAACACGATTGTTAAAAAGAAATATGCTAAAACAGAGCAAAGGAAAAGAAGCGACTAGACTCAAGACCAAAACCAATAATAACCGGTTGCTTGTGAAGAAAGACATTAAGATGCTACATCAGGACTCCCGGGGTTAGAAAGATTCGTCCCTGAATCTGGAGTAGTGATTGGTGAATGGTAACGAGAGAAGTACTTGACATTGAAGACATCAGAAGTGCGAACATCAGAGGGAAGGCGAAGACGATAAGCATTATCGTTGATACGCTCCAAAACTTCAAGAGGACCAATTTTTTTTGCTTTCAGTTTGTTATATGCATGAGCAGGCATACGATCTCGGGTTAAGACAGCCCAAACGAAGTCTCCCACTTCAAACACCAAACGTCTACGATGAGTATCAGCGGCAGATTTATACTTAGCGGTGGAAATGGCAAGATTCTCTTTGACTTTTTCATGAGTCTCAAGGACATTTTCCATGAAAGTTTCAGCGTCGCCATGAAGTCTAGTGCGATCAGGTAGAGTAGATAAATCGACTGGACCACGAGGAGAAAAGCCGTAGATAACTTGGAAAGGACTGTAGCCTGAACTGCGATTGACGGCATGATTATGTGCAAACTCTGCTTGTGGAAGCTTAGAATCCCAACTCTTGATGGAATCACCAACTAAACAGCGCAAAAGGTTACCTAAAGATCGATTAGTAACCTCGGTTTGGCCGTCGGTTTGAGGATGGTAGGCAGAACTCATGTCGAGGCTAGTGTCAAGAAGCTTCCATAACGAACGCCAAAAGTGGCCCAAGAAACGTGAATCACGGTCGGAGACTATTGAAGCAGGCAGTCCATGTAAGCGATAAATTTCACGAAAAAACAGAGTCGCCACTTGAACCGCATCAGTGGTCCGTTTGCAGGGAATAAAGTGTACCATTTTAGAGAACCTATCAACCACGACAAAGATGGAGTCAAAGCCTTTTTGAGTACGCGGAAGACCCATCACAAAGTCCATGCTGATATCCGTCCAAGGCTGAGTCGGAATAGGTAGAGGAAGATACAATCCTGCGTTTGATGCTTGTCCTTTGGATGTTTGACAAATGACACATCGTTCAACGAATCTCTCTACGTCACGTCGCAAAGAAGGCCAGAAATAAGATGAAGAGACCAAAAGTAACGTTCTATCGCGTCCAACGTGTCCCTCATTGTGAAGCTCAGAGATTAGTTTCAAACGAAGGCTGCAATCTGGAATGCAGAGCCGTGATTCCCGAAATAAAAAACCATCATGACGAGTATAAAGCCGTGACGAGGCTGAGTCTGTATCTGACCAAATCGGACCAAAAAAAGAATCTGAAGCATATAGGTCAGCAAAAGAACTAAATCCAGGAACCGAAACATGTAACACTGCCAATAAAGAGTGACGTCTGCTCAGAGCGTCTGCAACACGATTACTAACTCCCGACGTGTGTTTAATCACAAAAGTGAACTGTTGAAGATAAGCTATCCAAGAAGCATGCCGTGCTGAAACCTTATCTTGATTGCCAATGTGTTTGAGCGCATCGTGATCAGTGTATAGGACAAACTCTTTATGAAACAAATAGTGACGCCAATGTTTAACGGCTTGAATGATCGCATAAAATTCCAGATCATAGGTGCTATAGCGAAGACGCGCACCAGCAAGTTTCTCACTGTAGAAAGCGATAGGGCGACCACGTTGACTAAGGACGGCGCCAACACCTAGCTTTGATGCATCACAATGTAATTCAAATACCAAGGTGAAGTCGGGAAGAGCTAGGATCGGTGCAGAACTTAGCTTGTCCTTGACTAAATCAAACGCTGTAGAAGCTGCTGGTGTCCAAACAAATGAGCCATCGCGAATGCAATCCGTAATTGGAGCCATAAGGCTACTAAATTGTGGCACAAAACGCCGGTAAAAAGATGCTAGACCATGGAAACTGCGAGTCTCTGTAAGTGTTTTAGGAACGGGCCAAGAGCGAATAGCCTCAACTTTGCTGGGATCAACAGATAAACCTTGGGAAGAGACAATATAACCCAAAAACTGTACTGCAGGAGAACCAAACTCGCATTTCTTCAAGGTTGCAAAAAGCTGGTCACGTCTTAATACTTCAAGAACCTCCCGTAAGTGAATCAAATGTGCTTCAATGGTTAGGCTGAAGATCAAGATATCATCAAAGTAGACAACCACAGATTTACCAATGAAGGGGCGCAAAGCTTGATTCATGACACGCATAAACGTACTAGGTGCATTGGATAATCCAAACGGCATGACCAACCACTCAAAAAGTCCTTCACGAGTTTTAAAGGCCGTCTTCCACTCATCTCCTGGACGAATCCGTATTTGATGGTAGCCACTCTTTAAATCATGTTTAGAGAAGACAGTAGCTGTACCAATCTGGTCTAAGAGATCATCTAACCGAGGAATGGGAAATCGATAACGTACCGTGATTTTATTTATAGCACGACTATCAACACACATGCGCCACATCCCATCTTTCTTTGGAATAAGTAAGGCTGGTACAGCACAAGGACTCAAACTTTCCCTGAGAAAACCTTTTGCAACTAATTCTTCGACTTGACGCCTTAACTCTTCATGCTCACTAGGGCTCATGCGATAATGTGGACGATGAGGAAGTAAAGCATCAGGCACCAAATCGATGCGATGTTGAATATCGCGTAATGGAGGCAAACCGCTCGGAAGATCCTCCGGAAAGACATCAGAGAATTCTTGAACTATTCCAGCAAAGGCTGGTGCAATCTGAATAGGCGACGGAGGAGAAGGCGTTGTTGACAAGAGAACAAGCACTAGTCCTGCTTCACGCATTTCTTCTTCAAAGGGTGCTCGTTGTAACAATAAAATAGGAGACGGTGCAAGAGACGAGGATATTGGAGGAGAAGGCTTGAGTGTGAAGCTACGGTTATTAAAGGAGAAGGTGTATGTGTTTAAAAAACCATCATGTTGGACCTTGCGATCGAACTCCCAAGGGCGTCCAAGAAGAAGATGACAAGCATCGGTTGGAGCCACATCACAGTAAAGCTGATCTTTGTAAGCATCACCGATAGAAAAATTGACCAGAGCTCGACGAGTAACACGGAGTTCACTCCCTTGTTGCAATCCTGCCAATTGGTAAGGATATGGGTGTACTTCATCTTTCAGCTCTAGCTTTTTAACTGCTTCTTCTGCAATAACATTTGCACAACTGCCTGAATCAATGATGAACTTACAGACCTTGCCATTTATTGTGCAACGAGATTGAAAGAGGTTGTTTCGCTGTGAAAGATCAAGTTGTTGACGAGGGGCCAAAAAGTTCGTCGTAACATCAAGAGGTGGCCCGTATCTCCTTCTAGTTCACACGGTTCCTCTGGGTTTTCTTCATCCGCCTCAACGATAATCTCCACATCACGTCCAGAGGTATCAAGCAAGAGACCACGTTTGTTGCGGGAAGGACAAACAGATTGTCGATGTCCTATTTCACCACAACTGAAGCATCGTAAGGTGCCTGGACGTCGCGGAAAGTCGGCAGGGACAAGAGCTGTTTCGGGTTTTAGAGCCGGAGTTTCTGGTATTGGAGCTGGTGAAGGCAGAAGAGAGCCTGTGACAGTGCGCGGCGTACGCGCAGAGCTCCAAGGAGAGTAGTTTACTCTGGTTTGAGTCTCGACAGTGAGGGCTTGTTGATGAGCTTCAGCAACAGACAGAGGGTTGAACAAATTCAATGTATGCTGAATGTTCTGTCGTAAACCACCGACAAAGCGAGCAACCAACTGTTGTTCGGAATCTTGTAAATCTATGCGAGTAATAAGCAGAAAAAATTCAGTGGCGTATTCTTCAACAGAGCGAGAGCCTTGTTTCAGATTTTGCAATTTCTGGAACATGAGATGCTCATAATTATACGGTAAGAATGTTTTCTGCATCTTGGATTTGAGTTTCTCCCATGAAACGATTTTCTGTTTTCCTTCTCGAGCACGTGAAGCTTTGAGTTGGTTCCACCAAGCCGAAGCTCTGTTTCGAAATCGCATAGTAAGAACCGGGACGCAACGATCAAGCGGAACACGTTTAAACTCTAGGACTTCTTCCACCGTGACAATCCAATCAAGTAGCTCTACAGGTGATTGTCCGCCATGAAACTCTGGAATTTCGAATTTAAATCCACTTTCCCATCTGAAATCATCGTTTTCTGTTTGCGCTTGAGTACGTTGATTTTGTAGAGGAGCAAAAGGATTGTCGTCACCGTCAGATGCGATAGATTCTTCATCAAACTCGGCATGATCGTTCACAAGAGGTCGCTGTGCGGCGAGGTTTTGGAATGCTGCCGTTATCATACGCATCTGTTCTTGAAGGTCTGTGATGGCTTGGCGAGTGAGCTCTTCCGACGTCGGAGCAGCGGTTTTCTTGAGGCGAGGCATCGAGAAAAATTTTGGCACAAAAAGAGCGTAGCAAAGCTCTGATACCAACCTGGCGCAGCGTAAGAAACGGATTTGTAGCTCGATCAAGGATTCTTTCAAATTCTTGAGACCTACTCTTGCTCAATCAAGTGAATTCAAAGAACTCTCTTGAGACCAAGCTTCCTGTATTGATGAATTGAATCAAATCAAGACAAGGATCAGAGCAATAACTCTTTTATTAATAAACTTCAAAAACTGAATGTGAGAAGAGGAATTACATCGACTTAAATAAGAAAGCATCAAGGTCGGTCACAAACGACTTTCCTTTCTAAAGAATAAGAAACACGATTGTTAAAAAGAAATATGCTAAAACAGAGCAAAGGAAAAGAAGCGACTAGACTCAAGACCAAAACCAATAATAACCGGTTGCTTGTGAAGAAAGACATTAAGATGCTACATCACCCATCCACATATGCCATAGTTCTAATTCTAATGCATGTAATCTGAATGCTTGGAAATACACTAATGTTTTGGTTTTGGATTAGACTTATAAGATTGTGCTTTTGGATTAATTAAACAATCTAGTATCATGTAATATATTGGTTTTTAACATTTGGTTTCTATTTTGGCGGCAATTTTTTTTTAAAAAGTTTACAAATTTTCATTGGAAAACCATCTCAATTTAGTTGCAAAACAATCCCTTGATAATCCATTGGTAAATATTCCGTTGTAAATCTGTCGGTAAACAATCTCTCTGAAATCCGTTGCGATAGATGATCTCTGGCAAATCCGACTAATTAAACGATTGATAATCTCTCGGGAATCAACCAACGAAAACACTTGTCGGGATTCCGTCGCTTATGTGGACAGACGGTTTAACAACGGAAAACCAATGCTATAAACGTTCTTGAAAATCCGTCGGAAAACGGGACTCTCGTAAATTCGTCGGAAAAGATGTCTCTCGAAAATCCGTCGTAAATTGGGGGTTCTCGCAAATCCGTCGTAAAATGGGTCTCTCGCAAATCCGTTGGAAAACGGGTCTCTCGCAAATCCGTCGGAAATTTCCAACGAATTTACGACGGCGCTAAATTAGCCACCTAGACCGACGATTTTTTTCGTCGCTAATCCGTTTGTATTAGCTGTTTCCAACGGCAAAACTACGATTATAGCCGTTGGAAAAGGCCATGTTTTCTTGTAGTGCATGCACAGGCTTGGGCAAAGCAACGACCCGATAAGGAGCAGCGGGAGTGACATATCTCCAAGAGCTGGTGGTAAAGTCGAAAACTTCGCACCTAGTAGCGTCTTCGAGGCCTGTTTCTGGAGAGTTGTATAGCCAGACGGGCTTGTATGTGCGCGTGAGCTTGTCTTTGCCGAATCCAAGACTGAAGTATGAGTGTCCAAGGTCCAAGTATCTGTCTCCTAGGTCAATCATGAGCTGCTGGAATTGGCATAGAGGAAGGGGGCGATGCCATCCAGTGGTGGGATTGACCACAAAACCGGTTATGTGGTTATTGTAAACACAAACGAGACCGTCACAGCTTCCATTAGAAACGTGATAAAGTGTATTCTCCCAGGGAGTAGGAATGTTGCCCGATGATGAAGAACCCACCACCAGTGTTCTTAGAGCTTCTATGTCCGGTTTAACAACATCATAGGGACGTACGGAGACCATGAGCACATCTGGATCTCCTGATTTCTGACGATGCTTCAACTGTTTTTCTTCGAAGTATGGATCTCCGATAGTTGATTTCCATTGCGTCGATACAGCCCTGAATCTCAGGAGAGACTTCACGGGAAGTCTCTCCATGATGAGCTCTACCACATCGTGGGGCAGCGGTTCCATACTCATGCAGCGTTGTTTTTTCGACGACATTCTGTTGATTGAGAAGAGATAAGTAAAGTACAGAGGCTTACTTATATTATACGAAATCATCTCACAACAACAAATAGGAAAAGGAAAACAATCAAAAAAAGTTTTCCTTTTCTGATTTAACGGCTAACACTTTTCCTTTTCTAGGACTTTCATCAGATCAAGGGAAACCATCTTCTCCTCTCCCTTTAAACTAAACATCAATTTCTTGCATCTCAAAATGCTTTAAGTCACATGTCACGTTTAAAGAACTCATCTCTCTTCTTGCCATTCTTGTTTTCTTTCTGTTTCGTTTGCTCTGTAACATCATATCTACTCTATTGTGGTGATTCGAATCTGCTTTCTGTGAGTTATTACGAGATCATCTTGTCTCACAAACTAAGGACATACCTGATTCGTTTAGTCAAAACTGATTACAGGTACTGTTTTACATTTTTCAAAGATGGAAAGAAATTACTATTTGTGGTCGTCATACTCATATCAAAAGGAAAAATTGAAAGAATACAAAATCGTTATCTTTACCATCACTCCAAAAGTCAGAAAATACATTTTTCCAAGATGGAAAGAAATTATCATATCAACAAGAAAAGGAAAAAGTTGGAAAGTATACAAAATCAATAACAGAAAAAAAGAGTCGTATCATTATCCTTCTGCAACTTCTCTCACGCCTCTGCTTGATCATTATCTTGCTCTGAAACATCCTCGTGAGCCTATAAAGACCACAAGAAAAGAAGACCTCGTAAGAATATGTTATCAAGTACCAAAAAAAATTCAAAGAGCATGAGAAGAAGTGTAGAGTATACTCACGCATGCGTCCGTTAATTCTCTGAGAGTTTCCTCGTCTAGCTTAGAAAGTTCCACTTTCAACTTTTCCTTTCCCATGACGTCCTTGATCTCTATAACGATGTAGCTTTTCTGGATGATTGTCACAACACAGCTCCATACACTCGGCATGCAAGTTCTTAAGAATCTCATCAGATGTCAGAGAATCAGACTCAGAGTGCTGCGAATCACAAAAGAAAGCAGATAAGAATGCAATGAACAGTAGAAAGTAGAAAGAACAGTGGAAGTTGTAGTTCCCAAATTTGACAGCAAGCAAATATGAATGTAAGAATAGTTACCAAAACACTTTTTGGCATATAAGAACAAATGCACAATATCTACACACTGGTTGGTTCCACATTAGCTATTATGGTGAGAAATGATGATAATTCAATCCCTGTTTTGTTTCAATCAAAACTACATTATATAAAACAAACAAAAGCAATTTTTTTTTTTGATTCATGTTTAATATGCTAATAAAGAAATAAATATTAATCTCAGTCAACATATGGCCCAAAACATATTATATGCACATAGGGCATAAAGCATGTGTATAAGTCCGGTTATAGTTTAATCTTTAATGGATTAATTAATATGTCTGGTCGTTGTCATGGGTCACACACTCTTACCACGCGAATAAATATGCTACCCTTTAATTTTTCCCGGGCCAAACGGTTTTAACCGTCGGTGTGAAATTTCACGTGTCACAATCTTATCAAATCCATAAGATCGAACGGTTATAAATTCGCCGACATGGTAGTCGTTATCTCAGACTTAGGCGACGTGAGACTAGTCTCGACCATTCACCTTCTGCCACGTCACATGATCTGGCAGCCTCCACATTTACACCACACAACGTGGAATTTTTCTGTTTTGGGTTTATTAATTTCTGTCTAATCATTTTTCTGTTTTGGTTTAATAATTTTTTTCAGGTTTCTTTCCATCTTTCCAATTGATTATCCTCAACTAAATATCTTCACCTAATAATTATCTCCTTTTCACCTTTTGTTCTAATTTTTCTCTTTTTTATGATTTGAAATTTGCATGTTGTAAAGTTTTTTTCCGAACTTGAACGCGAACTCTCCGCGGAATTCGGTTATAAGGAACATCGCGGATTATCATCGCCGAGCGAATTCTCAGGGTTTCTGATTCTCTGGGTTTTTGGCATTCTTTCAAGTCAAAGCAAAGTTTTGGCTTTTTCTTCCATGTAAGTCTTGCTCTTATCATCGCTTTCTTCTGGGTTAATTTGCTAGAATTATTTTGCGATTTCTTCTTCTGTTGACTCACCTCAATCATCTCCTGCAATTTTTCATCGAATCTCTATCGAGTTTTCTCTTGCTCTAATCAAATTAAATTCCCCTGTTCCTCGTTTTCTGGGTTTTCGTTTTTTTCCCGGTTTTATGAAATTGACGGTCACGATTGTTCATCATAGAGGATATCTACTAATCATCCACCGCAACTGTAACTATTTGATGTTAGCAAAAAAGAAGAAGAAAAATTGGAAGAATTTGATTAGTTTTTTATTTTATTCCGTCTTGGGTTGCTTCAACTTGGAAAATCTGAGAAGTTTCTCGTTTGGATTGTAAGTTTGTAACTATCTGATTCTGCTTTGCGTTACAGATCTTTTGACGTTTGAGCAGCTAATCATGTTCTTCTCTGCCTTCATTATTTAGTAAGGCAGAGTTTTGAACTAAGAGAAGTGAGAGATGGATGTCTCAGCACTTTTAACGTCTGCTGGGATTAACATAGCGATATGCATACTGCTCGTATCGCTTTACTCGATACTAAGAAAACAGCCGGCCAATTTTTGCGTTTACTTTGGCCGGATGCTTTCTGGTGGAAGAGTTAAACGCTATGATCCTCTTTGGTACGAGAGGTTTGCACCTTCTCCAAGTTGGATCTTGAAAGCTTGGGAAACTACCGAGGATGAGATGTTGGCTGCTGCTGGTCTTGATGCTGTGGTTTTCATCAGGATGGTCATTTGCAGGTTAGTGATACTTCACCAATGGACAAGAATGCTGTGGTTTGTGTTTGTTTTGTTCGTCGCAACTCTCACAGTTGGTTTACTTTGCAGCATTCGTATTTTCTCAATCGTTGCAGTCGTTTGCCTTGCCTTTGTTCTGCCTGTTAACTACTATGGACAGAAGATGCAGCACAAGGAAGTCCATCGGGAGTCGCTGGATATATTCACAATTGAAAACCTTAATCAACGCTCCAGATGGTAATGGCGGGATAGCTTCACTCACATTGTCAGATTAATATGTGTTGCCTATAGTAATCTGTACAAAAGAAAGCAAAGTGCTGATTCTTGTTTTACTCTTTTGGTTTCCAGGCTGTGGGTTCATTGTATCTCACTCTACATCATATCCATTGTGGCATGTGCTCTTCTTTACTTTGTGAGGATCTCATACCCTGTTCCATGTTATGCATATTGTTTCTCTGTGTTCCATCTTCTCCTCATCGTTTTTGTTCTCATTCATTGCTGCAGGAGTATAAGGCTATAGCCAAAAAGAGGCTTGCGTATATTAGTGGATCTGCTTCAAAACCAAGTCATTTCACCATACTTATGCGTGCTGTTCCTCAGTCCCCTGAGCAATCGTACAACGAAACAGTGAGCAAGTACTTCACAAATTACTATGCACCAAGCTATTTGTCGCACCTAATGATCTTCCGAGATGGCATCATTCAGAGAATGCTGGTATGCGTTTTGACTTAATTATCAGTGACTTGTCTTTTTGTGTTGTTATCTGTCGGATTAGGAGTAAATTATTCAGCTAATACCTCTTCTTGGTTGAGCTAGAGTAGAAAAAGAAAGCTGTTATTGCCTTTTGTCCCAGAAAATAATATAACTTTGTTGAGTTCAGTTTAGATTCTAAGATTAATGGATTTCCATTTTCTATCACAGAATGAAACGGAGAGGATGTGTCAGGCTATAAAACTTGTTTCTCCTGATGTAAGCTGTAACCAGAGTGTAAAGCCATGCACCTTTTGTGGAGGACCTGCGGCCACAAATTCTTTTCAAATCCTCCCTAACGAGACAGACAGTGTCAAAAGTGTGGAGCTTGGTGAGTTGACTTTGACTACGACGGAGGAAGTAAGGAATCCTTTTGCCTTTGATAGGTGAACTTTGTATTTTACATGATCTAGGAATAATGTGTGCTTTCTCCCTGTTGAATCTGAAAGAATAGGTTTGATGATTTACCATAATAGTTTATGTTTACAAAATTATACTCAATAATATGGCCACATAAACTATGCTTAATGATTTACCATATAGCTTTATAATATTGACACGTTTTGTGGTTTTGAATTTTCAATTCTTAAACATTTTTCTGCTCATTTGCAGGAACGCCCCGTTGCTTTTGTGTTTTTCAAGACTCGTTACGATGCGCTGGTTGTTTCGGAGATTCTTCAAACAGCAAATCCTATGTTATGGGTGGCAGACTTAGCTCCAGAGCCTCATGATGTTTACTGGAAGAATCTCAAAGTACCTTATAGGCAACTTTGGATGCGAAAAATAGCAACTCTCGTTGGTACTATTGCCTTCATGTTTGTGTTTCTCCTTCCTGTTGCCGCCATTCAAGGGTTGACTCAACTACCAACGCTATCTAAGAACCTTCCTTTCCTAAGCGACCTCCTGAAAAAGTGAGTATCCAGCACTTCCCTTACTCTCAGTAATACAAGGTGTAGCAAGTTTTTATTGTCTTTTAATTTAATCATCCCTTTGAAAACCATTGCAGCAAGTATATGAGACGGGTCATCACAGGTTACTTACCAAGTGTGATACTGGTTCTGTGCTTTTATGCGGTTCCACCATTGATGATGTACTTTTCAACCTTGGAGGGATGTATTTCCCGGAGTATAAGAAAGAAAAGTGCATGTGTCAAGATTTTATACTTCACCATCTGGAATGTGTTCTTCGTCAATATCCTATCAGGCTCTGTTATCAGGCAGTTGACCATCTTCTCTAGTGTCAAGGACTTACCTGCACAACTTGCCACAGCAGTTCCAACACAGGTAGCTTTCTCAGTTTTCCTTTTACAAACGGCTCTTCAGAAACTTTTCCGGTTCTGAAAATGGCCAATCATTGACTACTGTGTGCATGCAGGCTGGCTTCTTCATGACCTACTGTTTCACCTCTGGTTGGGCTGGTTTGGCATGTGAAATCATGCAACCTGTGGGTCTTATTTGGAATCTGATATCCAGAGTTATTGTGAAGAAGAAAGATGACTCGTATGAAACACTTCGGTTTCCTTACCATACGGAAATTCCAAGACTGCTTCTGTTCGGGCTCCTTGGATTCACCAATTCAGTCATAGCTCCTCTAATACTGCCCTTCCTGCTGATCTACTTTTTCTTCGCATATCTTATCTACAAAAATCAGGTATGTGTGCAATACTTATCTCTTTAACATAGACTTCAGCTACGTATTAACCCTTATAGAGATTAACCTAAGGAAGTTTTTATCTCTTGCAGATAATCAACGTCTACATTACGAAATATGAAAGCGGTGGACAATATTGGCCTGTGTTTCACAACACGACAATCTTTTCACTGATCTTGTCGCAAATCATAGCTCTGGGATTTTTCGGTTTAAAGCTATCAACGGTTGCTTCAGGTTTCACCATCCCATTGATTCTTCTCACACTTCTATTCAGTGAGTATTGCAGGCAGAGGTTTGCTCCCATATTCCAGAAATATCCAGCTGAGGTATATATATCAATACAAACATCACTCTTTTTTTGTTCATAACCTGGATTTGCATCTCCTTGGATCTTCTTGACGAGTGAGTTTTCTTTTTCAGCTTCTTATCGCTATGGACAGAGATGATGAAGCGACAGGAAAGATGGAAGAGTTACATAGCAAGTTGAAAGACGCATACTCTCAGATACCATTGTGTTCTCAGGAATCGAGCAAAGTCGGATGCAGTCCTCCTTGCTCGGATCAGGAGTTAAAAGATGTTGAACAAGCGAAGCCAGAGAAAGAGACTCTCGAAGCGGAAGACATATGGGCGTTTCAGAGAAGTAAATCAAGTCATGATATTGAGGTCAAATCCTGTCCCAGTGCTTCACCAAGTCGTTACTCCCCGGGATTTGCTGATATCTACAAACGAACATAGATACTCTAAAAAGTGTTTGTAATTGAGTTACAGTTTTAGCAGTTGAAACCCTTGTTGGGTGATGAGAGTGAGAAGTGGGGAAGCCATGGAAACATATACAAAACAGTTTCTGCCTGCTAAATTGAAATGTGAATTTTTACAGTAATTGCAGGTGGAAATTAAACTATGCTCCGTTATTCTGTGTATAAACAACAATGATCTTACTAAACAGAGAGGAGCAAAAGAAGATTTCCATTTCTTTCTCATATATGATTTCTACATTCTTGTCTACACACAGTTTTAAATTGTAAAACAGTAAATGTCCATGGTGGCAAGAGGTTGAAGATTGGTTTCTCAGTTGACACCTGTGACCCATCCCTTGTTATCTTCAATCAATCCTGTCTGAATACCGACAAGGACAGACCGTAGACTCTGGCAGACAGATTCATCCCCTGTTTTATACTCTGCTCTGAATGTCTCAGAAATATTATTACATTAGGCCAAATCTGAAATCTTTGCTCAAGTTTGGAGTTAAACTTGATCAAGTCATTGTGAGTTTTTTTACCTTTTGTCCTGATATGTTATAGTACCCACCGGAGCAACTCCTACAGCAGTTCCGGTGCAGAAAACTTCGTCTGCATCCATTACTTCATCCACATGAACTGCCTTCTCTACTACCTGATCATATAGATCATGCATGAAACTTGTCTGAGTTTTTAGTTTGTTTCTTTGAGGTAGTAAACAAACATGTTTGATTTGTTGTACCTGATAACCTTGATCACTTGCAATCTCCATCACACTTTTCCGCGTAATCCCCTCAAGAATTGTTCCATTAGTTGAAGGAGTTGAGATTGTCCGACCCTGAAATAGTGATATTAGGATGAAACAAAGAGAATTCAAAGTATTTACTGCACACACATGACACCACAAACATATGAATACCTTAACAACAAAGACGTTGCAAGAAGAAGCCTCCTCAAGATACTTCTTCTTAGCAGAGTCAAGATACAGAACGTCTGAAAACCCTCGACTTTTGGCTCTGCTCAGTGCTTTCAGAACCTAAAAACATGGTTTATCAATACTCTTTTGCTTCTGATCTCTGAAAACTAAGTGGACTCAACACTTACTGGGGCATAATTTGTGATGCTCTTGACGCCTCCAGCTCCACCAGGAGCTGCCCTGACATACTCTTCCTCAACATAGAGATTAAGAGCAGCGATACCTTCCTATAAACCAGAAGTGTAGAGAAAACATTTTTTAACCGTTCCATTGCCACTGCGAAAAAGCTCAAACAGGAAGAGAAAGAGAGGATATATAATAAACCTTGAAGTAGTTACCAACTGGAGATGCATAGACAATGAATGTATATTCAGGAGCAGGACCTAAACCAAGAATTGGACCACTTCCCATCAACAGAGGCCTAATGTACAAAGACCCTTTCCCTGCAGGAGGAACCTGACCAACACAACACCACTCAGATCCCAAAAGAAAGAAACCTATTCAGAAGATAAGATTGGTTACATGAAGGCGGTTTATACCCAACGCTTGTTTGCAAAAGCCGTTTGTTTAACTGCATCAACAAACTGATCAACGGAAGGAGCAGGCATGAGCATTCTTTCAGCGCCAGTCTTCATTCTAATAGCGTTGTGATCTGGTCGGAACAAAACAAGCTTCCCATCTTCTTTCCTGTATGCTTTTGTACCTTCATATATCGCCTGTGGAGAAATCCCAAAACCTCCACTGATCATACATTGCATAGACAAAGTAAGAAACATTTTCTTTCAGTAGAATTAGAGGTTACAAGAGACTTGCCTGTCCATAGTTTAAGACTCCAGCAGAAGGACTTAGCTGAATATTCCCATAGGGACTAAGTTCTCCTCTAGTGAATTCGCCGTCTTTTGAGCATTTCATGACGTACATGTAATCAGCCGGAGTAAGGCCAAATCCGAGATTATCCCAGTCCAAATCCGCATACTCATCATCTCCATATCTTATATCATGCGAAACAACAATTGTGAAAACAGAGCTTTCAAACGTATTGGACAAGGCAAAATTTATATGAGTGTTGGACCAGAAGAAAACTTACTGATAAGAAGGTTTCTTGCGCTCTTCTCGCAAGGCCGATGCAGCTTGTGCGTTGTACTTAGAGAAAGTTTGTAGCTGCTCAACACAAACATTAAAAAAAAAAATCACATGTTTGCATCTGAGATTTGAGTTTGGTCTGAGATAAGAATTCATTAGATTGTAAGAAATATATTTCCAGTTTATACCGTACGAATATGTAGAAACAGACTTTTGCGTAGAGATGAGACTGATTTGATCATCTTCACAATTGTCAATTGCAGAGAGCCTTTGTTTTTGGTTGTGAATATTGATCCTATTTGATTAGGTGAAAAAAACAAGAAGAGAAATTTCTTGAATAATTTACCAAGAAGAAAAGGTGAAGAGAAGAGAAGAGAACACAGTGTCAAATCAAGTAGCCAACACGTAAGTGACATGCGAAGCTTATGTGAAGTGTCTCTGCTTTTATCTTGAAAAAGAATATGATTTCTTTTCTTTTCAAAATCTGGAAACTGGTAAGAGTTCTTATCTTGTTTTTGGTGGTATTATTAATTTTCTCCTTTGCTGCGTCACTTGTGCCTATCTACCTTACCAGATCTAGACGTGTCTATCTGGAACTAGGAATTAACGACATCAACGGAGCTTTGTTCATTGTTTCGTTTTTAATGGCGTAACTAGAGAAAAAGAATGAAAAACAATTTGTGGTGTATCTTCAAAAGAAAAATCCTATTTTTGAATATGGTAAAATATGGCAAGTTTACACTGATACTATTTTAGTGTTTTTACGTCATGTTTTCCTGATTGGTTTATACAAGTATATATCAGCGATAATGAGCTAACTTATGATACAAGTAAAAACGATGGTAAAAATATGAGACTTCTAGATATCAATGAAAATTGTGCTATTTTAAGAAAATTAAGAATTAGTGCAGTAAAAATGAAAATAGTGTATTAATTTTTTGGCCATACCAAGCAAAATGGCTTGAAACTGACAATTATTGAGAAGGGATCGACACGTCAGAGACAGAGGTTTTTTCACGGATAACAACTTTCTTTTTTCTTTCCATGTCCTTTTCCATACCGTCTTTTTCAACGTCTTCGTATTCAACTTCCTTTTCTTCGTGGAGTCCGGAGATATTTCAGATGCAAAATGCTATATTAGTGCACATTTGTAGTATATTAAGGATTTTGGGAATCGCTCTCTTACTAAAAACAGATACTATGAAAGTTTGGACAGTTTTTATTTAACTTACACTTTAATTTTTTCTTAAGACGACCACATGAGCTTGAAGTTATATGATTTATGTTCTGGTAAATAAATACTTTCAATCCTCTGCTATTTCTTATAGTTCTGGTAAATATACAATCACAATTGACTAGTTTTGACTTTTGACTCTAGTTTTGTTATAAAGATTATGGAACCGGGAGATAAATACGAAAGGTAGTGGAGATTGACAGACACGTCAGACAAAAAGCTTTTGTATCTGATAACAATGTTTGGTTCCTCCACGTATACGTCATGTAGATACTAAAAGATGTCCCTTTCCATATCAGTCATCACTTCGTCTGTTTATCACTCTTGTTTTCTTTTAATATATTATCTTGTTAAAAAATTCAAAATTTAACAGCCAAACCTAGTGGAATGAATATCTACAAACCTAATCTCTTTGAAAATTCTCAAATCGGATTTGTCGTATGTATTCAAAGAATCTATGATAATTTTGTGATAGAATCTAGAAATTCCACAAAGCGAAAAAGTTTCAAAGAACTGTTTCTCCAAAAGCGAAAGTGCGAAGTAGTTTATAGTGAAGTGGCCAAAAAGAATTCAAAGAGGGTTGTTACAAAACCTCGAATTTTACAACTTGATGGGTATTACATTGTGTTAATAAACCTGCAAAATAATCTTAAAAAAACAACTTAGGTTCAAAAACTCGACCAGCGACGCTTGATTGCTGCCATGAGTAGAAACTGTAAGAACAAAGAACCCATGAAGTATAAAGAGTATGACACAAAGAGTTGCAAACACTGTTTTGCTTTATTAAGAATCACTTAAACAATTTTACAGATTTGTTTAATCAGAATAACACGACGTTACAAACCGTAACTCGACACTGACCAATTTCTAATCTACCCATGTCTCACACACAATACTAGTTGTGTAACACACTCTTTGTTCACTCACCAAGAACCCTAAATCTCTTTTAGTTTCTTGTCTCGTTTCTCTCTTTGGACGGCTACGTAAACTAGTCACGCCTCCTAGCATATATACCACCACGTTTTCTTGCAGTGAATATACACTCTCCATTGTTAGGATATCTTCAAATCTTATTGACCTGATCTTGAAGATCTTCCTTGCTTCTTATTCCAAAGGACTTCATGCTCCAATCAGCTGTCTCCAGGTCAGCTTCGAGCTAACCAAGGCACCAATACTTAATCTTCCACTCAGTTTGTGCCACATCATCAATGATCTTGTTATCAAACATTAACACAGGGTGTGTAACACACTTGTTAATGTGTTTCACACACGTACTAGTCAAAGCTCCAACTCCTTGAGCTTACAATCTCCCCCTTTTTATCTGAATGTGTGACCTCAAGCTTTCTGCAATCATCTACATCAACCAATGTAGACTCTTCCAAAACCATCCTCATCACATAGACATCTCCCCTGCTTGAGTGCACATTCATATAAAAACCAACCACACTTATAGCCATCTCATGTTTCAGAACCATGACTTGAAAAGTTAATGATGCATATTTCTGATCGCCTTTTCACAGCGGAAGGTTTGAATAGGGGCGACCATGATCTTCATAGAGGATAGTTTGGATTGCAGGGACCATGAACCACTCTTTTCTGAATCATCTACGTCATCTGATTGTTGATGTGTCACACAATCGTCTTGGTGTGTAACTCTCTGAACACTGCAGACTTGTTTTTCTCTGAGAACTGCAGAAGCTTGATCTGTTTCTTTGTTGCACTGTTCAGATTTTGACACCACAAGATTAACTTGAGCTAGATTGCAGGTTTCCTCCTTTGCTGAGTACACTTCATCTTGATCATACAAAATATCCTTTTTAATCCAAGCCCAACCATATCTTTTAGGTTCAATGAAACAATGATTAAGACTCCAAGCTCTTCTAACTCTCTTCTTAAGTGCAAAACAATTGCGCTTAATATGACCAATTTCTCCACAAAAGTAACACTCTTTTCTCCTATAAGTATTCCTGGTTTGAGCCATAGGAAATTCGTACCTCGATTGAATTGCAGGAGAAACTCTTTGATATGTGTTATACATCTGATGCAGTGTGTGACACACTTTCTGTCTGTTCTGCTCACTCGACGATGTAATGCTCCGAACGAAATTTGACATGTTGCCATAGCTCGCCTCTTCTTTAGCTGAAACTCCATGATAACCAAGTCCCCAATTCTTCTTTGGTGGTTGTCCAGATGACAGAATCTGATCCGTCTTTAGATCCAGAGCATCCTAATCTTCTTATGATTATCACTCAACTTAGTTTCAAGTAATTTTCTCTTCTCAAGTTCTTCTGTATAGGCAGACCACATTTGCTCAAACTTTTCTTCAAGTAATTTATTCTTATCCTTTTCAACAGAAAGATTGTCTTCAGCTTTTTCATAAACAACTTCACCAATTTTCAGAGAAGTACTTACTTGCTTTTCTTCTTTTGCACTACTTGTTTTCAGTTCCAGCTCAAGAATGTTAATCTGGGCTTTCAAAATGGCTTTGTCTTTGATAAGCTGCAGATTATCATTACTGAGCTTGACCCAATGATCATAGAGTTTCCTGTACTCCTTCTTAGCATCAAAATCATCATCAGATTCAGAATCAGAATGTGGTTGAGCCTCTGGTTTTCCATCTTCTGCCATGAGTGCCATAAAGTTTAGCATGAGCCCATCACTATCTTCTTCTTCATCCTGACACTCACTGTCACTAAACACCAAAAACGAATTCTCCTTTCTTTTTGTAGTATTTGGACACTCTTTCTTTTTATGACCACTTCCTTTGCATTCCACACACTTGAACTCTTTCCTTTTAGCTAAAGGACATTCATCACGAAAATGACCATATCCTTCACATTCATGGCATTGATGATCCTTCCTTCTTGCTGATTTGTCACCCCCTGAGTGAGAAGCTCTATCAGCCTGCCCCTTCTCAACTCTCTTTAGCATCTTGTTGAAATTTATGGCCATGAGACTCATATTGTCTTCAACCTTCTTTATCCTCTCTTCTTCTTTTTCTGCTGTAAATGCAATGCCTTTTTGTTGTGCTTGTTCATCTTGACCAGCCTCCATTTCTTCAGCTTTCAACATCCCAACCAAGTAATCAAACTTGATTTTATCTGTGTTCATTGTGTACTTCAACACAGCCTTATGTGCAGAGAACTTAGATGGCAAGCATCTAAGAAGCTTCTTAACAAGTTTTTTTTCTTTGTATTTCTTACCAAGAACACTTGCTTCATTGGCGATGGTGTTTAACTTCGCCGTAAAGCTAGCAACAGACTCATCTTTCTCCATTCTTAGATTCTCAAACTGAGAAGCAAGGTGATCCAATCTTGTCCTTTTCACACTTGTGTCACCTTCAAAGTGATTAGCCAAAGTATCCCATGCATCTTTTGCCATATAACAACCTTGGATAATCTTGAATTGATCCATCTCCACATGTGAGAATATAGTAGACAAGGCTTTTGAATTGAACTTTGATGCAGCCTTTTCAGCGTGAGTCCATTGGCTCTTAGGTTTAGGAGTTGTTACACCCTCCTCATCAGTGATTGTTGGCTCACTCCATCCATCTTCCACAGCCGTCCAAGCATCCTCATTTATTCCTCGAATAAGATGACGCATACATACTTTCCAGTGCCCAAAGTTTCCTTCTTCCAAGACCAACTGTTTCTGTACAGCGATCAAATCTTTGGTAGACTCCATGTTTCTTTTCTTCTCAGGATCTCAACCTATAGGTAGATCTCAGATCTAGAGCAGGTGACCCGCTCTGATACCAAATGTAAGAACAAAGAACCCACGGAGTATAAAGAGTATGACACAAAGAGTTGCAAACACTGTTTTGCTTTATTAAGAATCACTTAAACAATCTTACAGATCTGTTTAATCAGAATAACACGACGTTACAAACCGTAACTCGACACTGACCAATTCCTAATCTACCCATGTCTCACACACAACACTAGTTGTATAACACACTCTTTGTTCACTCATCAAGAACCCTAAATCTTTCTCAGTTTCTTGACTCGTTTCTCTCTTTGGACGGCTACCTAAACTAGTCACGCCTCCTAGCATATATACCACCACGTTTTCTTGCAGTGAATAAACACTCTCCATTGTTAGGATATCTTCAAATCTTATTGACTTGATCTTGAAGATCTTCCTTGCTTCTTATTCCAAAGGACTTCATGCTCCAATCAGCTGTCTCCAGGTCAGCTTCGAGCTAACCAAGGCACCAATACTTAGTCTTCCACTCAGTTTGTGCCACATCATCAATGATCTTGTTATCAAACATTAACACAGGGTGTGTAACACACTTGTTAATGTGTTTCACACACATACTAGTCAAAGCTCTAACTCCTTGAGCTTACAGAAACCCTATCAAATCTCATAAGAGCAGAAGATTCTCATTCCAGCTTAAGTATTCATAGCATAAATTTGGTCCTTATGGGCCAGTTTGAAAATTTTAACAACAGAATTTTGGGCTCTGCTTTGACAACATGATACATTATCAGATAAGATACTAATTAATAATGCATGGAAGAATATGCCAATATGGATTCAAACAATATTAACAAAGTTTTTAACTTATCTGATTCATCGGAGCAAACAATTTCTAAAAGAGTCTCTGATACATCTAAAGAGTGCAGCATAACAATTTTTATTTTTTGTTCACAATCAGATTAGTCAATCTGCAAAACCCAATCCATAGGGTCTTGGATGGAACCAGTTTGTATTCCGACAAGAATCGATCGAAGTTGCTGTGTAACAAGTCCATCTTTCACTTTGTACTCAGTCCTGCAGATTTGTAAACTAAATGTTATATAATTCTAACTTCTAAGCATAAAAATATGTTTCAGAGAAGAAAAAGAGACAAACGTTGTGTTGTTAAACGTGATGCTCCCTACAGAAGCAACTCCAGTGGCAGTTCCAGTGCAGAAAACTTCTTCTGCTTCCTTTAGCTCTTCTACCGGAACCTTTCGTTCTTCCACCTGTCCCATTACACACGTCTCAAAAATTCCATGGAGTATATATATGTGTATTCGGTTCTTACAATTTCATAGTATGCATAAGAATTCCAGGAGATAGTAAAAAAAAAAAAGAATTTAATAACAGAGCACTCTGTTTCTTGGATCGAAAGTAACAACTATGTAAAGTTCAATAACGCAAAACGAAACTATCTAGAAACTGAGTGTGTACGTGCTTTGTTAGTTAGTTTTGCCTTAAAAGGGGAAAATAGAGTAAAGGTCTGTTTTGAGCTAGAATGGAAACAGAGTTGAAAGGAACAAAGATGTGGAGTGAGTTATAAGTAACCTTGTAACCAAGATGAATGGCGAGTTCAATAACGCTCTTTCGCGTGATCCCTTCAAGAATCGTCCCGTTCGTAGCTGGAGTCACTATTGTATTCCCCTGAAAGGCTCAAAGAAATTCCAAATTTATTACACAACACTTCATTTGAAGAAAAAAAAGCATTCAACGTTTGCCTTAAAAAGAGTAAACTCTGTTTACCTTGACGAGGAATATATTAGCAGCAGAAACTTCTTCTATGTTCTTCCCAGTTTCTGCATCAAGATACAAAACATCCGAAAACCCTCTCGCTTTCGCTCTTCTCATCGCTTCAAGCACCTTTCAACAGTTTACACTCACTCATGAACAACACACCTCAAGTCCTTGAAACCATATCCGAAAGAGTATGAGTGTTTTAACTTACAGGACCGTAATTAGAAATCGCCTTTACGCCACCAGTTCCTCCAAGACAGGCGCGTGGAATCACCTCCTCCACGTAGAGGTTCAACGCACCTGTACCTTCCTACACAAGCAATCAAATCAAGAACGCAAGATCAAGATGAATATAAAAAGGAAGAAGAACCAAACCGTTTTTAAACCTACTGACCTTAAAATAGTTTTGAACAGGAGAGCCAAACACAAGAAACGTATACTCTGATGCTGCAGACACACCCAAGCTTGCTCCACTTCCGAACAAGAGCGGTCTGAGATACAAGGAGCCTTTGCCCGGAGGAGGTACCTAATTAATGAAAACAAAGCTTGAGCCTTTAAGACAACTAAATCAAATATCATGTCGAGGAGGAAACACGGACAAGTTTATACCCAACGTCTGTTTGCAAGAACGGTCTGCTTAACACCTTCCATAAACTGTTGAACAGTAGGAGAATGCATACACATTCTCTCAGCTCCTTTCTTCATACGCAACGCGTTTAGCTCTGGACGAAACATAAGAATCCTGCCGTCTTCTCCTCTGTACGCTTTCATCCCCTCGATTAGTCCCTGCAAAATCCGCAAGAAATCTTCTGTTAATATATAAGAGATATTTTTTTATAAATTTTATATGGAATTTGAAGAGTTGCCTGGCCGTAGTTGAGAATTCCAGCAGCAGGGTTGAGCTCGATGTTGCCGTAACGGCTAAGGTAGCCTTGTTCGAAGTTTCCTTCTCTGCAACTTCTGGTGGCGAACATGTAATCTGTCCGTACAAGACTGAATCCGAGGTTGTCCCAATCCACATCAGCATACTCTTCAACCTCACTGCAACACAATAAACTTTTTGCCTAGTAAATGTTTTTGTATTTACTGTATCTTTCAGTGATTTTTTGTTTGTTAATGATAAGTGTGGTAGCTAGTATTCAAGTGGACTGTTAAGAACTTAAAATATTACGAACAAACATTAACTTTCTAATCTTTTAAAAGGGAGTTTTATGGTTGAATAATGCAAATCACAGCACCTCGTTTTTTCTTTATTTAAACGTAATTGATGATATAAAATGCAATCAATACAGAATGTACATACCTTAGACGTTTGAAAAAATGCATAATAATGAAATAAACGACAAACACAAAAACTAATTAACTTTCTTAACCATTTTTTATAACAATGATTGTGTTTGTACACATGATGATGACCTGGTACTTGAGGAGGCCACACAATATTTAATTTATCTAGAGGTACACTTTTAGACTTTGACAATAGAAGTACACACTTTTCACGTCTGTTTTTTGTTGTTGTTTTTTACTTTCTTTAATTCTTGTCCCATTTTGTATTTTCTAAGTTGTTCCTGAAAATTTCGGTGGTGATAATGAAAAAGAAGGACAAATGTATCATGTATGTTTGGGTGGGAGGTAATATTACCTTTGTGCCCCCACCATCTCCGGAACATGTTCTTCTACAACATAAGCTGTTGCTTTGGTCCCATGCATACGAGATCCACAGATCTGTACATACCAAACACACGCGCGTGAGCTTCAAACAAACCAAATGTCTTTTCTTTAGTGTACTTAGAGAAAAGAAAATCAAATTATGTAAGTTGTAGTAGTTGTTTCCTTCACTTCCGGTATAGAAACAAGAAAAAGAAAGAGAATAGTTTTTTTACGGGAAGAAAGTACAGACCTTAAAAATATAAGAGGAAGTCGTTGAAGATTGAAATAAGCAGCGAAGAGCCATGACGAATGTTGTTGTACGAGCTTTGTGTGTGCGCCAATCTAAAACTCTTCTTGGTTTGAGATTTTACTACAAAATATGGTTCTCTTTTTGAGAGGTTAGAGAAAAATAGGCTAGTGCCAACTCTGAAGAAAATATTCTAGAAACTACATGCAAAGAGGGAGAGAGAGAGAGATATAGAAGAGAGAGACTCATCAGAGGATTATATATATATATATATATATATATATATATATATACAGAGAAAGAGATATTTACAACTACTGTGTTTCTATTATTATTTTTTGTACCTTTTCGAAACCAAAACGTTCTTTTACCATCCGTTACCTGCACAAAAACAATTGTAAACCTTGTGAAAGGAAACAAACCAAACGTTTTAAGAATTCGAGAGAATAATTAACACAAAAAGACAAACGTTTAGCTTGAGAGGGGACCATTTTAAAATGCTTTCATCAAAAGGAGATGTACGGCCTAAGGCCTCGAACCATTCACTCAATTACAAAAATGGTCACCTCTAAGCTCATAATTAGTTTCGTGGGATCCTTTCTTTCTTACTTTATGTATTCAACACAATTTGTGCAGTTAATATTCGTCGTCTATATCAATATTAGTACTAAGTTATAGCGAAGGGAAAAAAAGTCAACAAAGAAAAAACTGTTGTGGACTCGTGCTTTGTTCTAGATGGCATTCAATTTGCTGACCTGATGGTGAGAAACATAAAAGTAAGTGTGGTTACAGTTGTGTCTTGACTCTATCATGTCACATAAAATATCAGTGGGGAACTAAATGCACACCAACTTTCTTTCCTCAGTTGATCATTAAATGAGCCTTTCTCGTTTCTATTTTGGATAACAATATACGCTTTTGATTTTTGAAGCCATCCCATTTGTATTCTTGTCTCGTCAAGATTGATACAATACTGTCGAATACATGTATGAGTGGTTGTGAGAATCCCAATTTTGAATATCTACATTTGCCAACTAAATCAAGGATGGTAGATGGTGAGTACTTGGACAAGTATGAGATTGTAGGTGGCGTGGATCATTCGTGATTGCTCTTATTAGAAACATTGACTCAACTAACGGTTGATATTTTTCGATTCACTGCCTGTGATGACATGCAGATTTTCTCTTGTAAAGTTGTATTTTTTGCTAAACTCTGGCAATTATATAATACAGTAATAATCATTAACTACTCATTGTATTGCAAAATTTGATAATATCCACAAGACAAGTAATTTGACCTAAGCATACTAAAATCTAAACTTGCAAAGTTTGGTGAGATGTCTGAAAATGATGGAAGATTTTGATTATATAAAAACATTTACGTGCCAAATTGAACTTGTTAAATGCTTGTGTAAACAATCGAAAACATAGTTGAACAAAAAAAAAAAAAAACAATCGGAAACATTTACTATCATTGTAAATGTAAAATCGATGCCATAAGAGTTAAAAGTGTGTTTTTTGAAAAGGGTTTCCAAGTTCTTTTATGTTATTGTGCTGCAAGTAACGAAAGTAAAGAAGAATATTTTTTTTCAGTAAAGCCATCTGCACAAGAAACACAAAGCCAAGACCAAGGCTTGTTGTGTCTTACCAACAACAAATGTTGATCTGTACTTATCAAGTATAATGAAAATTTAAAGATCTACAATGATATCAACCGGAGAGTTTCCTTTGTCAACAACAAAGTTCTTCACATACTTCCCCTCCGAAGTAACAACTTCCACAGTGTAACTCCCATGATAACCTCTAAACTCAAACCCTCCTTCATCCTCAATCACTCCATCCACAAAACTCAACCACTCGCGTTTGATCTCAAGAAACCTCTTCCCAGCTTCGTTAACCTCTCCGTCCGCATTCACCAAATGCGAATGCTCTCTGCTCATAAACAGCTCCCAGAATCCCCAAAGCATCACTCCTTCAACCGCAGGATGAGCAAACGCTTCCCACAGCATCACCTCCAGATCATCTCCTCTCACGTGTTCGTTAACCGAAGACACGTCGAGCTCCGTGAACCATATCGGTAACCCTAGCGTGCTTAGCTTGTCTAGCGCGGAACGAACAATGTGACCTACAGGACTCGTTATATGCCCTTGAATCCCAATCCCTCCCACTGGTGCACCCTTCTTCTGCAACTTGTGGACGAGTTTTATGTACTTCTCGGGCGATGACCTCGAGTCAAACCCGTCTTCTATGTGGTACTCATTGAGAAACAGAGTCGCTAACGGGTCTAACTCTTTCGCGGTCTTGAACATTTTCGCTCTTGCATCAAAGCCTAGTCTATCTCGATAGAATGATCCATGGAGCATCTCGTTGTTCACATCGTAGTGTCTAAACTTCCCGTTGTAACGGGTCAGAAGATCCGTTACGCGGCTCTCAACCGCTGCTTCTAGCTCGGAATCACTCAGCTGTTGGACCCACGGTTGAATAGCTGACTCGACCTCCCAGAATATGCAATGGCCTCGTGTTTCTATGTTGTACTTCTCGCAGAAACCGAGCATATCGTCTGCGTCACGGTAATTGACATTGCCTTGCTCTGGCTCTGTCCAGTACCATTTCAGCTCGTTACCAAACACCGCCCAGTTGAAATTGCTAAGAAAGAAATCAACAAAGTCTTCGTTATCTATATTACTTCGACTGATGCATGACCCGAGCGGGAAACTATTACGCGTCTGTCTGATTTTCACCGTTGCACCAGACAGTTCGCTTGGATCTAAACCTGAGACCTTGAGACGAACATCTCGTTTACGAACCTGCATTAACAGAGAAAAGTGAAGTTTTCATTTTTCGTTCAAAACATGTTTGAAGGTGTAAAAGAGTAAAATGTTTTGTAAGTTACCACATCAGCTTGTCCTCTGAGATAACTCAACCGAGCCTTATGATCAACAGCGAAGACCTGGAGACCAGCAACCATAAGATCAACACCAGGAGAAGGGCCCTGGACATGAAGCATAACTTCTTTAGCTTGCTTCTCGATTCTAAACGAACCAACAACTTCATGCCAATCACCATCATTGACCTCTACTTTTCCTCCATTAACCCATTTATTATCAACACTGAGTGCGATGTTCACGTCCTGTGGACAAGTTAGTCCTGTTGAGCCAACTTTAACCCAAGCTGAGACCTGGTATGTTACAAAAAGCTTCACTTTATCAGTTATCGTCTGAGCAGGACCCATCCATGTTCCACTTCGTTTTGTTGCAACCACGTATCGTCCGGATAGATACTCATGTGTTGTTCTAAGTGAGTGTCTCGCCAACGGAGGTAATATCTGAGGAGAGCCTTGTCCAACTCTTAAATGGCAGTTTCCAAGAGGGAACCAACCTTCGATTGTTCCATCGCTTAAGTGGCTATTTGAAACAATGTTCATCCCAAAAGCATGACTCTATAGAAGAAAACATGGTAACAACTTATTAGATGATTCATTAGACATACGGAGAAGTTAAAAAGCAAGAAAATTTCTTTGTGTAACCTCGATATATGGCCGTCCTGCAGGAGAGCTTTTCTCTGCAGGCTTTACATCGAAATGGTCGACTAAAACATCAACCCCTGGTGGTGGTCCTTCAATGTAAACAACTGCTCTCGCTGGAGTTCCATTTAACAGGAACTTCCCTCTCAACTTTACCCAATCTTCATGGTTTGCCTCAACACTTGAAAAGGTTAACATTTTCAGTACCATTTTGGTAAGAAGAAAAGACAAGTCGTTGCAGAAGCTCACCTGGAAATGCCTATGTACTCTTCACGTTGGTCAAGGTACTGAACATACAAAGAGGCCTGCACCGTTTCCTGGCTATGCGATAGCCTAACAACAGATGATGCTTCGTAAATGAGTTTTCGCTGGACTCTCTCTGTTATATCCTGCTCAATTCCGCTCCACTTATGCGTCCGCTCTGCTGCAGAAGCAAAACAAGTTCCAGAATGCGGTAGTATCTTCCCATCAGCTAGAGACTCATGTAACATAAGATTACATCCTCTTCCAGACCAATGGTTGAGGCCATCGGAAAAGCTTGAATTCAGAAAAATATGATGATGATGATCAGCTTCAGGAGCTGAGCTGAATTCTCTGCTTCTCTGGATATAATAATGGAAGAAACATATCAGATCACTGAACACAGCTTCTTAAGATCCCAAGAAGGAAAAAAGAGAAACTAAGATACATGTAAATGTAGATTCAACTATATGTCAATTACCTCAAACTTGTCATCGCTTTCGCAGTGGATGGTGACAGACTTGATAAGAAGGTCAATCCCAGGAGGTGGCCCTTCCAAGAAGAATACAACACGGTCAGCTCTTCCTGACAACACAAAACTGCCTTCCAGAGTTTTCCAAACATCTTTTGAAGCAAAAGTTCTGCAGATGATATAAAACAGTATAAATATCTCAGCATTTCCAGCTTCTGCTTCACTATTTATCACAAACAAGTCATGTGGTTCCACTACTTACTTTCCAATTTGTTGAAATTCGGCTGCTGAGCTTTGGCGCTCTAACTTCAAAGTTGCCAAGACCTGCGAAGGTCCTGAAACACTAACAATAGCAGAGACTTTATATGAATAACCAGGGGAAACACTGTCTGTGATATCTTGCTCCAGTCCCTGCCAGGTCTCGCTCCGGTTATTAACAACCGCATATGACCCTGAGTCACAGTCACTGCTGCTAACAACAAAAGAATCACAACTGTTGGAATTCCAAGAACACAACTCGTCAGAGAAGTCATGGTTCTTAATGATATTCAACGCTGCAGCATTTTCTCCGGTTTCCTGTAATGTGGATTATGGATAACAAGAATCAGGTGACCTAAATAAAGCTTCATAAAAACTTTAACTTGTTTCAGTTGTGTTATTTCTCTCAATTTCAACAGCTGAAATACCATTTTATACTCAAACAGCCAAAATCAACAATAATATAACAATCACCAAATACTTAGGTAAGAGACCACAATAGTTTTTGGCTGGTAGATAAATCCATGAGGCTTACCTCGAAGTCTGTAGATGACCTAACTGTCACAGAGCGTATAAGGAGATCTTTCCCAGGAGCTGGACCTTCCAAATAGAAAACAACACGATCGGGCATGTTTGCTATCTCAAACGTTCCTTCAAGATCAACCCAGTTGTCTCCTGAGGCATATGTTCTACAAGTAAAGTTTCCAATTCCATCAGCAATTATGTATAAAAGTTGAATCAAATTTCCACAGAAAAATTCTTACTTTCCGATGAACAAATACTCGGTAGGAGAGGCTTCATGCTCGAGCCTCACAGTGGCAAGAATCTCAGCTGATTCATTTGGAGGACCAGAGACACCAACAGAAGCTGTTACATAATAGGTAATACCAGGAGAGACCTGGGTTGTGATGTCTTGTTCAAGGCCTTGCCAAGTTTCTTTCCTGTTAGTCACAACGGCATAGCCACAGCTCGGGGAATCGGAGATTGAATCTGAGCTAAACGGGTCAGAGGAAACTACAAATGCTTCGCATCCGTTCGGGTACCAAGGTTCAACCCCAGCTGAGAAGTCACCGTTCGTAACGATGTTTGAATCCGCCATGAGCGTGGCCTGTACTGAAAACGAAGCAAATGTGGAATCAATCTAAATTCAGATACAGATATAAAAAAATCAACTTGATGTTGAAATGGATCAGTCAACTAACAACAAAAATGGTCAATTTAAAAATCTCACCTTTGAGTGAGAAAGAAGAGAAGAGAGGAGCGAGAATAAACAGGAAGGTGATGATTATTTGAAGGCGAAGTCCAACATACATCAATCAGAGAGACTTCGGAGAAGAATGGTAAAGGAATTTGAATTCCGAGTTGATATTTTTCTTGCTTCAGTTTCACTGCATTTTGATTGATTCTTGTCTTGTTTACGACGTGTGGGTTGCTCATGAATGCTAAAAATGTCGAAATTGTGGTTTGACTTTTCAATACGAAACAAAAACAACAGAGAAAGAGAAACTATTTAAGACTTGTGGGCTAATACTTGAACTTATTTGGGCTGGGCTTTTTCTCTTTTGAAGTTTTATTTCAATGTGATTGTCACTTTCGCCGAATGACATTTTTTTGTTATTACATATGTGTTCTAGAAAAAAGCAAACAGTGGCTTAATCTCAAATCTATAAAATGTGCCGAGAAAAAATATGTCAATGGCGTTTCAATGACGTTGTGGGGACCTTCCCTAACGACTGAAACCATTCTCTCTTTGATGTTTTAAAGTCTAAAACCGACGCTAAACCTCGAATTTTCCCCAAAGTGGTGTCCTTGAAATATCGACAGCATAAAGTTTCCATTTTCTGAAACTTTTTCATTACTTTCCCATCATTCTTGATTGCTCTTATTAGTAACATTGACTCAACTAACGGTTGATATTTTTCGATACACTCCCTGTGATGGGCTTGCAGATTTTCTCTTGTAAAGTTGTATTTTTTGCTAAACTCTGGCAATTATATAATACAGTAATGATCATTAACTACTCATTGTATTGCAAAATTTGATAATATCCACAAGACAAGTAATTTGATCTAAGCATACTAAAATCTAAACTTGCAAAGTTTGGTGAGACGTCTGAAAATGATGTGAGATTTGAGGATGGAAGATTTTTGATTATATAAAAACGTCTACGTGTCAAATTGAACTTGTTAAATGCTTGTGTACACAATCGGTAAGAGTAAGATAATTACTTTCATTGTAAATGTAAAATCGATGCCGTAAGGGTTAAAAATGTGTTTTCTGAATAGGGCATAGACTTAGGGTTTCCAAGTTCTTTTCATGCTATTGTGCTACAAGTAACCAAAGTAAAGAAGAAGAATTTTGTTCAGTAAAGCCATCTGCACAAGAAACACAAAGCCAAGACCAAGGCTTGTTGTGTCTTACCAACAACAAATGTTGATCTGTACTTATCAAGTATAATGAAAATTTAAAGATCTACAATGATATCAACCGGAGAGTTTCCTTTGTCAACAACAAAGTTCTTCACATACTTCCCCTCCGAAGTAACAACTTCCACAGTGTAACTCCCATGATAACCTCTAAACTCAAACCCTCCTTCATCCTCAATCACTCCATCCACAAAACTCAACCACTCGCGTTTGATCTCAAGAAACCTCTTCCCAGCTTCGTTAACCTCTCCGTCCGCATTCACCAAATGCGAATGCTCTCTGCTCATAAACAGCTCCCAGAATCCCCAAAGCATCACTCCTTCAACCGCAGGATGAGCAAATGCTTCCCACATCATCACCTCCAGATCATCTCCTCTCACGTGTTCGTTAACCGAAGACACATCAAGCTCCGTGAACCAGATCGGTAACCCTAGCGTGCTTAGCTTGTCTAGCGCAGAACGAACAATGTGACCTACAGGACACGTTATATGCCCTTGAATCGCGATCCCTCCCACTGGTGCACCCTTTTTCTGCAACTCGCGGACGAGTTCTATGTACTTCTCTGGCGATGACTTCCCGTCATGCCCGTCTTCTATGTGGTACTCATTGAGAAACAGAGTCGCTAACGGGTCTAACTCGTGCGCGGTCCTGAACTTTCTTGCTCTTGCATCAGAGCCTAGTCGATCTCGATAGAATGATCCGTGAAGCATTTCATTGTTCACATCATAGTGTCTAAACTTCCCGTTGTAACGGGTTAGAAGGTCAGTGACGCGGCTCTCAACCGCTGCTTCTAGCTCACAGTCGCTCAGCTGTTGGACCCACGGTTGAACATATGACTCGACCTCCCAGAATATGCAATGGCCTCGGGTCTCTATGTTGTACTTCTCGCAGAATCCGAGCATATCGTCTGCGTCACGGTAGTTGAAGCTCCCTTGCTCTGGCTCTGTCCAGTACCATTTCAGCTCGTTACCAAACACTGCCCAGTCGAAATTGTTTACGAAGAAATCGACAAAGTCTTCGTTATCTATATTGCTTCGATTAATGCACGACCCGAGTGGGAAGCTATTACGCGTCTGTCTGATATTCACCGTTGCACCAAGCAATTCGCTAGCATCTAAACCTGAGACTTTGAGGCGAACATCGCGTTTACGAACCTGCAAAAACAAGAGAAAAAGTGAAGGTTTCATTTTTCGTTTTGAAGGTGTAAGTAACAGAGTAAAAATGTTTCGTGAGTTACCACATCAGCTTGTCCTCTCAGATAACTCAACCGTGCCTTCCGATCAACAGCGAAAATCTGGAGACCTGAAACCATAAGATCAACACCAGGAGACGGTCCTTGGACATAAAGCAAAACTTCTTCGGCTTGCTTCTCGATTCTAAAAGATCCCACAACTTCATGCCAATCGCCATCATCGACCTCTACTTCTCCTCCGTTAACCCATTGACCATCAACACTTAGCGCGATATTCACGTCCTGTGGACAAGTAAGGCCTCCTGAGCCAACTTTAACCCAAGCTGAGACCTGGTATGTGACAAAAAGCTTCACTTTATCAGTTATCGTCTGAGCAGGACCCATCCATGTTCCACTTCGTTTTGTTGCAACCACGTATCGTCCGGATAGGTATTCATCATGTGTTGTTCTAAGAGCGTCTCTCGCCAACGGAGGTAATATACGAGGAGAGCCTTCTCCAACTCTTAAATCACAGTCTCCAAAATTGAACCAACCTTCAAGTGTGCCATCGCTTAGGTGGCTATTTGAAACTATGTTCATCCCGAAAGCATGACTCTATAGAAGAAAACATGGAAACAACTTGTGAGATGATTCATTAGACATACGGAAAAGTTAAAAAGCAAGAAACTTTCTATATGTAACCTCGATATATGGCCGTCCTGCAGGAGGGCTTTTCTCTGCATGCTTTACATTGAAATGGTCGACAAAAACATCTGTGCTTGGTGGTGGTCCTTCAATGTAAACAACTGCTCTTGCTGGAGTTCCATTCAACAGGAACCTCCCTTTCAACTGTACCCAGTCGTCACTGTTTGCATCAACACTTGAAAAAGATTCACATTTTCAGTATATCATTTGGTAAGAAGAAAAGAGAAGTTGTTGAAGAAGCTCACCTGGAAATGCTTATGTACTCTTTACGTTGGTCAAGGTACTGAACATACAAAGTCGCTTGCACGTTGTGTTTGCTATGCGATAGTCTGACAAGGGAAGATGCTTCATAAATGACTTTTCGGTGGACTCTATCTGTTATATCCTGCTCAATTCCGCTCCAGTTATGTGTGCGCTCTACTGCAGAAGCAAAGCATGTTCCAGAATGCGGTAGTATCTCCCCACCCGCTAGAGACTCATGTAACACAAGATTGCATCCTCTTCCAGACCAATGTTTGAGGCCATCGGAAAAGCTTGAATTCAGAAAAATGTGATGATCATCAGCTTCAGGAGCTGAGCGGAATTCTCGGCTTCTCTGTATATAATAACGTCAGGAAAGAAACATATCAGATTACTGAACACAGCTTCTTAGAGTTCTCAAGAAGAAACTAAGATACAGATCATAGATTGGTCATGTAAATGTACTTTCCGATGTAACAGTCCAAAAATTGTTAGTTACCTCAAACTGATTATTACTTTTGCAATGGATGGTGACAGACTTGATAAGAAGGTCAATCCCAGGAGGTGGACCTTCCAAGTAGAACACAACACGGTCAGCTTTTTCTGACAACACGAAAGTGCCTTCCAGAGTTTTCCAAACATCTTTCGAAGCATAGGTTCTGCAGATAAAAAGCATTACCAATGTCAGCATTTACAGGTTCTGCTTCACTATCTTTCACAAGGGAGTCAGTCATGTGGTTCCATTACTTACTTTCCAATCTCTTTAAATTCGGTTCCGGAGCTTTGGCTCTCTAACTTCAAAGTGGCCAAGACCTGCGCAGGCTCATGAACAGGTCCTGATACACTAACAATAGCAGAGACTTTATATGAATAACCAGGGGAAACTCTGTCTGTGATATCTTGCTCCAGCCCCTCCCAGGTCTCGCTCCGGTTATTAACAACCGCGCGTGACCCTAAGTCACAGTCATTGTTGATAACAGCAAACGAATCACAGCTGTTGGAGTTCCAAGGATACAAACCGTCAGAGAAGTCATGGTTCTTAACGATATCCAAAGCACCAGGAAAGACACTGGACGCTTCTCCGGTTTCCCTGGAGCTGGACCTAACGGTCACAGAGCGTATAAGGAGATCTTTCCCTGGAGCTGGACCTTCCAAATAGAAAACAACACGATCAGGCATGTTTGATATCTCAAACGTTCCTTCAAGATCAACCCACTTGTCTCCTGAAGCATATGTTCTACAAGTAAAGTTTCCAATTCCATTAGCAAACATGTACAAAAGTTGAATCAAATTTCCAAAGATTATAACTAAGAAAAATTCGTACTTTCCGATGGATAAATACTTGGTGGAAGAGTCTTCATACTCGAGCCTCGCGGTGGCAAGAACCTCAGCTGGTTCATGGGAAGGACCAGAGACACCAACAGAAGCTTTTACGGCATAGGTGATACCAGGAGAAACCTGGGTTGTGATGTCTTGTTCAAGGCCTTGCCAAGTTTCTTTCCTGTTAGTCACAACGGCGTAGCCACAGCTCGAGGATTCGGAGATTGAATCTGAGCTAAACGGGTCGGAGGAAACTACAAATGCTTCGCATCCGTCTGAGTACCAAGACTCAGTCCTAGCAGAGAAGTCACCGTTCGTAATGATGTTGGAACTCGCCATGAGCGTGGCCTGTACTGGAAACGAAGCAAATATGGAATCAATCAAAATTCGGATATCGATTAAAATCAACTTGATGATGAAATTCGAAATTAGTGAAGTGGAGTTTGTCAACCAACAGAAACAAAAAAAGTCAACTTAAAAATCTCACCTTTGCGTGAGAAAGAAGAGAAGCGATGAGCGAGAAGAAAGAGGAAGCTGATGATTATTTGAAGGCGAAGTCCAACATACATCAATCAGAGAGACTTCGGAGAAGAAAGGTAAAGGATTTTGAATTCCTGAGTTGATTTTTTCTTCCTGCATTTTAATACTGATTCTTGTCTTGTTTTCTACGCTGTGGGTTGCTTGCTCATGGAAATAAAAAAAAGGGTCAAAATTGTGGTTTGACTTTTCCCAAACGAAGCAAAAGCAGAAATTTGAAACTATTAAAGACTTCTGGGCTAATACTTGGATTTATCTGGGCCGGGCTTGTCTTTTAAAGTGTGTATATTTATTTATTACAATAAGACTCATTGTCACTTTCTTAATTAATATCACAATTTTGTTATTACATCAGTGTTCTAGAAAAAGCAACAGTGACTAATCTCAGATGTGTAAAAATGTTCTGAGAAAGAATATGTCAATGGCGTTTCAAGTTTCAACGATGTTGTGGGGACCGTACCAACGACTGAAACCATTCTGTCTCTGTCTCTCTCTCACCCTTTGATCTATTTTGATGTCTGAAGTCTAAAACCGACGCTAAACCTCGAAATTTTCCCAAAGTAGTGTCCTTGAATTAACAACAAAAGCTTCCAAATTTTTCATTACTTTCCCTCTTCGTCCTACAAAGGAAAGTGGTATCCTTGATCATGGAAGAAGAAGACACCAAAATTCCGAAGAATACAGAAGAAGATGTGCATGGTGGGAGTGATCTCGAAGGAATCAGTGAGTCAGCCAAAAAGAAGAAGACGATGATATTCGGGATAAGGAGTGGAGACAAAGAGGCGGTGGAGAAGAAGAAGAAGAAGAAGTATTGGATGGGTTGTCTGAGAGCTGAATCGGACGAGAGTGGAAACGTCGATTTGACTGTAGACTTCCCCGGCGAACGCGCTGAGCCGACTCACCTCGTCGTCATGGTCAACGGTCTCATCGGCAGGTTGCTTCTTAGAGCTGTGTGTTTTCCTTTTGATTTTCTTCGATTTCAAGCTGTTTCTTAACATTTGTGGGTACAGTGCTCAGAATTGGAGATTCGCCGCTAAGCAGATGCTAAAGAAGTATCCTCAGGACCTCCTCGTTCACTGTGAGTTCTTATCCAATCAAGCAGAGTATTTTTCGTAATGGTCTTGAGTGAATTTGCATGAAATTCTTTACTGAAACAGATTAAGAGAAATGATCTTGGAATGAAAAGGGAAAGAACCACACTTTGGATTTTAGAGTTTCAGTTACTGTTTCTCTCAACAACTTTTGAGCTCACTTTACTGTTTTCTGTCACCAAGATCCATTTCTAGATATTGTTACCAAGATTAGTATCATTACATTTGCAGAGAATGGCTTGTGAATCATTTACAACTATTTGCAGGCAGTAAACGCAACCATTCAACACAGACATTTGATGGTGTTGATGTTATGGGAGAAAGATTAGCTGAAGAAGTATGTCTTTCTGTTTCAAAGCCTGCTTTCTTTGTCTCTGCTTGAGTTTTTGAGCTAAAGTTGTATTCTTTGTCTCTTTCATTTTTAGGTTAGGTCGGTGATCAAACGTCACCAAAGTCTCCAGAAGATTTCCTTTGTAGGACATTCTCTAGGTGGCCTGGTTGCTAGATATGCTATTGGGCGTCTTTACGAGCAAGAGCTTCCACAAAACAGTGACGACACTAGAGATAAAATCTCCATAGAGGAACATAAAGAGAGAATTGCTGGATTGGAGCCTGTGTATTTCATAACTTCCGCAACGCCACACCTTGGTTCTAGAGGACATAAGCAGGTCCCATTGTTCTCTGGATCTCGCACGTTGGAGAAGTTAGCTACGCGTATGTCTTGGTGTCTTGGTAAGACAGGGAAACATCTTTTCTTAGCTGATGGTGATGATGGAAAGCCTCCGTTACTCATCCGTATGGTTAGTGATCGTAGAAACCTTAAGTTCATGTGAGTTCCTTTCACTAATCTTTGTTTTGTTGTTCATACATCCAAAGTTCAAAAACGATTTCTAATGATATGATTATTATTATTATTAATATCTCATCTGCTTTTGTGAAAAAGCTCTGCTTTGCGATGCTTCAAGAAGCGTATTGTGTATGCAAATACAAGTTTTGACCGTATCCTTTCTTTGTTTGGCCTCTATAAGCATAAATTATTTCACTACTTCTTTACTGATCTTACAATGAGGATTAAGCTAACAAGACTCAGGAACTGTTGTTGTTTTTGTAATTCATTTGAAACCTTGACCTCAGTTATTGTTAGACCTTGTTGGTTGGAGCACTTCGTCTATCAGACGTCACAACGAGCTTCCTAAGGTATTATTAACCTTTCCGTGTTTTAATATCATACTTAATGTTTGTGTTTTGTTGAATCAATCTCACATCTGATCTTCTCAGCTTCAAGGAGGTCCAGTCAACGAGAAGTATCCTCACATTGTGAACGTTGAAGCACCATGTACTTCAAGTTACCATGAGGAAGATCAATCAGGGACCAATTCAAACGGGTTCAAGAATGTTGATATGGAAGGTTGGTTCAATGGAAAATCGGACTTCTCATTCTTACGTTTCTTATCTTGATTTCTAATCATCATAATACAACGTGGGTTGCAGAGGAAATGATAAGAGAACTAACAAAACTGAGCTGGGAACGAGTTGATGTTAGTTTCAGAGGAACCTTTCAAAGATTTCTCGCTCACAATACCATTCAGGCAAGTGTTCATCATCATCGCTATCATCCTTATTTTTTTCTTCTCGTGATATCGTTATCTTTGTCATTGCTATTAATCATACGCAAATCTGGGAAACATTACAGGTCAAAACAAAAATGATCAATTCAGCTGGAGCAGATGTTATACAACACATGATTGACAATTTTGAGCCATAGGAGTGCAATAATTATCAGAAGAGAGCAGGTTTCTCACAAGCTAAATTCACTAGGGGGCCATATATATCAGTCATGTTATCAAAATTATGTCATATGTACCTAGGTTTATATGTTTATTTAGTTTCTTAATGTATTAAATATTAATCTCAAATTTTTTGTCCCAAAAGCAATAGAAACAACACTTAACCTATGAAACTGGTTGAGCTAAAAAAGAAATCCATGAATTTATAGTATTCTCATATATGTCAAAAGTTAGACATGAAACATGAATAAACAGTTTTACGAGTAGAGCAAAAAGTCGGAGATGATTCCACTTTTTTTTTGGTAAAAGATGATTCCAACTTTTCAAAGAAGAAACACTCTGTTACATGTCCTGAAAAACCCACTAAGAAAGTTTGGAGTGAGGTTGTTCAAGGGAGTTCCACTCCCAGAGCATCCACACAATCGATGTGCCTGTTACATATACACATAATTTTAGATCATTCACACAATGAAATGCAACCTACACTACTAACTGATTGGATACAAGAGTGAGTGGTGACTGCCACAAGCCATACCTGCAAAGAAGCCCACGGTTGAGAGATTGGCGATGGTCATTGTATGGTAGAAGAGGTATTCGGTCAGAAAATGGCCTAAGGCATAGATAAATGATAGAAACGTTGCCAGGTATAATGGTTTGTCATCGGGGTTGAATGCACAAAGAAAGCAGAGAGTGCAGGTTAAGAGTGTCCATACTCCGAATGTACGTCCATGAACTTCACTCACTGCAAAACAGTTCAAACAAAAACAACATATCAAGTCATGAGGAACAGGACTTTGTGAACCGAGAAGAGCAATCACCAGAAGAAACCTAAGTAAGAAACGTCAACTATGCTAACTAGTCTTTTCTGGATTAACCCTTATGTTTCTCATTCTACAGTTGCTCATATGATGCAAAGTTAATACTACTTCTTGTTCTCAGGATCAATCAACTAAACATTTCGGTGACCTTACAATCCCATGACAAAAAAACAATGCACCAAAAATTACAAACGGAGAAGAAAAACATCAAGTTGCTTCTGTTTTAATGCATCTGATACACTTTACCTGGTCACTGATTTGCTTCAACATGATTTTAAGAAAGATTGCATATTGATCACACCAACAAAAAAGGTTATGCATTGGACTTTGTAAACTGTAATCAAGACCAACCAATTCTAGATCCAAAATACTTTCCCCTTCCTGATATTCAGGGCATGGTGGTCCACTTCCTACAAAAGTTCCTTCACCAAGGAGAGTTCAAGATTGCATATCTTTCTTGGATATGTTGATTCGTCTGCTATTCTTATGGTACTAATATCTATTTCCTACATATAATGTATAACAAACTCAAGCATATAATGGAACCGAACCTTAATCGCAGAGATTCAATGAACAAGATCCACTGAGAAATATGTCAGACCTGAAACAAGCCTATTTTGAACTTAGGGAAATCATTGCACACAAGAGCTACAGATCTCTTTGATTTTAAGAACCCTATGACTTGTTATCACTAGCGATCATAACGATTTATACAGCTATCATGCTGCACCATTCTCAGGTCCCAAACAAAGAAAATCTGTAAATTTATTATCTCAACTTGCAAGGAAGACCAATCTTAGATAGATAAACAAAGAAGCCATAATGATCAAGAAAAAGAATAACATAAACTCATTGCTCGATCCCCGAAGTAATAGTGAATCAATTCCTGAGCAAGTGTTGCTTTCAATCCCAACAACCTCAACTTTGCAATTAAAAGAACATGAAGAACAAGAAACCAAAAGAAAAAAGCTTTTCTCCTTAAACTTTCAAGTTAATTTCTGATTCACAAACCATGGACCTTCCAGATGCAATGTACTAGTAAAAAACTCAAGATCAATCCATATTCTAATTCCTCCATATCTTTCAAAATCTAAGAGCTTAGGGATCCCAAATTCGATCCGTATTGGAAGTCACACAAACAGAGAAACCTAAATTCCCGCAAAAATCAGATCGATAAGTTGTAGAATAGTCATTTCTCTATTCAACAAAACACATTTTGTGCCATCTATACTCACTAATGCTACTCTTTATGACTAGAATCTCAGAGACTAGGGAAGTCAATTGATTGAAAAAAATCTGAAGTATCTACAGATTCTATAAGAACATCAATAAATTTAACCCCAAAAAAATCGAAACCCAGACACGATAACAAACTGAAATGGAGAGAGTAGAGGGAAAACGAACTGAACTGGTGGTCTGAGAGAAGACGGCGAGACGAAGAGCCCAAATGTTGAAGAAACCGAACCAAACCGAAGCTAATCTCAGTGAACCAACCACCATTAGCCAATACCCTAACGCCTTCATCTTCGAAATGACTACTGCTGATTCGTTAGCTTCTTCCCTTGTAAATTGTGATGCAGCGACACTCTCTGCTTTGATCTTAGATGCGCTTCTCTCTTTTTTTATTCATTTTCATTTAGTTTAAAATGTTTTATCATAATTTATTTTGGAACCAACAACAAAAAGTGTTTGAATTTGGTTGGACTGTGTTGTGTTGGTTAGATCATCAAAATTATCATAGAGTGAGCATATCTTCAATTCTCAATTCTCACATAATTTGTCTTAATCAGTCTAGTATGCTAAGCTCTACTTGTCGATAAATTTCTACATTCTCTTAAATTTGCGAACAATATTGCATGGTGGAATTGATTATTGACAGATACAGTATAGCATCATATTGTGAGTAATTTGTAGACTTGTAGTAACTTATTCATGACATCCGACATTTCATACTTCTACGGCTATTGAGAAATAGGTCCATTTGTGGACTTAAAATCTTCTTTCAGGTCTTACTTATGCTGATGAAGTGATGATGATTGGAAAAGTGATAACAATGATCATTTAGAGCTCATCTTGTATATATACTTTAGTAATCAACTTATTTCATAATCTTCCAAAAACAAACCAAATAGTATTGCAAAATCTTTCTATGAAACAGAATATATGTAATCAACAACCATGCACGACCTCAGATATTCAATGGGTCAACAACCATTATGTCTTTGAAGTTTGAATTACACATGAGAATTGATAATCTTCTTAACTAACACCACACTGAAGTGTTGTTCTTGTTTCTTTTGAAAAAGTATTATTGAATTGCCTTGTATTATCAATTTATCATAGGCCTAACTTTTTCTTCATAGACCTGTAAAAATTTGGGAACGAAGACTCGCACACTTTCGAGTTTTTTAACCACAAAACTTTTCTGCATTTGTATCTAACGTGTTTCAAATCTCGAGGAAACAGTCATTTGAAAAATCACATAAAATAGTCATATTTTCTTCTACTGCAAAGGTAAGTAAACTCGTCATTCTCTTCTTAAAAAATTGGTGAGCTTCTTCTTCCCCTTTTTAATGATTTTTCATCTCTTTGAATAATCGCAATTTCGCTACAGAATGCAGCTTTTTGGGTTGTAGAATGCAGTTTTTATACAAATAAATAATACTGCGGGTCAACAAAATAAAAATAAAGTAGAATTGTTTGGGGATTGGGCGAGAGATATGCGTGCACGTTTACGACAGATTAGGTTCAATTAACTACTCGTTCGATTAATTTAATACTCTCAGTAGCATAGGTGAAGCTGAACGAGGATCGTGGATGATAGCTGGATTTTGCTCTCCTTTTTTGTATTTTAAAAAATGTCATTTATAAACTCAGTCACTAGGATAAGGAAGGCCTTCTTCTTGCAGAATCTACATACATTACATAACCAATTCTTGCTAGTGCGTGTAGTTTATTTTTAAACCTTACACAACAACTAGTTGAATGTTTAGCGAACATGTTTTTGGAGTTTTTTTTTTGTACTAAAATTGTAAACATAAAACGTTGACGATAGTTTAGCAAACATGTTTTGACGATAGTTTCAGTGACTGACTAACTAGTACAAGATTTATTATATGACTGACACAAAAACGTGAGCTCCGCATAGAAGCGGAAAGATTCCCCGATCAAGGCACAAAGAGCCGCGAACGTACACGTAAGCCAGCGAGGGTAATCTCGTAAATTTAAAGAAGTGGAGCCCTACGATTGTGTTGTGGTTGGTCACTGATCAGGTAATAGAGAGCAAGTCAAGAGATAGCGTCAACCTCTCTCCGAGCTGGCACTTCTTGCCAGCCTGTTCCCAGCTGTGCTCCAACGTCTTTTCTCTCTACCCTTCAACTAACTCCAAATTTCGGATTTACCCTTTCATTCGTACACATTTAAAACTCAAAAGAAATCTTATTATATAAAGAAACTTTTGCAACACAGACGTCACATTATAACACAGTTAGCCAATCTACTCCCTTGTGTTGAATCTCCGAAGATTTACCCCAATTTACGCTACTTGTCAAAAAATTTAGCGACAATTCATCTGATGTGAAATCTTTACTTTTAAAGAAGAGAATCGAAATTAGCCTAATATCAAACTCTTTGCATATATTATAAGAAAAAATGCTTAACTCACAAAATATATCAATGTAATAGAGGGGTAAAATTAATAAATCAAAAATGTTTGGTGCTAATCGTTAAGTTCCGGGAGAATACGGATGTAAAGACAATTAAGGAAAATATAGGGAAGTAAAAGGAGGGAATGCAAAAATGGAAAAATGTATTTTGTGCTTCCTTCTTGTCCCACTTAAAAAACCAGAGGCAAATACACAGAGAGGGGAAGAAGACGACAGCGTTCGCTGCTGGTTAGGTCGAGAAAATCCAGCGGCGTCCATTAAAACGCTGCGTTTTATTATCACCTTCGTTTTCCTTGGCCTAATTCCATAAGTCATCGTTTCTACTTTCCATGTTGTCGACTCCAGAACGGTTCCTGCAATTAATGTCGCTCTCCCTAAACCCTTAGTCGCATTTTCCTTCTCTCTCTCTCTTTCTCTCCGTCCCCGGAAAACTCTAAATTGAATCTTCTTCTGGTGCGAGAGAAATGGATCCTTGTCCTTTCATCCGTCTTACGATCGGGAATCTAGCTCTGAAAGTTCCTCTAGCAGCGAAAACGACGAGCTCCGTCGTGCATCCGTCGTCTTCTCCTTGCTTCTGTAAGATCAAACTGAAAAACTTCCCACCGCAAACCGCCGCTATCCCGTACATTCCCTTGGAAACCACACAGTTCCCGGAGATCCAAACCCTAGCCGCCACGTTCCACCTCAGCAACTCCGATATCGAACGCCTGGCGTCCAGATCCATCTTCGCTTCCAAGCCATGTCTTAAGATCTTCATCTACACAGGAAGAGCCGGCGCTGCGTGCGGGGTACACTCCGGCCGACTCCTCGCGAAGGTATCCGTGCCGTTGGACCTAGCCGGTACGCAATCGAAGCCGTGCGTCTTCCACAACGGCTGGATAGCGGTCGGAAAAGGAGCTGGGAAAGCGTCGTCGGCTCAATTCCACCTGAATGTGAAGGCGGAGCCTGATCCTAGGTTCGTTTTCCAGTTCGACGGCGAGCCGGAATGTAGTCCTCAAGTAGTCCAGATTCAAGGCAATATCCGGCAGCCGGTTTTCTCATGCAAATTCAGTTGCCGAAACACCGGCGATCGCACCATGAGATCAAGGTCAGTCATATCACCACATTTCTCGGAAATTGGGTTTTCAATCACTTTTAAAATTTCTAATTTTGTCTTTTCCCGAGGAATCAAATCGGAATTCAATTTAATAAGATCGAATCATAGATTATTGTGAGTTACTGAAATCACATTCCTGGTTTAATTTTTTTGCTTTAGCAGGAATCTATTGAAACTTTACTCTTTTGATATTTAACCACTTTATTCTTCAAGTGCTTATACATATGGTTAGATTAAAATTAAATTGTGTTTTATTGATCAGATCGTTGCCGCCTGAGACGAGCGTTCCACGGAGCTGGCTAAACACGTTCGGGAGCGAGAGAGAGCGTCCCGGTAAAGAGAGAAAAGGATGGTCAATAACGGTCCACGATTTGTCCGGTTCACCAGTGGCCATGGCGTCGATTGTAACTCCATTCGTTGCATCTCCCGGAACCGATCGTGTGAGCCGGTCAAACCCCGGTTCGTGGCTCATCCTCCGTCCCGGAGATGGCACATGGAAACCTTGGGGCCGACTAGAGGCGTGGCGGGAACGCGGCGGAGCCACCGACGGACTCGGTTACAGATTCGAACTTATCCCAGACGGATCCAGCGGCGCGGGAATCGTGCTTGCGGAGTCAACGATAAGTTCTCACAGAGGAGGGAAGTTCTCGATCGAATTGGGATCGTCATCGTCGTCGTCGCCAACAGGTGGCGTGAACAGATCGAGAAGCCGCGGTGGAGGTAGCGGTAGTGGAAGTGGAGCGTCGCCGGCGAATAGTCCGAGAGGGAGTGGAGATTACGGTTACGGATTGTGGCCGTGGAGCGTGTACAAAGGGTTTGTGATGTCAGCGAGTGTGGAAGGAGAAGGGAAATGCAGTAAGCCTTGTGTAGAGGTGAGTGTGCAACACGTTAGCTGTATGGAGGATGCGGCTTCTTACGTGGCGCTCTCTGCAGCCATTGATCTTAGTATGGATGCTTGCAGGTTGTTTAATCAACGGATGAGGAAAGAGCTTTGCCAACATGGTGAGTCACTCGGCTGATGATAACAAACAACATATATAAGGGTTTTCAATTTTTGTTATTTCTTCCTGAAGTTTAGAGTCGCAACAAATGGCCTTTGGGAGTAAGTTTTTTTTACTTCCGGCAAGGCGCTAACAAAATAGGATGTACATAGTGAGTTTCTTCTATTTTGGGAATTTGGTGTGGCTTTTCGTATTGTTCCTTCTTCTTTTTTGGTTTGGGTTCTACGAGTGAAGTGAAAGAGCGAGTTTCTTTGTCACTCTGCTTTTGCCTTTGATTGGTTATGTAAGTGTATAAACTAGAAAAACCGAATTTAGTATCTCTGGATGTATAAAAACACTCGAGATGATTTGCCTTTTGTTCTACTTTCTATCTGTTGGTTTACTGAAGACAACTAGCTTTAGTTGGTTATAAGCTAAGTTAGTTACAAAAAAAAGCTATGTTGGTATTGGTGGTTGAGAAGGTGAACATGGACTATTTGCAAAGATGTGCTACAACAGCATTTAACCCTGTTTTTGACTGACCGGACCACTAAAAGTTTCTTCTTATATCTAACTTGTAGTCATGCAATATGAATGCTTGGTTCGAACTTGATTGATAGATATTAAAGCTCCTCTATTGGTATCTTTATAAATCAAGTAAATGGCTTTTAAGGGCATTTTAAACTTGGTTCGGTTTATGAATCGCATTGTGATTCTAGCATTTATCTGAAGGTAAATCGTGGATGCATCTGAAAGTATGGTTTAGGTAACCGCAAGACAAATATCTGTTTAAACGGATGCTACTGAGTTGGCACTTAGCGGTTATGATGGCAGTCATCGGGCGACGGACGACCACAAATGACAGAACCTTGAAAATGACTTGTTAAAAACATATGGCCCAAATTTATTAAAAAGCACAGAAACGCATTCAAGTAAATAGAAGGGGCTAATAAACAAACAAGAAACGTTTGGAAGGAGAAGGACGAAACTTGCCTTGATCCTCTCTATTTTGCCAACTTTCCCCAATATATAGGAACTGATAGCAACTTACGTGGGACCCACCAAACCAAACCGATAACACTGTTTGTGTTTGCTTGTTCTTCAAGAATCTCCGGACATTCCTTCCCATTTAAAAAAATATATATATACAAGTAAACTCGAAACTAATCGCTTTCACTACCTATCTTCGCATCTTTTTCAGACACCGGAACACTTAAAATCTTCTTCGTACGCTTGTCTCGTTACTGAGGTCTTTGTCTGAAAAGAGAAACTCTTGGGTTGATTCTGAATGATAGAAACTAAGACAAAGCCTTGACGATGCGATTTAATGACCTGTACTCTTTCTTTTATCAGATCTGTACTGTTCCCATATTGTTGGTCACGCACTTATTATGTTTCTGGATCTAGCTCGAAATTGTGATATCGATTTTCATACGATTTACTAATAGATCAATGAAAACAGAACGTTACAACATTATTTGAAGAACACTAACTTAACTACTGTAGTAACTATTTTGCTTGAATAAAAAATGCTAGCTCTCATAGAATTCAAATATTTATAGATCACAAATCACTTAGTCTAAACTCTTGAATGGCTTGTAAGCCTTGACACTGCTTACTAGGCCAACGATGGATCCTACCGCGGCTAGGGATGAGACAACCAAGCAAACCAATACGAGGAGGTACAGGGCCAACCATCTTGGAGAATACTTCTTAATCTTTCTCTGCGCAATGTGCATAGCCACCGGGAAATAAACCGTAAGTGGCCAGAACGCGAGTGCACCGAGCAAACCTAATATCGCATTGAAGAAGGGGAATATCATTGCTACAATTGTCGTCATAATCACATAGATTGTCCTCCACACCAGTCTAAAGAGGTTGACACGACATTTTCCAAGCAATGGTATGTTGGAAGAGTATTCCTTCTTGATGAAACTGCTTGCAGGCCACTTCTGTTGGCAGTTGCTCTCAAAGAACTGGAAAAACGGCTGAGCATACACCTACCAATTATATAGAGATTAAAAAACCATTGTCTTTTATAACCAAATTAACTATGTTCCTATAGTTTTTTATGAGTTATTAATGAAGAATCCTAATAATAGAGGATGACCATTTTAAACAAAAAAAATGATAATTGAGGTAAAACCTAATCCAAAATGTTTTTGTTTGGATATATCTCAATGATAAGTGTGCTTCATGAAATTCAATGAACTTGAAACTTGTGAATGCTAAACACTTATCCATTTCTTAATTTGCTTTGGGAATTGTGCTGTTACCTGATAGGCACCGATTAGATGGAGAGCAATGCAAGCATTGGCGAAATCGATGAGCAAGTAAGGTTCGTAGAAAGCAAAGTCAGTAAGGAAGTCACCAGGGGCTTTGTTTCCGAACGCAACATAACCAATGCAACCACATAAAAGATAGAAAACAGTTGTGGTTGAGACTCCAATAAGGCTTGCCTTTTTCATCACCTTGTTCTCCGGTGGGCTTGATCTCAATGTGTCCTGTAAAAATAAATAAAAAACATATATGAGCTTCACTCTATCTAGAGCTTCCTACATAGATCCATATTTCATATTCAAATACCAAGCAAAAAAAAGTTCAAAAAATACCAAGCAAAATATTAAAAAAAATCGTTAGAAGTCTATTTGGATGGTATATAAATAAGTACATGCCTGGATCTCAATGAGAATGGTGGTATAAGCGTACGAAAACGCAATGTCTCCAATGGCTTGAAACATTTTCCAAACCTTTTCAGACGCAGTTACGTCCACTCCTATCACCGTACCAGTCAATTCTGTCTTACCAATCTTCCCACCTTCCAATATTACACCATTTTTCACCGTTAGTTTGAACGTTGAAGAAATCATATAAACCACTAATTGTTTCCAACACTAATATAGACGTTTTGACGTCTCTGTTTTATGATAGTTTGAGAAGCAAGCAACAAGGAATGAAAGAAAAGGAAACTATACTTGCGACAGTGGCGATTGCCAAACCGATTCCGATAGACGCATAAGAGAAGGACATAATGGCCGCGATGAAGGAGAGGAAAGAGAGCTCGTGAAAGTTAGGAATCTGACTCAGAATAATCTGGACGACCCCAAATCCAGCCATGTATGGATAATTCGATACGGAACATTCCGCACCATGTCCCTTGTTATGATAACAATTTGCTTTCCCGATCGCTCTAACCAACACAAAACAATCAAATAAAAACTAAGTACCTTTTCTTCACAGCGCATTTTTTGGTAACCATCTCATATAAATATATTAGTCGAAATAAATCACAAGTTGTAATGTAACTTACACTAAGCTTATGGAGGCAGTGATTGTGTAACCAATAGTGACCCCTACGAGATTCACGTACTGTGCTAGTCCACATAGCTGCACCTTTTTACCACCTGTCGTTTTATGTTATTTGTATAAAAAGTTAAATTACTCTTCTGTCTTAATCATATAAATTGAGGAAAAAAAATTTCAATCATAAAGTTTAGGAAAATTAACATACAGTCTACGGAACTAAATTACATAGGAGTTTTTGTTTTCTCTAACAACAGCTGCAATAAGGCGAATCTAATCAACGAACTAAATGTCAAATAATCATTTTGTTTCATGGATAAGTTTGAAAACATTTTCAATTCAAATTTGTTTTTTGGGGGAGTCAACAGTCGAATTTATTGATTACATTCTTTAACGGGGGATACCATCCTATAAATACTCAATTCAATTTATTAACCAGTTTTGGAAAGAAGAATATTTTCATACATTCAAACTTATCCGTAATTTTTTTAAGATATTTTTGTAATTAATTCCGATATTTCCAAGAAAAGCATGCACACTTAAAAACAAAATCAGTTTTAATTCAAAAAATTATTGAATTATGTTCTTCCCCAAATTTGCATAGTCAAAAATCAAAATTGTTGAAATGAGTCGATTACTGTAGATTTTGAACTTAGAGTTAATTCTTTAGATAGCTTTGTTAAAAAATTATTTAGGACTTATACTCATTAGAAACTAATTAAATAAACTGACTATATAGAAACAGAAAAATCGTTTGGAAAAAAATGAAATTTAAGTAAAAGAGTAAATGCATACCAAGGTAAGCTCGAACGACGCCCATGTAAGTGTAATTGCGCGTTCCGGTGACGTAGTCCGGCGACCGGTAACAATCGGAGAGCAAAGTGGATGTGTAGTAAGTGATGATGGCGAATGTGACCAAAACTGTGGTTCCCGCCACCCAACCAAGCTGTGCTATAGCCCAAGCCAACGACAGCACTCCTGAGCCTATCACCGCCGTGATTATGTGCGCGCTCGCCGTCAGAAACGTCCCCGTTCGCTTCTCCCGTCCATCGTCGTCGAGGATCTTCACGGCGGCGTCACCGGACTCCACCGCCGAAGGATTGTGGTCTGTCATCATTGTGAGAGAGAGGGAAAAGCAGAGGAATGGAGAGAGAGAGAAGAGACAAAAGAGTAAATGACAGAGGTCGTCTTAGAGTCATTGGCATATGTACATTGTTACTTATACACTAATATCAATGCTTATATGGAAAGAGCATCTCTGTACGTTGAATCTTTTGAATTTTTTAGGGAATAAAAAACATGTGAATCTTGATTTTTGGGATTTTTTTCTTTTAATATTGATTCGTTTTTTTGGTTGGTACTGTGTAACTGCTAGTCCTTATGGTGGAAACCTCTAATTCGCTAGTCTTTAATAGAAAGAAAAATTTGCTGTGTAGGTTGAAAGAAGATTAAAAAAAAATAAAAAATCATGACAATGAAAAGAATTGAAATTAGGTGAATGATAGTAAATCTTTAAAAATTAGATGACTAAAAGAGAAAGAAAAAAAATTCTTTGTTTTTTGGCCTTCCTGTATCTTTTTTTCTTCTTTTTTCAGTTTCATCTTTGCATGTGCTTCTTCAAAAAACTTGTATCAACTCTACTAAAAACTTGAAAATAAAGAAAATCAATTATTATTATTATACTGTATCACGGAAGAATAAGTGAAATAGCAGCAAGATTCATTAACCATAAATATTATATTCGTCTAGATTTCATACATATCCATTTCGCTTATTTCCCTTGCATATCATATTACCATTTTTTGACTTTAATTAGAGCCTCATCCTTTCTTTCATTCTTAATTCAAAACCCGTAACTAAGAAGATAAGATATGCATGTTGAACATTGAACAAACAATTCTGAAACTTTATATAGTTATCCAAAAATTATATTCCAAAACGGGTTTTAACCTTCTATTTTCATAACATGCAAATATTTGTTTCCAAATAATTTGTAGTCTTGAGACAGAGACAAATACAATCTAAAATACCCCATATTGAACCATTAACAGCAGGTTGACCAGTCTCTGATGAAAAATAAGATGTCAAGATCACCAAAGAATTTATGTGTGATGCGGAAAGATTAACATCGAAATAACATGACACTTATAAGCTTTCATGATCACCAATGTTTAAGAAAAAAAAAAAAACCAAACCACCAAGCGTTTGTTGTTCAACGCCATTAATTATTTAAGTTGAGACATGTACCGACATTATGTACCGGTAGTAACTAACTAAGAGGTAATATAGATAGATAGATTACACAAGTCACTAATCTAAATTGTGAAAAGGCTTGTATGCCTTGACACTACTTATCAAGCCAACGATGGATCCTGTTGCAGCTAGGAGGGACACAATCAAGCAAACCGATACAAGGAGTTTCAACCCCATCCATTTAAGCGTATACTTCTTGACCTTCTTCTGCGCGATGTGCATCTCCACCGGGAAATAAACTGTTAGCGGCCAGAATGAGACTGCTCCGATAAACCCCAAGATCGCATTGAAGAATGGGAATATCATTGCTACAATTGTTGTCAATATCACATAGGCTGTCCTCCACACCAGTCTAAAGAAGCTGACGCGACACTCTCCAAGCAATGGTATGTTCACCGAATGTTCCCTGGTGATGAGTTTGCTTTCTGGCCACTTTTTGTTGCATTTGTTCTCAACAAACTGGAATATTGGTTGTGCAAACACCTGCCCATTATATAAACATCCTCAATACGAGCATCAAAATTGCTTAGGTGTAAATAATTCTAGTAATCCTATAGTTCAAAACTTGGACTAATTTTTCTTTTTGAGTTATATACCTGATAGGCAGCGATTAGGTGGAGAGCAATGCAAGCATTGGCAAAATCGATGAGCCAGTAAGGTTCATAAAAACCAAAGTCAGTAAGGAAGTCTCCAGGGGCTTGGTTTCCGAATGCAGCATATCCAATGCAACCACATAAAAGATAGAAAACAGTTGTGGTTGATACTCCGGCAAGGCTTGCTTTTTTCATCACTTTGTTCTCTGGCGGGCTTGACCTCAATGTATCCTGAAAACAAAAAACATATACGAGCATCATTACCTTTAACAACTTAACATATCCAATCTATCTATTAATATGTATAGCCACACCATAAACCGTGGTTAAAAGCTATATACATTAGTAAGTTGATATAGAATAATTTGGTGTCATCAAGTGGTCAATATTCCAACCAAATATTCAATAATTAAAACGTAGAGTGCAGATAAATAAATAAATTGCTAGATACTCTATTGATGGTGACCACTGACCACCAACATTTCTAAATGAGGGATATATTTAAATATACAAAGTGGGAATAGGAATAAAAACATGCCTGAATCTCAACGAGAACAATGGAATAAGCGTATGAGAATGCAATGTCCCCAGCCGCTTGAAATGATCTCCATACTTTGTCAGACGCACTCACATCCACTCCAACCACCGTTCCTGTCACACCCGTCTTACCAACCTTTCCACCTTTCCATTTATCAAACCGTTATACTTTAACCAAATATTTGCATAGTGTTTTCAAATAGCTTAAGAGTAATAAGACGGTTCTTCTACATATATATACATTTTGAAAGAAAAACAAGAGAGGGTGCAAGGACGTACTAGCCACAGCGGCGATGGCTAAGCCAGTCCCGATAGACGCATAAGAGAAGGACATAACCGAGGCGATAATGGAGAGAAAAGAAAGCTTGTGGAAATTAGGGATCTGGCAAAGAATAAGCTGTACCATCCCAAATGCTGCTATGAATGGATAGTTCGATACGGAACATTTCGCACCATGTCCCTTGTCATGATAACAATTTGCTTTCCCGATCGCTCTAACCAACACAAACATCAAATCAAAAAAATATTTTCTTTTCTTCACAACATGGATAATCTAAGTCATTTTTCACTTTTGATGATAAGTGATAACTTACACTAAGCTTTTGGAGGCAGTGATGCTGTAACCAATAGTGACCCCTACGAGACTCCCGTACTGTGCCAGTCCACATAGCTGCACCTTTCTACCACCTGACGTTTAATCTAGAGTTATTCATCTATTCCACAAACATTGTACAAGGATAAATCTTTGGATTTTTGTATGTACAGTGTAAAAAACCAAAAATTACTCTAGTCAAGGATAATTTGAATGAAATCATATAATTAGTATATTTGGTCTAATCTTCTAAAATCTTTCTTTAGAGACCCAAAAGAAAGATTTTGTCTAATCTTGTAATTAAGACTAAATCTTTCAAGTTAAGGAAATAAAATATTTGGGTGATATTTTTTGTGGTTGATAATGCATCGATCATACCAAGGTAAGTTCGGACGACGTCCATGTAAATATAATTGCGTCTTCCGGTGTCCGGAGATCGATAACAGTCGGCGAGCATTGTGGATGTGTAGTAGTTGATGACGGCAAAAGTGACCAGAATTACTGTTCCTGCCACCCAACCGAGTTGTGCTATCGCCCACGCCAACGACAACACTCCCGATCCTATCACCGCCGTGATTATGTGCGCGCTCGCCGTCATAAACGTCCCCGTTCTCTTCTCTCGACCATCGTCGTCGACGTCGACGCTCTTCACAGCGGCGTCACCGGACTCCACCGCCGAGGGGTTGTGCTCTGTGTCGAAGCTTTGCATCATTGTGAGAAATGAAGAGAAAAATGCAAAATTAAGTCAGAGAAAAGTGAATGACATGTATTTATCATTTACACAAACGTCAATGCTTAAATGGAAAGACATGTCTATACGTTGAATATTAATTTTTGTGGATTTATTTCTTCTGATTTTGATTCTTTTGTTCGGTGCTCCTGTGACTGACTGGTTGCTATTACTTGGAATCTTAGACTAGTTATTAGTTTATTACTACTAAATCAAATCAAATCTATCTTCTTCCTTTTTTCGACACCTTTTTTGTTTGTCAACATTGTCGACACCTTTTTTTTGGGATGAATTTAGTATTTAAGTAGACTGACCATAGTTTGCAGGAAAAAGAGCACAGTGGTATTTCTGTAAATAAGTGATGCATTTTATTGCGTATGATTTTACAAAACGGCATAACTGATTTCAATACCTGTATTTTTCTTCATTTTTTTGTGTGTTACAAACTAAGATTTGGGTTTCATCAAAATAATTCCTAAAATTTAGTTTATTTATCGAACTCTTTAATTTTTTGAGGAGATTAAGGTTGACATCAATGATCAACCGTCAACCCTATCTACACGAAAATTAGGATTGGATAAAGGCAGGAAACTATGAACTTACGAAGAGAGTGAAAACAAGGCATGAGAAACCGAGCAACAGTTTTAGAAACCATAAATGTGTTGCTATTCAATACTGTTGACCATATACCTCGATAAATGTTTTCTCAAAGACCAAAAATCTTTTCAAATGTAATTCCAACTCTGAAGACCATACAACAAACAAATCTCGTTTGAACTTCACGCATTCCTGTCCAATTTTGCGTTAGTTTTGGCCCAAACAAAATATAATATATTAAACACAATCCAGTTTAAACTTTGAATTCATCAAATTCGATTTGCTGTTTGTGAAATTAAATTATGATAATATGATTTCTTATTTAAAAGTAAAAGTCTTTCATATTTTCTTTTCCCAATCAGTAATTTAATTTCAATTCAATTTTCACTACCACTCCGCCATTGTCATTCTCAAGTTTCGATAAGTTAAAATCGCGTAATTTTCTTTGATTTGTCTACATATTCTGCTTGTGACATTGCCATTTTCCGTGCGGTTAGTGAGCAAAATACTGATAAAATCCTTCTTTTTCTTGTTGCCTAGTTAAGTTGTTGCTAATCTCAATGACGAATATTCTGATGAAGATGATAACCAACCAATTGATACTGAAGTCACTTGTCCAAGTTGCCGCCACATATGATGCTATGAAGTAATTTTGTTTGTATGATTACACTTTGACTACAAGTTGGTGAACAAGTAGCTTTACAATTTCATTTGAAATACACTTTCTCCTGGGTATTTTCTTTTAAAAGTGGATATTTTGGCTAAAGAAAAATCGGCAGATTCAGTTTCTTCAATGTTTCATTTTTGTGTACCTAGTTTCCTAACAAATGTATTACATTGTGATTTCACCATTTCTATATGAAATTTATTCAGATGAAAAAAAAAAAAAAAATCAATTCAATTTTTTGACCAAAAATGTCAACTAGTTGCTGCGTCGTTTTGGGCCTTCTCAAAAGAATTCGCAGTGTCTTACTTGGGCCTATAAATGACCCAAATTAATCGGGGTAAGCTCAGTAGAAATGGCGGGTTGGATCCATTTTATGATTTGGCGCAAACTAAATAAAAAATCAGAAATGAAAATAAACACATAGAGATAGACACTAGAGCCAAATTAAAAAGAAAAAGACAGACACATAGGAAATAGTGTCCTCATATGAACATTCATACTTTACCCGACAAGAAAAAAATCAAATCTGACTTAAGAACTGGGCTTTTTTAAAAAAGTTTGAAAATCCTTTCGAGTCTCTCGATAGCTTTTTCTTGATTCACTACCATATATCATTTGTAACTTTCTCCAGATCCTCTTTGTTTCCCCTGTTTTGCTCTGCTCTCTGAGTTTGTCCTTTGTCGTCCTGGAAAAAGAAAACCCTAGCGAATCTGGGTTTCATCATCTGTCTGCGTCGTCAGATCTAAAGTTTCAAGGCCCACAAGCTTTTCTCTTTTCAACTTTCTGCTCTCTCCTCTGTCATTGGTTTTTTTCTTACCCCATTTCGAGGTAATGTCTAGTCCTGGACCTCCTGGTGACTTTATTTTTTGCCGTTTTTCGCAAAATGTTGTCATGATCTTGATCTCTTTCAAGTTGCGATTCTGCATTTAGCTCTTCTGTATCTCTCTGGCCTCTTTCGTATTTAGGGAAATGTAGTTTGAACATTTCATTATTAATTAATTATTCTTTTGGCTCAGATTGGGATTTAGCTTTTTGACATAACTTGGTGTCGGAGAAGACTCTAGTTAGCTGTTATTTTGCTAAGCTAAATTCTTGCTGCAATGTCTGAACAAAAATATATACAATCTAAATTCTCTTGGTTACTTTGTTATCTGAAGTTACAAATTTTTGTGTTATCGCTTTATCTGCAGAGCTACTGGTTTTGGCTTGTGGTGAATGATCACATGGTTATGTAGAGAATGAGATTTCGAAACCTACTGGTTCAGGATATCATTATCCTGAAAACACACATCCGAAGTTGTAGAAGCTGATGCTAGTTCCTCCTCCATATGTTACGCCGTCTTGGATGGTTAATTGGATTGAGCCAAAGAAGTAGGCAAACAAAGATCCTTGATGCAGAGCCTTACGTAGCCAAGGTTAAGCCGGTGCTAATGGTCGACACTGTTCAAGAAATCGCTATCTATATCCATAGGTTTCACAACCTTGATCTTTTCCAGCAAGGGTATGGCTTTTTGCTTATCAGCTTTGAGTTAATCTGAATCACTTTTCTGTTCTGTTTTCTAATTTAATAGTTTGCTTTCTTAGATGGTATCAAATAAAAATCAGCATGAAATGGGAGGATGGTGATAACAACTCCTGTGGGATTCCTTCAAGAGTTGTTCAGTATGAAGGTACAATCTTTATCCGTCTGTTTTATTCTTAATCATTTTCTGCTTCATTGAAATATATGTATGCTTTTGTGTTACAAGCTCTTGATTCAAGCTCAAACGACTCGTGTGGAGTGTGGAAGATAGATGACAAAGATAATAGTTTCTTAACACAGCCCTTTCGCATTAAGTATGCGAGGCAGGATGTTCGTCTATGCATGATGGTCTCGTTTACTATGCCACTGGAAAGATATGAGGTACTGATTCTTTCTTTACCTGCTAATGTGAGCAAATGAGTTTGCAAGATATTCAAAAGAGCTTGTGAATGATATGCGCAGGGGTCAGCTACATCTGCTGTTATATTGAGCTTTGAGCTTTTGTATTCTCCGGTTATGGAGAATATATCAGTGGCGGATTCGGATGCTTGTCCTGCAGCAGTGCATGAGTTTCGTATTCCTCCTAAAGCTCTCTCCGGCTTGCATTCTTACTGTCCGGTGCACTTTGATACCTTTCACGCCGTTCTTATTGATGTGACTGTCCACGTCAGTGTCATGAAATCTGCTGCTTACAAACGGCCTGCAGTTTTATCTAGGTATGCATTTTGCATAATTGAGTAGTGTTGAATTCCATTTTCTTGCTGACTTTTCTATATTTCTTCAGTTAATATGTTGGTATGTTTGGTGCAGTGATGCAAGTAAAGATTTGGCCAACGGCAATTCTCAGTCTTCCAAGAAAGTATGTGCTCTTTACACTATCCTGTTTTGTAGTAATGCCTTTTTCTCGAGATTTTAACTGTATTGTTATTGATTGACTGTCTGTTTTGTAAACTCACTAGGCCTTTGCTCAGATTGCTTCTGCGGACAAGAAGCTGGTGTCATTTGTCAAAGCCTTACTTGCAGCTCGTGACACTTTGCTTGAAGAAATGAAAACACTTAGCAAAGCAGTTAGTCAAACAATCGACTTGTCTGAGTTTGTATCCAATATGGACAATGGTCTTTTATCTGACTCAGCTCCAATGGGATCATCAGTTGAAGCTGAAGAAGGTTCAGGACAAGGCAAGCAACAAAACAATCTTGAGGTCCTTCCTCTCTTTTACTGCAGAGTGTTCTTCTTATTTGTTATCCTGTTTCGGAATATGAGCTTGTTTCTCCCATTTATGGCACAGAAGTTGAATAGCCCATTTGATTTAACAAGTGATGACTGGCTTCGTGACTTCTCCAAGGAGCATCTATCTCGCACATTCCACTTACTCGGCACCCAGCTCCATTACCTTTGGACTACTTTTCTTGCATTTCACCGGTAATTTCCCTCCCACAGTTTTTAGATTGTTTATTAAGGTATCTCCGGAAAGTGAATTCTGATATTATTCGTCCGTTTTAGGGATAATAACACAAAAGTCTTGGACTATCTCCGTGATATCTGGAGAAAGGATCGAAGAGCTGAGTGGTCAATCTGGATGGTGTACTCCAAGGTTGAAATGCCACATCATTTTATAAGTGGAATGGAAGACACTTCAAACCATACCTCTAACAAAAAAGTCACAACTTTGTCAAAGCTGAATGATGTGAGTTTATAGTTGCAGTGTGTCTGTTTTCCAAAATTTCATCAGAATACCATACCACCTTGGTTCTCTACTCATCCAATGTTTGCTCTTATACAGCCTGCGCAGGTTGCAGCCACCCGAGCAGAACTTCACCGTCGAAGTATTGCACAAATGCGGGTTTGTTATTCTTGGTTTATGATCCTGTTGTTGGCTTCATTAGTTGTAAAAAAAAATCATTTGTTGAAACTGATGGGACTGCAGATAAACAACCGGGCGATACAAGACATGCATATATTTGGTGATCCTATGCGTGTTCCTATTGTTATAACTGAACGTGTTTGGAATGCACCAAGGCGTACTTTCAGTGAGAATTCGTATATGAAACATGTTGATAGAATCGATTCTAGCTTACTCAATGGGCACGATGACGAGAGTGGGACAAGGAAACAGAATAACTCACAGCAAAGTGGGCGTGAGCTGAAGATTGTTGTTTTTGTTCATGGTTTCCAGGCAAGTTCTAGATGATTCAGTGAATGTTCTTTTTCTGTTTTACTTTGGCAGTTACAGTTTTCGTTTGTATCATTTCAAGTTGTTAATTCATTTGCGTGATAGATTTTTTGTTGACTTGTACTATAGGGGCATCACTTAGACCTAAGGCTTATACGGAATCAGTGGCTCCTGATTGATCCAAAGATAGAGTTTCTCATGTCTGAGGCAAACGAGGAGAAGACACATGGCGATTTCAGGGAGATGGGGCAGAGGCTTGCGCAGGAAGTTGTTTCTTTCTTCAAGAGGAAAATGGATAAGCATGCGAGATACGGTCGCTTGAAAAACGTTAAGATGAGTTTTGTTGGACATTCAATAGGCAATGTCATCATCAGAACTGCATTAGCAGGTAATGTTCTAAGAAACTCAACGATTCTTAGTTTAGTGTTTATCATAATGTCCTAGTTATGTGTTTGTTGCAGATAGTTTGATGGAACCATACAGGAAGTATCTACATACGTATCTATCGCTTTCGGGTCCACACTTGGGTTATCTATACAGTTCAAATTCCTTATTTAATTCTGGACTTTGGCTCCTGAAGAAGTTAAAGAGCACTCAGGTTATTCATCAGCTTACACTCACTGACGATCCTGATCTCCAGAATACTTTCTTTTACAAGCTCTGCAAGGTAAGAGAAAGACCTAAACCATTTCATCAAGATTTTTGTAAAACAAACCTTTCTTCTCTGGTTTTAAAATCCGGTTTTGAAATACTTTTTCAGCAAAAGACCTTGGACAGTTTCAAGAACATAATTCTCCTGTCTTCGCCTCAGGTACACTCCATTATACTTAATTTTGATCATTAAAGTACAAACTATCTTTGCTAGATTACGAGATATGTCTTTGGTTATCACAGGATGGGTATGTTCCATATCACTCAGCCAGGATCGAGTCGTGCCAACCAGCAGCTTTCGACAACTCGAAAAGAAACGTTGCGTTCTTGGAGATGCTTAATAGCTGTATGGACCAAATACGAGGGCCATCACCAGAAAATCCTCACCACCAGAGAGTGTTCATGCGCTGCGATGTCAACTTTGACACGACCTTGTATGGTCGTAACCTCAACTCATTCATCGGTCGAGCTGCTCACATCGAGTTCTTGGAGTCTGATGTCTTTGCAAGATTCATTATGTGGTCCTTCCAAGATCTATTCCGCTGACAAATCTTTCTTTCTTTTCCTTTTTTTTAGATCGAGAAAGATACAAAAGGTGTTGTATAGTAGTAGGAGGACATTTCTTTGGTTAGTTTGTGTACCACGTAATCGGATGTTCTTTGCAGCAGAAGCTGTTATTTGTATGTTACCTCTCAACTCTGGTCACACTGTATGCTTTTTTAGCTTCTAGCATCTCTCTTGACCATTAATGTTAATGATACTGACGTATTTGATTGGCCTACAAAATGAAGTTCAACGACTAACAACAAGGCTAGGCTAGTTAGTGGTATTTTTTGGTCCACCACCAAAATTCTCTAATGAGTGCATATGTTTTCTTTAAGTGTTTCACTATAGATAATCAGATCATGTGAAAAACATTTTGTTTACTTTGCTAAATGCTAGTGAGTGCGCTATTTATATATTGGATTATATGTTGATAATGCATTCTTTGGATTGAATTGCAAACCAAGGAAATAAAAAGTTGGGGGAAGACACCTATCAATTTAGTTAAAGCTGTAAGATAAGTCTTGTGGCAATGTGTTAGGTGTAATAATGCGAAATTAGTTTCTTACATCAGTTTTTATGTTAGCTTTGGAACTAATGCAATTATGATGTTTGTCTGCATTAAGATTTAAAGATTTAAATATTGTCTGCTTGTGAAGCATCATATGAGCTCTTTTTATAGTTCATTTTTTTGTTTCTTATATTGGTCAAAGTCGGCAACTATGAGTTCTGAGCACACGTACACATTGACCAACTTTTAGAAACCACACGGGAGGATATTATTCTTTTTTCTTATTTTTAACCCGCTTTACGATAATGATTTTCATTTCATCACGACAAGAATCCAAGTTGGATTTGGTTTCGTTTTTGTCTTCAGTAGTTCAGTTTAATACAAAAAACAACAAAATTGAATCGAGAAATTAAGATTTTTGTACGTTTGATTTAGAGCAGATCATAAATTTACGAATCATGCATCCATGTAAATAATTAAGAGAACTACTAGGTATTTTATTTTCAAAAGATCTCGTAACATCTATAACAAACTGATTGATTGTAATGTAATAGTCTTTGTTTTATCAGTCGAACATGCATTTCTTTTACTACATAGTTCACACACCAAGTCGAGAACCTTAAGCCAAATTCTACTACAATTACAAGACATAGTTTACATCAGAAATATCATTACTTTACCTAAGATTTCATAACCAAGACTAGAATCACATTACGTCGTACCAAATTCAGATGATCCAAACTAAGTCCTCTCTCTAAGTTTCATAGCTACCAATAGAGAGAATGATTTTTGGTCCCTCAGTCATCAACTTATTTCTTTGACCTTCACATCACTCTCTTTACTAATCACAATCCCCATCAATCTACACGGCTCTGCGTCCTCGATCATCTGAACCACGCTCCTCATCGTCGGCCTGTTTCCAGGCAGTCTTGCGGTGCATAGGATCGCTACCCTCAGCATCTTGATCGCATCTTCTCTATACATTTCTCCTATCTTCTTGTCCACAATCTCCATCACACTCTCTTTGCTCTTCAGATTGTTGCTTACCCAATTCACTATGTCTTTGCTCTCCCCAAACTCTGCCTCTATCGGTTTCTTACCCGTGACTAGCTCCATTAACACAACTCCAAAGCTATACACGTCGCATTTCTCATTCACTTTCGACGAGTATCCATACTCTGCAACAAGAATTCCCAAAAGGGTTTTACGTTAGAAGTCCATACATTTTCTATAAAAATGTTGATTAAGTAGATTTTAAGTCTCTTTAGTTACCTGGAGCTATGTAGCCGTATGTTCCTGCAACGACATGAGTGGAATCTAGACCACCATTATTAGCCTGAAGAATCTTGGCGAGACCAAAATCCGCAATCCTAGGTTTAAAGAACTCATCAAGCAAGATGTTACTTGATTTAACATCACGGTGAATCACAGGCCGCTCATACCCATGATGCAAGTACTCAAGCCCTTTCGCAGCACCAAGAGCTACATCATACCGCGTTTCCCAACCTAGATTCGATTTCTTGCACAAGTGAAGCTTGTCCCACAAGCTACCATTAGGCAAGTACTCATACACAAGCAAGCTCGAGTCATCGCTCGTGATGCTACAATAAAGCTTCACCACGTTCAAATGCCGTATCGAGCTTAACGTCTGCACCTCTGTCTCAAACTCTTTCGATCTTCCTTCCTTCTCATTGAGAATCGGCATTGCGCTGCTGAAATTCTTCTTATCGTCCGAATTACTACTCCGAATGTGTTTGACGGCGAGCTCTTTACCATCACCGAGCACTACTCTGTACACATCGCCGCAACCTCCTCTACCGATCAAATTCTCTTCCTTGATCGAATCTATGATATCATCTTCAGTGAAACTCATCCTCCGGAACGACTTTATACTCCAAGACTCGTGCCTCAGCGTCCGTCTCTCCTTCTTCTCGGTTTTCTTCAGGTACAAGAAAAACAAAAGAGACGCAATCAAGATCAGCGAACCGAAAACTATACACAGCACGAAGATGCGAGTGTCTCGATGCGATCCTGGTGAGTCCATGCACCGGTTGAAAGATTTGATCGTCATGCTGCAGAGTCCAGGATTGCCGTTGAAGCTACCGTTATACGACGACAAACTCAGAGGGACACGACCGGATAATCTGTTGTTCGACAGATCAAGAAGGCTAAGTCTTAAAAACGACAAACTCTCCGGGATTCTCCCGGAGAGCTTATTGTCGGAAAGGTTCAAAGCGTTGAGCGTCGGAAGAGAACCAAGCGTGTGTGGGATTTCGCCGGAAAGAGAGTTTTGAGCCATGTTTAGATCGCTGAGCATCGAACAAGATCCGATCGAGTCCGGTATGTTATCGGAGAAGCCATTGCTCTGCATCTTTAAACTGCTAAGTCCTTTCAGCTTCCCTATTGAGCTTGGTATCTTCCCGGAAAACCGGTTATCGTTAATCTCGACCTTAGTCAGAGATATGGCGTCGCCGATCTCCTCCGGCAGCTCGTCGGAAAACTTGTTGAACCCTAGATACAACGTTCCGAGAGATTTCGCGTTTTTTATATCGGCGGTGACCGAACCGTGGAAGTTGTTCGTTTAAGTCGATGATCTCGAGCTTTGGTAAGCCCCAGAGTCCGGCGGGGACTGTTCCGTTGAGGGAGTTGTCGCTGACTCTGAACCGTTCAAGAGTTAAACAGCTGGCGTACGATTCCGGGATTGAGCCGGTGAGATTGTTTTGGAGGAGGAGGAGAGCTTTCATCTTCCCGGTTTTGCACATATCCGGAGGGATCGGTCCGGTTAGGAGATTCTCAGATGCGTCGATGAAATCAAAATCGGCGAGAGAACCGAGTCCTTGAGGCAGAGGACCGGTTAGTTTGTTTGTGTAGAGAGAGAGATTGACGAGATCCTTGAACTCGCCGAACTCCGGCGGAATCTCACCGGCGAATTCGTTTTCGAAGAGTTGTAGAGAGACGAGATTGGTGAGAGACCTGAGCTCCGATAAATCGCCGTTTAGAAGATTCGCGGAAGCGTCCAAGTAGGTAAGATTCTTCAAGTTTAGAGTTTGGTCAGAGAGACGACCTCGTCGGGAATCGCCGAGGAATCAAACGGATTGTCGCCGAGGCTCAAAACGACGAGCCCCGTCGCGTTTCGGAGCGATTTCCACGGGAAGACGCCGGAGAAAGCGCTGTTGTTCAAGTAGAGATACTGTAACTGACTTAGAGATGAGAATTCAGGGAAAGGACCGGAGAAGAGATTGTTCCCGAGATCCAAATACTTGAGCTGCAGTTTCTCAGATCACCGGGAATGATTCCCGATAGCGAATTGAATCCGAGAGAGAGCTTCTCGAGAGTCTGGAGCTCGCAAACCGAATTGAACGGGAATTCTCCAGATAAACCTCGGCGGGAGAGATCAATCTCTGTAACAGAGCTGTTGCCTCTGGAATCGCAGGTTATTCCGGTGAAGCTACACGGACCAGCACCGGAGTTCAGCTTCCATGAATTTAAGACGCCGGGATTTGAAATCAAGAGTGATGATTTGAGCTTGAGTAGGACTTGGAGATCGTCTGATGAAACGACGGTGAACAGAGAGAAGACGAGGAAGGAGAAGTGGTGAAAGAAACCAAAATTCCGCGTTGCCGGAGACATGTCGGCGAGAAAGAGAGAGAGAGAGAGGGGATGCGTGACGGTGGTTGAGTTAAGTGGTGAAGTTTGTTTTTTTTTTCACATCGGGAAATTTGGTTAGAGGAGGAGAGAGGTACGATAGTGGCGGGCTTGAGAAGAAAGCTTCGTAACCAAATGGCTTTGCCGCTTTGAAGCAAAGTTCTTATCTGCTCTGCTAACCATTAAATATTCAAATTTGGCTTACCTTGTAATTGTATTTCATTATTTGGTTTCTTTCCATTTATATTTGTTTATCTTCGAGTAAAGTAAACTATAGCTACTTGAATAATATGGGATCACTAAGCGGGACCCTTGACAACTATACTATTTTGTTTTCTGATTATACAGTAAATCTGTGGAATATATATGAGCGTTCTGATTGATACTACTCATGTAATATTTTCTTTTTTTGTTTGTTGTTATAAGTGTGAATCATGCAGTGATATTCTTTCAAATTCAGTATTCTTACTTACTTTTATACGACTACGCTATATAGTAGATGTAAAACCAACAAAAAGATATTCAGTAGATGGATACTTTATTTTATATAGCGATACTTTTTGGTCATATATAACCCGTGGTAAATAAAGAAAAATACTTGTCCTAGTAGATAAATAAATACTACTCCTATTATTATTACTCATAATTAATTGTAGATATCTACATAACTATGATATCATATGTGTATAGTATACACTTTAATTAAGTTGTTGATAACGCATCACAATTGACACACATGCATGCTGAATACATGCTTTTTTTGTGGCTCACGAGTTGCAACCATATACTTTTTTCCAAAACTAATTAGGAAGTTTGTTATATGTCTTAGCTTTCAACCTAAAACAAATGACTAATTTTAAAAACGAAAAATTTGTAATATAATGTTGCTTTTGATTACCAAATTAAACCAACCTTATATTCTAACATATATGTGTGTGTGTGTACACATTGTAGAAATAAATAATTAAATTCTGCCGCTCCATAAGTGCTATGTTCAAATCGTCTTTATGGACTCTTTGTGGGTGGACTCTTCTTTTTCCGACATCAAACAATAAAAAACTAATTAGGAAGTTTGTTATATGTCTTAGCTTTCAACCTAAAACAAATGACTAATTTTAAAAACGAAAAATTTGTAATATAATGTTGCTTTTGATTACCAAATTAAACCAACCTTATATTAAACCAACCTTATATTCTAACATATATGTGTGTGTGTGTACACATTGTAGAAATAAATAATTAAATTCTGCCGCTCCATAAGTGCTATGTTCAAATCGTCTTTATGGACTCTTTGTGGGTGGACTCTTCTTTTTCCGACATCAAACAATAAAAAGAAATATAATTTTCATTTTTTGTTGTTAATAACTTAATATATTGACGAGTAAGAAAATGAACTTCATTTTGTCATATTCTGATTAGGTGGAGACAATTAATAATTGATTCCACGCCAGCAGACACTAGTGAGTCCAAACAAAAACATGTAACCCAAATCTTTGAAAATCTGTAACCAAAAACCCCTTTTTTCTTTGCCATTATAGAGTGTCTTCTCTTATGAATAAGTGATGGATCAGTGGAGACAATATAAGATGGTCTAACTAAGTGTAAAACTACAATTACAATGATAGATTACTCTTAAGCGATATGGTAAAAGAGCCTATAAGACTAGAAAAAGTGAGTGTTTCAAAAAAAAAAAAAAAAAAAAAAGACGAGAAAAAGTGAGGTTTCCTAGGCTTTAGCAATCTAGTGTTTTCAAAGGCGCCGTGGCGACTTTGATGTGTGTAATCGGCACGTTCGACTAAATTTGGTTTGGTTATTTTGGCGAATACATGTGTACATCGTCTGAAACCAACTGCCATATGATGACAGATTCATATATGATTTACAAAATTTGAGTTATCGTTTTCTGGTTTTAATGACGTATTTAAAACTGTATAAAGTAAGTTATCATTTCTACTTATTATACTTTCATAATTTATTTGTGTTGGCCGTCTTATTAACTACTTACTGATCAAACTGCTACAACCACCATAACAATTCAGACAGGAATCAAAAATTCCAATGAATGACACAAGTTGTTCTATAGTTTGAGGTATAGTCGGTGCAGTTTTCTCATGTGGCTCCCATGTCCCATCTTGGTTTATGTTTCTCAAACGCTACATATGGGGTTAGTAGTTATTACTTGATTATCGAAATGTAAAGGGCTTTAGACTTGTTGACAAAAAAAAAAAGGGCTTTAGACTTAAAATAATAATGATCTAAATATGTATATTTGCCGATGATAAGCGCGATCACAGTTGACATAAATAAACGAAGTTTATTGACGTCATTATAAGGTATTAATGGATCATTGTATAAAACAAAGACTAGTAAAGTATGACGACAGTATATTTATACAGAAATGAGGAACAACTATTTCCTCTTACGGTATAACAAATATGATTGCATATTTGCTACGTAGAGAGAGATATTAATCTTCTAGAAGAGTTTGTAATTAACCATACGAATCTTTGAATCTTCTTTTGGTCAATGAATTATCTTCGAATCTTTATGAGTCTTCACATTTCACTCGTCAAAAAAGCGTTCGAAGCTTCATGGGAAAACACGAGATCGGAACCAAAAAGAAAGTTAAGAGGTTCAAAGTCGGAGCTGTTCTGTGGTGGGTATGATGATATAGAGAAAGCGGTCCTGAGTAGTATCACGGGTATCAAGCTAGGATCCTTCCCCACCCGTTATCTCGGTCTGCCTTTGAACCCAAGCAGAATCAGTTCCGCCACGCTGCAGCCGTTTGTGGAAAGAATAACGGCTAAGCTTCACTCTTGGACGGTAAAACCGCTGTCGTTTGCAGGAAAAATCAGACTAGTGGCCTCCGTCGTTTACGGCATGGTTAACTTTTGGAGTTCAGTCTTTGTGCTTCCAAAGAGCTTTTATCAGAAAATTGACTCGCTCTGTGCAGCTTTTTTGTGGAGAAACAAAACGGACTCGGCAGCTGGAGCTAGAGTCGCGTGGAAAGACATTTGTAGACCAAAACCAGAGGGCGGTCTGGGAATAAGGCTGCTGGAGGATTTTGCCTTGGTTTTCCGCCTGAAACTGGTTTGGAATTTCTTTACTAATACTAGCTCTATCTGGGTGGCTTGGGTGAAGAGAAACATGTTTGGTAGGAAGACTTTCTGGATGATGGAAGACTCCCCACGTTTCTCGGCAACGCTAAGAAGTATGCTCCAATTGAAAGATTCTCTCAGAGAGTATATGAGATGTGAGATAGGCAATGGGATTACGGCCTCGTTCTGGTCTGATAGCTGGTGCGAGTTGGGTCCTCTTCTTCTGTACCTGGGCACAGGAGGTCCGAGAGCGTTGAGACTCCGTTTAGACGCCTCAGTTAATAATGCATCAAGGAATGGTTCGTGGAACTTGCCATCGGCAAGATCTCAACGAGTTGAGACTCTCCAAATCACCTTGACGTCCCTAACACCTCCTTCTCCTGCTGCTGGTGCGGATCGCTACTTATGGATTCAAGCCAATGGAGATTTTGGGAACACATTCTCCTCTAGGGTCACATGGGATCAGATTCTACTTCCTCTCCGGTTATCTACTGGCACTCGGTGGTATGGTTTAAAGAGCAAGTTCCGAGAAGCTCTTTTTTCGTGTGGCTAGCCCTTCTCCGACGTCTCCCAACCCGGGACAGACTGAGGAGATGGGGAATGAACGTATCGGAGGATTGTGTCCTCTGTTCTTCGGGTCGCGAGACGCATCATCACCTCTTCTTCGAGTGTCCCTACTCAGCCACAGTTTGGGGTCAGCTAGCGGCTAGGATCTGGCCAAACCCTCCCTCAGACATTCACTCTGCTGCAGCGTGGATCTCACTCAACCGGCATCGTCAGAACTCTCAAGCTCAGACGGTTAGCAAGCTTCTTCTCCAATCGGCGGTCTACCTTATCTGGCGAGAGAGGAATGCGAGAATCTTCACCGGAAAGGCGACTCCGGCAACTACGTTGAGAGTCTCTATTGACCGGCTCATGCGTGACAGGCTGCTTTCTTTCCCGTCTCAGAGTGTTTTCCGCTCCTCTCTGTTGGAATTCTACTTCTTCTGCTTCAGGCCTCCTTGATGCTCCTGGTCTGGTTTTTATTTAGCTCTTTCTCTTTGGTTCCTTGTTTTGGGTTGTAGTGTTTCTTTTATCGCTGTAATAAGTTGCTTGCAACATTGTAAACTCTTGAAAATGGTATGAAATCTTAACATGATTATCAAAAAAAAAAAAAAAAAAAAAAAAAAAAAGAAAAAGAAAAGAAAAGAAAGTTAAGAGGAAATAATTTGTTCAATAATTGAAGCCAACCTAAAGACAAAACATTTTATTTAATATTAAATTTCCGGGCAAGTGCATGCACATGACGGTAAAATGTACTTATCAACAAATACAGGGTGGACTTCACTTCATGTTGTTTCTGATATAAAAACCTGAAAATATAAAAGCTAATTGCTTTGTTTCACAGAAAAAGGTAATTACTTTAGTTCTTTTAGCTAAAGCTAAAAAGGGTTAATTAAAGGAAAAAACTCCCCACTTATGCAAATCCGAAGGCGACAAGAGAAGAATCAAATGGCCAAGAGTGAGTGCTTTCAACAACCCAATTTTTAGAAAATGCAATCTAAATATGACATAAAGTGTACATTCATCTTTCTTTTTCGTCAGAAATCTTTGTATCACATTTTAGGTTACAAACAAAACAAATTGTGGGGTTTATTACACATCCAAAATGTAACGGGTACATATCAATATCTATAAACGCTACAAAATCGTATCAATTACCAACGTAAAAGCACTTCAAAAATCCAAAATAATATACATCATCCATCGTTTTTCGTAATAGCCGGTCATAAACTAAAATTTTTTAACGATTTAGTACCCTTTATAGTCGTTCCGTGTGGAATATGTTTAAATTTTAACTTCGATTCCTTCGATCATCGAACCCGATTAATATATATCTCTTGGACTTGGAGAAAGACATCGTGTAGAATTTAACTTGCATCTCCACACCATTTGAGCTTAGGAATGTATCCAGTATAAAGCAATTAAAGTCTCATTTCCCATTAAATATGTTTTTGTCATTCGTCTAGAAGCATGGAAGTGTGAAAGCCGCCGAAGTTGACTTTGAATGAATGAGAGGTCTGCAGTGTTAAGTCGGTCCGCAACACCACGTTATATCACAAAGATAAGGCATCTCCAAATCCCCACAGATTTTGAGGTCCCATTTCCACCACACGTGTAATCTTTTTTTTTTTTTTTTTTTTTCTCTTCATAATTGTCCTATATGATACCTAAGCAAAATGATAATCATGAATATACATACTTTTCAAACAGAAAAAAATCCAAACTGAAAATCAAAATAAATTTAGAGAGCAAAAATGAAATTGGTTATATCGACCTCTACAATATCTTTTAAAATAAAAAAAATTCATTGTTATTAGTTTTTTTTTTTTTTTTTTTTACGACAAACGACTATTCTATTACTCAAACTCGAGTTGGTGTGGTTACCCACCCCGGAACAGAATAACCAACAAAAGATAAGGACCTAGGGTACAACCTAGCAAGCTTAGCCAGATGATCAGCTTTACTAGTTGAAGCACGAGGGAGATACGAAATAGAGAAGGAGGAGAAAAGTTTTCGTAGACTACTGAACTCCTGCAACTCCGTTGAGAACTTTGGCCAGTCCTCTGGTTTCTCGATCATCTTTAAGACGTCTTGGCAGTCAGTTGCAAAGGCTTGAACGTTGGTATACTGCGCTGCACATTCCATAGCCCACATTAATGCTTCTAATTCTGCATGAAGAGGGGAGATGCGTCGTGGTTGGTTATGGATGCCTAGTAAGCGTTGAGTTCCATCTGGATCTATCCAAATCCATCCAGCTCCGCTGTGGGCTTGTTCTCGGTGCCAAGAGCCATCGACAATACATACATCTCTCAAGCGTATGGCTTGGGTTCCCGTCGTTGAAAGAAGTGGAGCTTTAGAATTGGCTTGGTGCCAAGCTCGACATTCAGCTACTGCATGGCGAACAGTCCCTAATGGGTCTCTGTTGATTCCACGGAAGAGTTTCTCATTGCGGGCTTTCCATATGAACCATATGATCCATGGAAAGGGATCACAATCATCCTCAGCATTATCCATGTTAGGTCTTCTCCAGAATAGATAGTCCATGTTCGTGTATATCCCAGACGAGGGAAATAAGCTTGGTGGCGTAAGAATGGGGGCAAGGGCCCACGTTTGAAGAGCTGGTGGACATTCAAATATGGCGTGGTTAATCGTTTCTTCAGGAGCTCCGCAGCGAGGGCAGTGATTATCACATCTCATCCCTCTGTGATTGAGGTTTTTAGTAACCGCTAAGTAACCTGAAATGATTTGCCATAAGAGGTGCTTAATCTTGTAAGGGGCCTTGCTCTTCCAAGCTTGAACTTGTAAAGGTCGGATACTTGGTTCCGAACATGTTTCTTCTGCTGGATTGAGTAAATTTTTTGCCACCCAATACCCTGATTTTACTGTATAGAGACCGCTCTTAGTATAGCCCCAACTAAAGCTATCCATGTGGAAAGTCTTGTTGATGGCTATACTTCGTATCAGGGGAATGTCCTCTGGCTCCATATATTCTTCTAACATCTCTACATTCCATGCCTTTATCTCTCTGTTTATGAAGTCGCTAACGGTCATTCTAGGATGGACAACTGGGATCCTTGGATTTGCATGTCTAGCTGGGATAGTTGGGATCCAAGGATCCTCCCAAGCTCTAGTATTGAGTCCAGAGTGAACTTTCTGCAGGATTCCCATTGTTAGCAATGGTCTAGCCGCTAGAATACTTCTCCATCCGTACGACGGAGAGTCAGTGTGGCCAGCTCTAAGTGGTGTGCTGTAAGGGAAGTATTTTCCTCGCAAGACTCTTGCCAACAAGGAGTCCGGAAACCGTAAGAGTCTCCATAATTGCTTTGCTAACAGGGCTAGATTAAAGTCATGGATGTCTCTGAAACCTGTTCCACCCTCCTCTTTTGATATGCACATTTTATCCCAAGTTGCCCAATGAATTCCTCTTCTTTCTGCGTCAGAGCTCCACCAGAATCTTGCTATCGCACTTGTGAGCTGATCGCATACCTCCAACGGGAGTAGAAAGCTGGACATGACGTAGGTTGGAAGTGCCAGTGCTACTGATTTTATCAAAATCTCCTTCCCTCCTTTAGAAAGCCATTTTGATCTCCATCCATTTACTCTGTTTTGGAGGCGCTCCTTGATATACGCAAAGAGTTTACATTTTGATCCACTAATGTCTTCTGGGATTCCTAGATAGGTCCCCATTCCCCCTTCGTTTTGGATTCCGGTTATAGATTTGATGTGTGTTTTAGTAGATCCGGGAACCCTCTTGCCAAAGAGCAGTGAGGATTTTTCAAAGTTTATGCGTTGTCCTGAGGCTTTACCATACTTATGTAGGATGGAGAGAACTTCACTGCATTCACGGGGCTCCGCCTTGCAAAAGAACAGGCTATCGTCGGCGAAAAGAAGGTGAGATACCGGTGGACTGGCACGTGCCACTCGCATTCCAGTTATCTTACTTCCGTTTTCCGCCTCGTTTAGCAGGGCTATGAGTACTTCCGTGCATATAATGAAGATAAAAGGAGACAGAGGATCTCCTTGTCTCAGTCCTCGTTTTGGTATAATGTTACCTCGGGGCTGTCCGTTGATGAGCACATGATACGACACTGATGTAATGCATCTCATTATCCATCTAATCCATGTCTCTGCAAATCCCATCTTCCTCATAACAGCCTCAATGAAATCCCATTCAACTCGATCATAAGCTTTACTCATGTCGGTTTTTATTGCCATTCTCTTATTTCTTCCTCCGGGATTTGTCCTCAGTGCATGGAATAATTCTTGTGCGATCAAGATATTATCTGTAATTTGTCTTCCCGCGACGAAGGCCGATTGGGTCTCTGAGATGAACTTGGGGAGTATCCTTTTTAGACGTTGGCACAATAGTTTCGATATGATCTTGTAACTTACGTTACATAAGCTTATTGGTCTAAATTGACTCATTTCTTGAGGTTTCTCCTTCTTGGGTATGAGACAAATGTTCGTCTCATTGATTCCCGGTACAATGGTACCTTCCGCCAAAAACTCATTCACCATACGGGTGATGTCTTGTTTAAGGATGTCCCAGAACTTCTGATAGAACAGTGCGGTCATGCCGTCTGGACCCGGTGCCTTCTCTGGATGCATTGCAAAGAGAGCATCCTTGACTTCATTTTCTGTCACCGGTTTTGTAAGAGTCTCGTTCATGTTGTCGGTGATGACAATTTTAACCTTGTCAAGTGTTGCCTCGATCTCTACTGGATTTGATGTTTCGAAAAGACCACGGAAATATCTTGTAGCAATGGCTACAATTCCTTCTTCATTTTCTTCTCTCTGGCCTTGTTCATCAATCAAACTAGTGATACGGTTTCTTGCTCTTCTTTGTTTTGTTGCGGCGTGAAAAAATTTTGAGTTTCGGTCTCCTTCTCGTAGCCACAGCACTCTGCTTTTCTGTTTCCAGAATAGTTCTTCTGATCTCAAAGCTTCATGTAGCTCCTTCGTTGCCTCTGAAATCTCTTCAGTGGTGGCATTCCCGTCACTGTACAAGGAATCAAGCTTATCCTTAAGTTCTGTTATATGCTTTTCTGCATTGAGATCATTTTGGCTCCGCCACCTTCCGAGAGCTTTCCTTACACTTGAGATTCTGGTCATTAAGTTAGCGTCAGGTGGGAGAGAGGACGACCATCCATCTTGGACCACCGCTGAGATTTCTTCTCTGTCCAGCCATCTCCTATCAAACCGGAAAGATTTTCTCCGTCGTATAGGTTTGCTGAGAATGTTAGCAAGTACTGGCCGATGATCTGAGCCCCATAATCTTAAGTACTGAACATTTGAATGCGGGAAACTTTCGTGCCAGTCTTCGTTTCCTAATGCCCGGTCGAGTCGGCATCGCACAAGTGTGCGTCCTCTTCTTCCAACCCATGAGAGTTGGTTTCCTGAGCAAGGAAATTCTAACATTCCGCAATCATGTATCATTTGATTGAAAGGAAGGAACGATGCGTCGGGTCTTGTTCTACCTCCTTGTTTCTCATGGTGTCCACAAATTTCATTGAAATCTCCTATCATGAACCATGGTCCATTGCGATTAACTGCGAAACGCGTAAGACGTTCCCATACGAGTTCTCTTTGGTCTTGGACAGGGTCACCATAAACAAAGGTCATGAACACTTTATTTCCATCAATAACTGCTTCTACATCAATCATACGATTGTTTGAGAATATAACATTAACTTGGAATTCATCCATACATAGTAAAGCTAAACCACCGCTTAGGCCATGAGGCTCTACGGTAAACAGACTATCATAACCTAAATCAACTTGAATGCCTTGGAGCACAGATTTCTTATTCTTCGTCTCTGATAGGAATATTAAACCAGGATGATACTTTTTGTGCATCTCCTCTAGGCGTCGAACTGTGAGGTCATTCCCAATCCCTCGACAGTTCCAACTGAGCGTCCTCATGGATGTGGACTGGGTGGTTTCTGGGAAACCACCAAACCAACTTCTTGAGCAATAGATTTTTGAAAAATGTATTTTCATATTGGGGATATGCTTTGATATACACTACACTTTGGTCCTTGAGTATCACTTATTTCAATCTCAATTCTCAAACATCCCTTTCAACACTCGGTCATATGCATCTCCAAGAATTAACCGATTTGCCTGTCTTCAAAAAAAGAAAGAATGATTGCTCCTTTCAACACGCTTATATTCCTCCTGCTACTTTCAACACGATTACTTTGCTCACTCATATTATGCCTATTTATAGTTAATGCAAAGACATTGACTCAGCTTTATAAATCTTCCGCCAAACTTGGAGAACTAAGTGGTTTCCAAACCAAGAAATTAGACTAGTACTCGTCTATGCAGTAATATCCTTTTTACTTATGCAATTTTCTATAGATCCCAAGGTTTCTTAATCAAAGTATTTATAGAGAAAATGAAGTTACAACAGTAATTCGAGTCCCGTTACAAAGTATCCGTTGCACAAAGGTTCTCACTTTAATTTACAAAGTACATAGGTGGTAAAACTGGCAAAAGCTTAGCCAAAAACAAGAAAGAAACAGAGAAGAACCCGAATTGGGGTCTTCCAACAAAGGAGAGATGCATGAATACACCTCATAAACTGAATGATGTGTTATTTATTTCACTTCTATGGCTCCTCGTGGACACAAAGATCATAGTCCCATATAGTAGTAGACAGGATTAGATCCTAACAGCTTCAAATAAGTTAGCCACACGAGAAGCCATTGCATAAATTGGACAAGGATCACAGTAAGTTGGTGCGTCTCCTCGCCATTTTCCGGCATACCTTTACACTTCCTTCTATGCACACTCCTCGCTTAATCTCATCTATTTTGCATTAACCAGGTTTATTAACCAGTGACAAGTTAAGTGCTTGTAACAGAAAGAAGGGAATTGCAAGACATACCTTATAGCAAAAAGAGAGGATGTTATGGGAGAGGGATAGGCTTCTGAATCCTTGTTCGTGGAATAGCCAAGATGGCTACAATTCCGCCAATGAAACCTGCAGCTGCTCCAACTGCAAGCGCTGGTGAATTCCCACCTCCGAATAGTTGGTCCCATGGTCCACTCCCAACAGATATAATTACCTGCAAACACATATTTTTCCTTGGTTACATCTAACATTGGCAGATACATTCAAACAATTATAGAAATGGACTTGCGGCAAATATGTAAGTCTACAAAGGAAGCATACCTGTGGGATGACTACTGCCAAATTCAGCACACCCAGAGATAAGCCTGTCACATCAAAAACTCGGTAAGAAAACACCACTCACTTATAGAGTTAAAGCAGTGAGCATAATATTAAAACGATGCACACCTTGACCAAGCCCCAAGGACTCAATACGTATGGAAATCAACGCATATGGGATGCTGTAAGTTATCTGCAGAAGAGTCATAACAACAATAGCATTAGTAACAACAGTGTAAGCGTAAACAAACACCACCACGTGGTTACTCATTACTGAATTGCAGGGAATCACTTACTGCCAATGGAATCCCCAGAATTGTAAAGATTAATACAGCGGCAATTACGATGCCAGCAGGTGGTTCTCCAATGCCCATGTAGCCAAGGTGATACGCAACGAACGAAGTAATAATCATAGCAAGAAAGCAAATCGCCATTAAGATGTTTGATACTCCCCAAACAAAACCAGCACCCCACTTTCTACAAAGTTTCTCCATCAGCAACGAAGTGATTCCAAGGAAAACAGAGTTCAACATCAAACCAAGCGCACCCATACTGACCCCGGAACTGTACGAAGTACCTTCGTTAGGCTCACCACCGTAGATCTCTCGACCCATCCAATCAGTATCAAACAGAATAAACGGAAACCAACCAATCCATGTCAGTGCTGTAACAAGCAAGATTATCCAAACACTTCCTGGAAAATATCTGAAAGTCCCAAAAATTTCAGTAAGAAAAGCCTCGTCTGTTCCACTGGATTGCCCATGTGCTTCGGATGGCAACGAAGCAAGAGGCACCTCATGAGCCGCTGAGACGCTAAGGATCGTAGTTATGGCAATAAAGACAACGTCTATGTAAAACGCAGACTTCAAGTTGGCGCATTCCACATTGCATGCAACAGTCTTTGTAAAAGGGAAGATCTTGTACCAACCATTGAATGATCCTGTAGCGTAGCCAAGAATGTTGCCGATCGCCATAAAGAGAGAGAAGTAGCCATTTGCTACTCTGGTTCTCCGGTTATCATTCTCTGGAAAACAAAAGAGGTTGAAACAAGACTTAAACACAGCTTTTTTCAATTTCCTTTAGCTCAATCCAGAGTTTATTTCACAAGAAGAAGAAATAACAGAAAAAAAAAAAACAAACTTTCTGGAGGCTGTGTATTGTGACTCAATGATATAAGAGACCGACCAAAAACAAAGAAGGGCCCTTTTGATTGTGAATTTGCCTAAACCATGACTAATATAATATTGCATGCCACAATTAATTCGAGGACCAATTACACCTAATTGTATCCACAATTATAAAATTGTGCAATTCCATGTTTTGCATGTGAGTGTAAATCACGAGAAAAATCCCCAAAATCACGAGGTTTGAACAATTCAAATACGAAAAAATCGAAGACCCAATCAACACTAAAGAGGATGAAATTTACCAGTAAGATCGGCGAGGAGAGCTCGACAAGGACCTTGAGTCATGTTATTAGCCAAATCAAGGATCCAAAACCCAAAAACGAAAGCCACAATCGCTCTCGGCCTAATCCTCCCTTCTCTATCCCCAAATGCCCACCCGATATCCGCCGCGTGGCCGATAATCAGAACGGAGATTGCGATCGCCACAGCTCCGATTACGATAAACGGTCTCCGGCGACCGTACTTGCTCGAGCACCTGTCGCTGCTGTGCCCAACGAGCGGCTGCACGAACAGTCCAGAGAGCGGACCGCAGAGCCAAATCACACTGGCCCAAGCGTGAGGAATCCCTAGCTCCTGCACGTAGGGAGTGAGCAAGGAGAGCTGAAGCGCCCAGCCGAATTGAATCCCGCACGCGACGGAAGCTACTCGGAGAAGCACACGCTTCGATACCTTCGATCGAGCCGCCGCCGCCACCGCCGGACGAGAAGAATTAGGCGGGCGTGGGTGAGGTGGAAGCTGTTGACGGTTGCGGTTCTGTCGGTGGTGGCGATCTTGATCGGAGGTCACCATCTCTTCTCTTCAGAGAGAGCACACACTTGTTAAGAGAGAAGAGAGAGAGTAAAGCTTTAGTGGAGAGGAAAAAGGAAAAAGGTGGTGAAGAAGAAGCTGGAAGTGTACCATTGGAGTAATCATCATGGAGCTGTCCGAGAATCTACTTTTGAAAACTTCGGTGCGTTTTTTTAATTATTCTGATTTTAGTGGGGCAAGTTTGTAAATAAGAAACAGCAATTTCGGGAAAGTGGGCACGTAAAAAGAGGTTTTTGTTTCTCTACGGATAAAAAGACGGTTTTGGAGATGAAATCATTCGAGAAAATTCGTCACTTTCCCTTGGATCATGGGGAAAAGTACTTCACCACTTACGTAGTCAGGCACAAGGAGCTACGTCAAGTATTTCAATACAAACAACTGTATCAAATCAATAACACGCTTGAGAAAATCCAGAGCTTCAACGTACTAATCGACACAAAGATAATAAGCTTAAGGTAGTTGATTAGTGTTGAATTATGAAAATGCATGACGTTGTTGTTAGTAACTAAAGGGGCCAGTGTGAGCCGGACACGTACAAAATGATTCATCCCCTAATTACATTACGCGGTTTAGACGCATAAGAATGTGCCAGAAATTGTATGTAGAAGTAGAAGCAGTCCCACACTAAAAGTAGCATCTCTTTATCTTTACTTTTAGGCCTAATCATTTCTATTAGCTTTACGTGATTACGTGTGTGTCCTACTTTTATTCAAGTAAGGGGTTTTTTTCTTATATAGGCACTTGTTACTAATTATGGTAGGTGAAGTGATCTTATTAACTTTGTTTGGTTCGATATAAAAGTTTCAGTTTTGGATGATCAATACTTTGCGGTTGGTTGTGTTGGAAATTGTTATTGGAATTTAGTTTGAAGCAATATATGGTTCCCTTTGTTTTAAATGGTTTCTACGTGCAATTTCCATTGTGATTAATTAGAACCAGCCAAATTTGATCTTCTTCACTTCCTAGATTGAGAAAAGGGTGTGGCATGTAACTGAGGGCCGATTACTTGTGAACAAAACTCTCGTGGGCTCTTTACCAAATGAGCCTAAATAGCCCAAATAATGAAAACAAAAATATAAGGCCCTGTTACTCTTCTTGAAGATCTTATTCATAGAACCGCCTTAAACATTTTTGTCATACATATAAAGGAAAAAAAAACGAAAACAAAATGGGTGAGAGAATAAAAGGCCGCAAAAGAAACGCGGCCATTGACGAAAACGTGGCCGCGTAAGCAACGAGTTTGAAAAAGATCCGCGTCCGTGCGTCGCATAGCCAACATGTGCCACACCTCCAAACGTTTTCACCCTTTTCGCAAAACGTGTATTCTTTCTTCTTTACTTGCACGTTTTACAATCTTTTTATAGATTTTGTTTTGTTCAAGTGTCAACATTCTTTTTTCATTTCTACATATTTCTAAGCAGTGCTGATTTTGAATAATAAAGTATAAAATACAAATAAATTGTTGAACCACCAACTATGCATATAAATTAAAATAGCCAACTAGATGCAAGTATACACATGAGCATATATCTACGGATTATAGATTTTCGGAAATCTCAGCTATAACATGGTTTTTCTTACCCCGCAAAAATTATACACAAAGTACTCCGTAGTGTTTGTTCTTGTCATCACTTGTAAATTGAGAATATGTTTTGCGTGATAATTAAACAGGAAATGTGAGACTAGATTTTTGTTTCGTGGTGATTAGAATATGTTTTGGTTGCTCGAACCCCAACGTTGATAGAGAGCAAGATTTTTTCGAAAGAAGTGTGAGACAAAGACACCTACAACAACTAAAAGTCTAAAATTAATTTAGAAATTTTCTTAGGAAAGAAGAAAAGAAGGCGCGCGGCATAACTGGAGCATTGATGAACCGTTTGTTCTTTTTATTTTATTGTCAACAAAAGATCCGCACAATCAACCAAAAGACAGAAATTATATAAAAAATGAAATTCTGAAGATGATGATAATTTTATTGTCAGAACAATGTGTTTCCTTTCCTTACATATGTCGACTTCTTTGCATGACGTGTGCCTTCTTACTTCATTAACATGTTTCGGTTTCCTTTTTCAGATGCATTTTTATGTATTTCCATCAAATTGTGATGCGACGACCCTGACATCATTCCAGGTAGTAGAACAGAAGATGACATCTCCAACTAGAACAAGTAAACCATTTTTATCTTTATTTTATTAAACTACTTGATATTAATCTTAGTATTATTTCCAATGTCTATTTACATTTCATATTTAGAAAATCACAAGCCCAAAGCGCACTTAATCACATACCTCAATTCGATTCCAAAACGAGACTAGATTACAGCAAATGGTGATAAGACGCTCTGATTATCTGACTACACTTGACTCCGACAAGACAAAACTCACAAAACTCCATTTGGACCGCCGACGCAAAATATATATTTATAATTTCGTGCAATGACCGACATATATTAAATTAATTGCTAAAAGATTTTTTTTGGTCAAGAGCAGAAGAGTGTGGATGACTGTATAAGTATATATACAATCGTTGAGCACACTCACTCAATACTTGGTGACTACTCCAAAAACAAAAGACATGACAATCACCAGCAGCTCTCAAAGCTTCACCAGCTTCGTTAATGGCTGGCTTGTCCGTCACAGGTATTTCGTCGAACAGCTTGCCTGCGCTTCTTCCTTCGATGGAACCACTCTCGAAGAACAGCAATCTCTCGTCACCCAGTTTCTCTCTCACTGTCTTCAATACTACCAAAAGAAATCCGCCACCGTTTCCGTCGCCGGAGACAACGTTTTCACTTTCTTCTGTCCGCCGTGGTTCAGCTCCTACGCGAAACTCATTCTCTGGGTCGGCGATTTCAGGCCTTCTCTGGTCTTCAAACTCACCGCCTCCTCCGTGGACGACCTCACGCGCCACCAGGAAGACCGTATCTCGAGTCTTCGGTCGGAGACCAGGAGGAAAGAGAGAGATGTGATGAGGGATTTCGCGCTCGTTCAGCAGAGCGTGGCGGATCCTCCGGTGATGCTCGCGGCGAGGCGCGTCGGGGCGATGGGGATGGTTGACGGAGAAGAGTCGGATTTGGAGGATGCGATGGAGGTGCTTAAGGCAGGGATGGCGGCGGCGATGAACAACGCCGATCAGCTGAGGTGTTCGACGGTGGGGAGAGTGGTGGAGATTCTTACTCCGTCGCAGGCGATTAAGGTATTGAGGACAATCGGAGAGCTTCACCTCCGTCTGAGGGACATGGTGGGTTTGGAGAGAGACCACGAATGAGCTTTGCTCTGCTTCTTCAACAGAAGTGAAGTCGCTATTTGTTCTTGTGGGCCTTTTTTTGGTTTAAAGATATTATTCAGTAAGATGATTTTGATCTTAAATGATTTTAGGATTGCGCATTTTGTAATAGTGATTAAGTGATACTGAAGTATGTTTGGGCTTCGTTACTTTCTTAATTCTTCGTTGTTTCCCTTACATTTTTTAACTACTATGCTAAATAGTTGTTTGTAAAAATTTAAACGATTATAAACAAATGTAAAAAAAAAAAAACATTATTAACGAAATGTAATAATGAAACTATATACAAAAATGTAAACTAACTCTGATTATATTATGTTTCATTTTAAAATGTCATATTTAGAAAATGTAACAAACTAAAGCGATATACTATTAGCATCTTGTGAAATCGCACAATCGTGATATAACTACACCAAAGTATCAATCGGATATCTAATCTGTTTATCACCAGAAAATTTTGACGGAGGAGAATGAAATTAGTATCCAAAATCAAACAAACTATACAAATCGTGATATGATTACACCAAATTATCAATTGGAGACAGACATCTAATCTGTTGATTACCAGAAATCGAGAATGATGCCTAAGGAGAACAGTGACATGGAAATTACTAATCAAAATCAAACAAGAGATACAATCGGGATACACCAAGCTATCAATCGAATACAGCGAACTATCTAATTTGTTGATTAGACAAAAATGATGGAGGAGAAAAATCACGGAGGAGAACAATGCCTAAGGAAAACAATCTAATTTGTTCATTGTCATGGATTTCCTGTAAATTGTGGTAGTAGACCTTGCACTGTGGGGGTGGAGGTGGAGGTGGAGGTGGACGAATATGACTTTGAGCACAGAGACGTGCCTAAAGGTTTCAATTCCATAAGCAAAATAGAATTATTGTTTAATGTTTATAACTAATAAAATACGAATTTGAAAGAAATGATGTGAAGATAAGTTGTTAACAACACACAAGAACAAAATTATAAAATTTATATAAAATCATTATATACTAAATGCTATATTTTATACAGAAAAAGGTTTTGTACAGTTTTAAGATTATAAAGAAAGTACAAAAAATGAAGAAAAAAAAATCTGACTAATAAAGAAAAAGTTAGTGAACAATACACAACAAATATTTGTAAAATCAACTTGATGGGCCCTTTTTTTGGTTTCCATAAGCCTTTGATAATAATGAGACAATACTCTCTTCTTTTTTGTTTTCGGTAAACCGAAACAAAAAGTCTGTTTTATCTTCTGAGCAAAATTGAAGGGAGTATGTATGGTTGCACTATAGAACTAGTAGTATTACCCATACTTTATTTAATTTGGATATGTGATTTCAATTCATTCTCGAGAAACCACATGAAACGCATTTTACTTATGTAGGCACCAATCTTAACGCTCTCTAGTTATTGTTAAGCTAACCAGTGATGACTAGTAAAAGATAACTTTAGTGTTGCAACCTTTTAGTTATAATTTTCCAATTTATTACAATATTATTCTCAGATCAAAACGTTAAAATGTTATGTCACTGCAACAAATTACTCAAAGCCAAAGGTTTAGCGTAAGAAGCTAAACCTCTCGATATTTCAGGATAACTTTAGAATTACACATTGCTTATCCGTTTAGTTTATCATGAAAAAAAAGTATTAAAGCTCCGATTTAAGTGAGCGAAAATACACAAGAAAATTAAGATAAACGAGTGTGGATAAAGAAAACGTGTTGTCCACCCGCCAATAACACAACCTTTACATTCTTGTCGAGATGGGACATTGCAAAAGAAGAGAGAAAAGAAAGAAAGAAAGAAAGAAACGCTATAATCGTAAAACATGGTATTAATTATCTACTCTCTCTTTTTGATTTCCTTTTGCCTCGTGTAATTGGTTGGATTTGCACTAGACTTGGAACGTAAGAGCACAAAAGAGGGCAACAATTCATCACAGATTCTCCAATATGCACTTTTTTCAAGTCTCCATTCTCTGGAATGACGTAAGCTGTTTGGTAGCAGATACTTTGATCAGCTTCGTAATGTGAATCAAAAACCACGGCGAGTTTCTTCTCCTCGTCAATGAAGAAACTGCCACCGTAAAAGTTGAAATGATCCAAATTAACTTTTAAAAAGGGGATCCACGACACTGCATCGGGCTCAATCCTACTTGTAACCCAAACCTCCACCTCAGGTTTATCCAAGCCCTTATACAAGGCCGCGAGTTTCTCGTCTGTAAGAGAAGACAGCGTCCTAGTATCATCAACATAGTGATGAAACGTCAGAGGAAGAAACTTTCCAAAACTCTCACTCGTAAAATCAAAACAGATCAAGAAATCAGGAGTCTCGTCTATCTCTTCCGGTCCTCCTCCTAGTAATTCTTCTGGTGGTCCTATATTTTCGTTTGCAATAAAGTATGTATTTCCCTTCAAAGTTTGGCCGCGTTGGTGAGACTCTATATCCCAGCACGGATTGATACCAAGAACCCTCCATGAATCTGAGCTAAAGTCGTAGATCTCGAATTCAAAAACGTGCTTAGTACCGTAACGGAGGTATTCCAAAAACCTCAAGATTTTGTGGTTACGGCTCTTGTTGTCGTATCCGAGAGCATACCTGTCTTGACTGTGGTAAGAAGTTCTTGGTTTGATCAATTTGGTTTGTCCCAAATATGGGTTCCAAACCACGAGCCTCCTACTCTTGCCCTCCTTCCTGGTGAGGCTTAACATTAACAAACCGTCGCAATGAAAGATTTCATATATGTTCACTTTCTCAAGGAAACTATATTCTATCTCCTTTATAGATGGATCCACGAATTCTTCTCCTTCTTCATTGAGGATTCCATGGAGATCGAATCTCATCGAACACATCTTATAGTTGTTTATCATGAACCCTAGAAACTGCTGCCTTGCTTCTGCTTTACATAAAATCCCATATTTGGATAAACCACTCGATAAAGCGTTCCACCGTTTGCAAGTACATCTTACTGCTATCAGACAAGTCATGGGAACCCTAGAGAGTATCTCCTGTACCAAATTTTCTGAAAGATCAGAGATCATCGTCATAGTGTTCAATTGAAAATTAGGCTTTTAGGGCTTCTCTACTTCACGCTTGCTCTTTTTTTTTTTTATAGACAAATAGTATATACTTGCCGACTATTATGGAGTCACGAGACACGTCTTCACCTTAAGAAAAAAAAAAGGAAGTATTCACGAAATTAAAGGAAACTTTTTGATCATGCATGCATGAAAAAGGAAGTATTCAAGAAATTTAAGGATACTTTTTTTATCACCGATGAGTTTACAACTTTACATGCATGAAATTAGTTTTATCAGAGTTTTTAAATCCATATTCAAATAGCTAGTAAAATCATAGACTAATCATTAATGATTTAATGTAAGTTGGTTGGTCAACATTTTCAAGGGATGTTTATTTTTCTTGGCTAATGTGGTCAATGTTAAGCCTTCCCGTTGACTTTAGAGGCTTTCCAATTGATTACAATATTATTCTCAGATCACAACGTTAAAATTAGAGATGTCAAACGGGCCAACCTGCGCGGAAACGGGCTGAACCGCCGCGGTTTCACTTCTCCGGCAGATCACGCGGGTCGATTCGCCGTGGGCTGCGGTTCCAAGATACTCAACCCTAACCAGCCCCGTTTAGTATTGGCGGTTATGCGGGTCAGCCCGCGAGTCAATAGAAATTGAGACTTTGCAATTGCTTCTCTTGTTGTATAAAAACAGAGCCAAATAAGTGTTGAAAAAACTTGTAATCAAAACATTAACTCATGACATAATAATCAAAACCTGAAATTTTCATTGTGTAAAACAATCAAACCAACCATGAAAGAAAAAAGAGAAATCCGATAGCAAAGTAAAGAAAACGTAAACTTATTCTGAGAAGCAACAAAAGTAATATGAAATCTTATTCAAACTAAACTCTAAACTGAAACCAAATCGAACACCAAACATGTCTCTTCCCCAACTATCATTTGCTCTTCCAGCATAAGTCCAAACTGAAACAGAAAACATTGACATGTATATTTAAAAACCAAGGGATATTGCAAGCAATGATGAAACCAAACCAAATCAACAAGACAACAATGCCGTTGTTGAATAGAAACTATCGGATCGCATTATCGTTTAGCTATTCAAGTTTCTAGCTGAATAGAAACTATCGGAGCACATTATCATTTAGCTATTTAAGTTTCTAGCTATTAAGCCTATTCAATGAACAACAACAAAAAAGAGGTGAGAAAGGTAAAATCATAACATACACTTGCCATTCAACGCGTTGTTCCACCACATGACTATTTGGAGCTTTCTCACGAAGGTAAGAGTTTGTCAAAAACCTGGAAATCCATATCTCAGGTCAGAGAGACTGTGAAATTACAGGAAAGAAAACAACAGAGAAGGATTTCCACAAAAACTAGCAATGTTCGGTACTCAATCTTAAAGAGTATTTGGCTTTGCACTATATAATGAGCAAAACAGGAAAATAATAAGATCATATAAGCAACCACAATACAAGTGGAGTAGCAGGTTCTATATCAAGGGGACAAACATATGGATGCAGCCATAATAATTAAGCGGTGTAAGAGTTTGCACCTACAAGTATCCATGGCTATGCATAATGTAGAAACTACTTACCAACAGAAGGTAGCTATAACTTCTCCAGGTTTAAAAGTTGAGCTTACGTTTGTGATACTTGGTATGTTGATAGCTGATGCCGTTGAGCCCACATGCAAACATACAAAAAAACACGAGCATTGGAACTAGAGATTAACCCATTAGGTAGTACCTTAACTAAAAAAATCCAAAATTGTTGGATTAAGCCTATTGATTTTCTCAAACAAATATATAAACCTTTTTAGAAATCTCGTCAATGTCTAATTGCAAAGGTGAAGTGAAACCATCTCAAACTCTATTCACCTAGAAACTAAGATAGCTAAACGGTAATTCCAGCCTAATCATCTCTCTCGTAAAAGCCTTGTCATTTTTTCCAGTTCTGCCAACAAAGAGGCAAAACATTTGGCAGCTCAAACTGAGAAACGAAATGCACTAATCATTCACACATCAACTAAAGCAACAATGAAATTGACTACCACTAGCACTTGAAAACCCAATTTCATTGTAGCTCACATCAATAGCTCACCTGAAAAAGGAACAATGAGGAAATCGCCGGAGTGCGGAGCAAACATGAGGAGCTCGGAAGTTAGGAACCGCCTCGCATATCGAGATTATTTGAGTGAGATTGAGCTTTGGATTCAAGGTGTCGATTTTCCTCACTACAACCACTTGCATGAAAAGCTCAATTTCAGTCAAACAAGAATGGCTTCAGTAGAGTAAAAATCGTCGATCTGGAAGATTGAGATTTGGAGAAGAGGGCTTTTTTGATTTTTTGATTTTTTTTTTTTTTTTTTGCGGTGACCCGAAAACCCGCCCACCCGCTGCGGATATATCCGCCTAAACCGCAAGCCGAAATCGGGTTAGACCGCGCGGCCCACTAATTTTCAAGTTTGAAAATGCCGGCCCGAACCCACCCCGTAGCAAGCCTAAACGGGCCTAACCCGCAGACCGCGGACCATATTGACATCTCTAGTTAAAATGTTATGTCACTGCATCAAATTACTCAAAGATCAAAGTCAAAGGTTTAACATAATAAGCAAACCTTGCTGCCTCATTTTCCTCCATTTTATACGGGTTATCCAAAACTTCTCAATATTTTCAGAATAACTTGTAGAATTACACATACATACTGTATCTTCGTTTAATTTATCATGAAAAAGAATATTAAAGCTCCGGTTTTAGTGTGGATAAATAAAACGTGTTGTCCACCCGCCAATTACACAACCTTTGATTCCATTTACACTTTAGCCTTTTCACACACATCATTATATTTTCTCTCATCCAATCAAAATCCTCAATTGGTCAAATAGTTTTGGCTTGACCCGATCTAAAACCCGCTTGACCCGACCCGACTCACCTGCTTCTTCTTCCCTATTTCTCCCAACTAACACACGCCCCTGATCCTAACCGGAGAGGACTTTTTCCACCATTTTCAACACATTTATGATCATTTCGTCGTCCTCAACATCACATCATAATCCCTCTTTGTCTGCTCGATTCCTGATCTCTAGAGGGTTTTTGGGCTCTAGAGGCGAAAGGGGGTTGTGTGTGTGTGTTTGAGAATCGAGGATTGCGTTTGCTCGCAGACTCGAAACTATGGCGGTTTCTTATGCCTTTGCTATTGGCACGAAGCTGGAGACTTTGCTAACGAATCAACACAATCCGTCCTCTTCTCCGGCGCCGTTGGGTCTGAATCTGATTGGGACTCGTTCTCTTCCGATGAACAATAACACAAGGCGAGGTCTGATCCAGAGAGCGCGTTGCGAGATTTCTCCCTCCAAGGCAGCTAGCATCTCTGCTCTCGAGCAGCTCAAGACTTCTGCAATCGACAGTACGAATTTTCCGCCCTTTTTTGTTTTCCTGGGTTTCTTCAAAATGTTTCGAATTTTCCAGTTTTCGTTTGTTCTGCATCCTGATTGCATTTCGAATTCGTGATAGGCTTTCGTTAATTCCGTCTCTTTGTTTGCGAATTTTGTGAAATTGAACATTTTTGCCATCCTGTTATTGTTGCTTGGATCCGAAAAGCTTGCTGATAAATTCATGTTTGACGTAAAAGCAATCTTCTTCCGATATTTTGATCTCATAGCTAATTTTGCTTGCTTACTTAGATTTGTGGGGAAGATTGTATTCCTTCTTGAAGTTTTGTAGCTCTGTTTTACCGAACTCTTTCCTCTACCAGGGTACACAAAGGAAAGAAGTAGCATTGTGATGATTGGGCTTAGCATACACACAGCTCCTGTAGAGATGCGTGAGAAGCTTGCGATTCCAGAAGCTGAGTGGCCACGAGCTATCGCCGAGCTGTGCGGTTTGAACCATATCGAAGAAGCTGCTGTGCTCAGTACCTGCAACCGTATGGAGATTTATGTTTTGGCTCTATCTCAGCAACGTGGAGTCAAAGAAGTCACTGAATGGATGTCTAAGGTATTGTTTACCCCTTTCCCATGTTTTGGCTCTTCTCCTTGTGTTTGATGAAATGCTGAGATAATGCTCTTTCTTTTGCTAGACAAGTGGAATCCCAGTTTCGGAGATCTGTCAGCACCGGTTTCTGCTGTACAACAAGGAAGTCACACAGCATTTGTTTGAAGTCTCAGCTGGTCTGGACTCTCTTGTCCTAGGAGAAGGTCAGATACTTGCGCAGGTTAAACAAGTTGTGAAACTAGGTCAAGGGGTCAATGGATTTGGGAGGAACATCAGCGGGCTATTCAAACACGCAATCACTGCCGGGAAGCGTGCAAGAACAGAGACGAATATCGCTGCTGGAGCTGTTTCCGTCAGCTCTGCTGCGGTTGAGCTTGCTCTCATGAAGCTTCCGGAGTCTTTTTCGAATGCATCATCTGCTAGGATGTTGGTGGTTGGCGCAGGGAAGATGGGGAAGCTTGTGATTAAGCACTTGGTTGCTAAAGGTTGCACCAGAATGGTGGTTGTGAACCGAAGCGAAGAGAAAGTTGCAGCGATCCGCGAGGAGATGCCGTCTGGTGTTGAGATTATTTATAAACCACTCGATGAGATGCTAGCTTGTGCTGCAGAAGCTGATGTGGTTTTTACTAGCACAGCTTCAGAGGCACCGTTGTTCTTGAAGGAGCATGTAGAGATTCTCCCTCCTGTTGCGGATGTGAGGCTCTTTGTTGATATCTCTGTTCCTAGAAACGTTGGGTCTTGTGTGGCTGAATTAGACGGTGCGCGGGTTTACAACGTGGATGACCTCAAGGAAGTCGTTGCTGCCAATAAAGAAGACAGGATGAGGAAAGCAATGGAAGCTCAGGGGATAATTACAGAGGAATCAAAACAGTTTGAAGCGTGGAGGGATTCGCTGGAGACGGTTCCAACGATCAAGAAACTGAGGGAATATTGTGAGAGGATCAGAGCTTCTTTGGTTGAGAAATTCATGTCGAGAAACGGGGATGGCATGGACAAGAAGACGAAGAAAGCAGTGGAGGATCTAACGAGGAGTATAGTGAACAAGATCCTGCACGGTCCAATGCAACATTTGAGATGCGATGGGAGTGATAGCAGAACGCTGAGAGAGACGCTGGAGAACATGCAGGCTCTGAACAGAATGTATGGACTCGATGTTGAGATACTTGAGGAGAAGATTAGAGGAAAGATGGAACAAAAATAGAGAGTATTTATTTGTTGCATTCATTTTTTTTTTAGGTTCGTAGAGGTCAAAATGCACACGCCTTTGTAATATACAAACTTGAGTAGAGAGTGAAGACATAAATTGTTTCATTACGTTTGTGTTTTAAATTAATAAATAATACTCATAATTTACGTTTGTGTTTTATAGACATAATTTACGCTGGAGTATATACATCTTTTTTTGTTGGATTAATTTTTGTGATCGAAGATTCGAAAGAATAATACCCATAAAATGGAGAACAAGGGCGAAAGTGTATGAAGATGTTTTTAATTTTTATATACTATAGTGTTTGGTTCAGAAATAAAGAAATCTGGGACCCAATCGGTCAACGACTTCACGTAAAAATTGGAGCGTTTTGTAATTGTAAAGGTTCTGTTTATGCGAGAAATTCTGACTAAAATATTTCCACATGTGGAGAAGAAATTTCGACATGTATTTCACGATAAACTATCTTCTAAACAATGACTGAAATGCAAAGTTTCAAAGCTAAACGAGTAAAGACTTATCAGTGTTTGAGAAAATAAGAAAACGAGTATGACCTTCCAGACTTCCAGTACAAGGCGATACATATTAACATTTTCTCTTGGAGTTGTACGATGTCTTTTGTCTCCTTCTGTTTTTCTTTTTCTACGTGTTTCGATCCATATTTGGCTCTAATTAGATCCGCTAAGTCAAAATCGAAAAAAGATAATTATCGGTCACAACGTACAACCCAATATCTCGGTAATCCAAAAAATAAAAAATAAAAACTTACAACTTAACACAGTTATACGATAAAAAAAGGCACTAATCAAATCAATTTCAATAATATAATGGTTATATTACTACGCACACAAATTCAACTCGTCACGAGATACTGATATATTCATGATCATATATAGCTAGTTAATTTGTTTGTTTGTGCAGAAACAACTAGTTTTACATTAGTAAAACCAAGCGAAGAATAGTCAAAATTAAAGGTTTGACATGTAATTGCATGAAAGTTTACGTCAATTCGACTTCACCTACGTGGTACTCTTGGCTATTTTCAAGTATATAAAGAAATCAAAGAGAGCCCATCTATCTATATATATCATCCTCTAACTATAACCTTGAGATCAAAGAAAACCCCTTGAGATCTTAATACCTGCCAATACCTTCTCGTGAACAGGTTTGATCCAATACAGTTTTTTTTTTAGAATCTTTTAATTAACAATGCTCTGGAAAATAATATGTTTTCGTTAATGTTCTATATGCACATATATAAATTTACAATTAAATTATTAGTTGTTTCTTAAAGAAAATATTATAATGTACGTAGAAATGGATGCAAGATTCTTGTACCCCTTGGAGAGCTGTAAAATCATCCACTTGGTAAGTCACAATGATTAAACTGCACACAAGCCACTTTTAATATGACTTTGTTTTTCGTATTAATCATGTTTTTAATTCTTTTATTGAAGCTGAGACACGGACAAGCGTTGCACAATGTAGAAGCCGAGAACGATAGAAATGCATTGTTGTCTCCTCATCTTTTTGACGCTCCACTTACCGACTATGGTCACCAACAGGTAAACCATAAACTATAATCATTTTGACCTTAATACATAGATCAAAATCGCAGTCACAGACCCGTTCATGCACCTTTGCTTATTGTTGAGTTGTGGAGCGTAATGTCTCGAGTCCGTTGTCTGACCCCAAGACTTACATTGTTCGACTACTTAACGCATATGCTAGTGATGATATCCTTATTTACGTCATTTTTGATATACCGGTTTAGGATCTAAATCCTAACACTTATTGCTATGAATATGATCGTATTATATTCTTCTAATCCTTTCATGCTTCTCTAAAGGTTGAGAACCTCCGCGAACGCGTTGCTTTGAACGGGCTACTAAAGAGGGTGGAGCTAGTTGTAACTTCTCCCTTGTTGAGGTAATATATTTGCATAAAAGCAATGGAAACTTTAATTTTTTATTTTATTTTATTTGAATTTCTTTTTTGTATATATCGTCGTGACTTGGACTGATTAAGATTTTCGGTTTAAATATATTAGAACTATGCAGACCGCGGTTGGAGTTTTTGGAAATGAAAACGAACAACCAAATATGTCAAGCAGCCCTCCCATCTTGGCACTTGAGGTTGCTCGAGACCGTAATGTATGATTGATACATGTCTCATACTCTAATATATTCATCAGCGATTAAAACAAAACTCATGTTATCCAAATGTCGCAAATTTAAGTAAATAGTGTATTGATATATAAATATGTGTGTGTGCTCGCAGGGAGTTCGTCCTCCTGACATGAGAAGAAACGTGAGCGAATATCAAGCTCTTTTCCCTGACATTGATTTCTCTCAGGTAAAGATCTTCTTTCACTTTTCCTTCATTAGTCATATACTTGGAAAACTATAATCTATATAAAGATACATATAGCGAGTTCAGTAAAGATACATATAGCGAGTTCTCTAATATTTTGGATCATATTATAGATCGAAAGTGAAGAGGACAACCTGTGGAGACCCGATGTTCGAGAATCTGAAGAAGAGATTTCGGCGAGAGGGTTAGAGTTCATGAAATGGTAACCTTTCGAATCTAACTTTATGTAAGTATGAATGACATTATATCATATATCGTTAGAGAACTGATGAATTTTCTGTAATTAGGTTATGGAAGAGACCAGAGAAGGAGGTCGCAGTTGTGAGCCATGGCATAGTTTTGCAGCATATGCTGTACGTGTTCGCAAACGATTGTGACCAGTCAACTACACGTGAACTTTGCAAGAGGTTATAATTTATTTATGTTTTAAGAAACTGTTGCGATATGGATCAACTTGTTTGTATTATAGTTTTTTGATCAATAATATGTGTTATATGCTATCTTACAGGTTTGCTAATTGCGAAATTCGTACTGTCGTAATTGTAGACAAAGGGTTAGTAGGATATTAATTAATTTACTTAATTATTATTGTTATCCATTTCTTGACCTTTCATTAGTGTTGTTCTGCTTTTACTTTTCAGCCTGTGCTCGTCTACGGAGAAATGATTCCACAGAGAAAGTTTCAGAGAGTTTACGGAGTCGGAGTCTTTATGCAAAATCAACATTGAAGAAATTACCAATTATTTATTTTATTGTTTTATTCTTGAAGCTCAATATTATCCAGTTTGAGATTCTTCTACATTTGCGTACCCTCTCAAGTCTCATCTACTATTCGTTTTCTGTAATTTCTTAGGAACTGTATTAAATCAATGGAACATATGAAACTTTTATATGATATGGTATTTATTTAAGTATAAAACTACAAAGACCTATTGGCTAATGGTTACAAACTTACAAAGTTACAGAGATGAATCGTGTGTGAGGTATTCTCAATGGAGTGTAGAACACGCTTTTCTTATGTAATTTGCATCTTGTAAGTTGTAAGCAAAAAAGGTAAGTTGATCACTGGTACTAGTGAGAAGAAAAGTGAAGATCGTTTTTTCTAAAAAAAACTAGCTGTATATTGTGTGTGTTTGTTTTATATAAAGTTTTCCAACATTAATTAGTGTTATATATTATAGTAAAACAAAAACAATACCAGATTAACCTAAAATTATACTATTTCACATGGGTTTAATTTATTTATTTGATGAAAATTGAAAATACATGGCATTATATCTGGTAAACTAAAAAATTATTATGTTATACACTTATACTATCCACTATACGCTTTAATGATTCCCAATATGGAATTCTCTAAGTATATAATAAAATACGGAAAAGGGAATATTGAAACGAATGGTGTACGTTTGGTAGACCCACCCACACCCACTCAGCACGGCATGAACGCGTTGACGTGAGACTTACGCTTTCCACTAGTTAAAGAGGCAAACTTTTTTGGACAAAAAAAAAGGCAATTTAGACTTCAATTGCTACGAAGATGCTTCACGCTGGTTTCGATGAAAGTGGGGGGAAGGAATTTATACGGTAAGTGCGTGTATATATACAAGCATAATATAAACATGTATGGAAGAAGACGAAGATGAATGAGAAGAAATAACCACCATATATATTGGTTTTGTAAATATAGGGTACTGTAGAGGGGTCGTCTTGAGAGGTGAGTACATGGATTTATGTGGAGGTCAGACGCTGCGCCTTTCATCGCCTAACTCCAAAATCCTTCACTTGGTTAGTCTCACATTTGTTTTTTATCAATCGGAAAATGTTTGCAATAGGTTACCCTAAGGGTTGTGCGTGTGTGGCCATTAAATATGAAAGACTAAATTTAGAACTATATATAATATCAACATTTATAAACTCCGAGTTTTCGCAACATAATGATAAAGGGACGGAAATTTCGCAATCTTGACAAACGAATATGAGATTGCAAGTAAAGGTAAAGGTAAAAGCACACATATATACATTCTAATATGTGTTGGACCGGAAATGAATAAAGGTGAGGCATGCACAAGGAATCCACAATGTAGCATTAGAAGAGAACGGAGCAACTCCTTTATCAAACAAGCTTTTTGATGCCCATCTCTCTACTAAGGGTCACCAGCAGGTGGGATAATTACTTCTATTAGGGTTTGATACCTTGACAGGCACTCTTGTATATATAAAGAGTATAAATATGAAACTTGATAATTTCTTAGGTTTCTCAACGGGGCAAGGAAATCCTTGAATCGGGATTACTAAACACTATCGAGTTAGTGATTACCTCTCCTCTGAGCAGGTACTACCACTGCACCTATTAGTTTTTCTTTTGTTAGGTATTTTTAGGTAGAAGCTTCCAAAACGTAGGTTTTAAGTTAAAGAATTGGTAAACGTTCTAAACTCGCATGCACAGCGGACCCACTTAAAATATAAATGTTATATATTACTCATTCAAAGAAGTAAATAAGAAAAAACTACTGAAAGTATTTAAAAATTTGCTGATTGACCCACAAAACTCAAACATGGTGAGTAGGAGTTGGAGTTTCTATGACCCGATAGTTCCTTTACCCAACCAACTTGTCGAAGTCGATGAAAGATCTTAATCCACTATGAAATGGGTTAAATGGGGCGGGTTAGTCTGGCTTGACACGATAATAGTAACACAATCCATTCAATTTCAGGGCAATGCAAACTTCAACTGGATTATTTAGGGGGCAAGAAGCTACAAATCGATTCGAAAACTTTCAAATAGCTCACAACTTCCCTCCAATTGTCGCCCTTGAGATTTGTAGAGAACGCATGGTGATATTCATTTATTTTCTTTAAGAAATTTAACAAGTCATTCTCTGAACTTGAGAGCTCAGATAATCACGGAGTAGAATCATATGGCTCAGTTATAAAAAAAACTAATGACATATCGTATCACATCTCCCATGATTCTAGTGACAAGATACGATATATCAATCACACTTGAATGTAAAGTGATTCTCCGTGTATTGTTTTAGGAATGTGCATATGTCCTTATCGCTATATATACTCTTGTATTGACCTTTGTGAAGATTATCAGAAAATATTTTCTCCATTGTCGATCTAAACTTTACTTTATGGTATCAGAGCACGAAAAATAAAAACCGATTGTTTTCTTTGATCTCTTCTCTTCTTCTTCGATTTCTTCTCTATTTTTCTGAAACGAATCACTTTCACGATGTCTGAAACAAACAACGGTGTTGTGAATGGTGCTACGGTGAACACGAACACGGTGGAAACAAGGCGAACGATTTCGCCGTACGACCTCACTGCCGCCGACAATCCAGGCGCTGTGATATCTCATCCCTTACTCAAGGGATCGAACTATGACGAATGGGCTTGCGGGATGAAAACAGCTCTCTGTTCTCGTAAGAAGTTTGGATTCCTCGATGGATCCATTCCTCGACCAGCCGAAGGGTCAACTGACTTGGAGGATTGGTGGACGATTCAAGCTTTGCTTGTCTCGTGGATCAAGATGACGATAGACTCGTCACTTCGTTCGAACATCTCCCATAGAGATGTGGCCAAAGACTTGTGGGACAACTTGAAGAAACGCTTCTCGGTTACTAATGGTCCAAGAATTCAACAACTCAAGGCGGAGTTGGCATGTTGCAAGCAACGTGGTCTTGCCATTGAAGCATACTTTGGCAAGTTGAATCGGATTTGGGATAGCATGGCTCAATACAGACCATTACGTGTTTGTAAGTGTGGCAAATGTGAATGTGATCTTGCTACAGCTCAAGAGCAGGATCGTGAAGCTGAAAAAGTCCATGAGTTTCTCTTTGGACTAGATGATAACTATCGCACTGTGCGATCAACTCTGGTTTCTCGGACTCCTCTTCAGCCTTTGGAGGAGGTTTACAACATTGTGCGCCAGGAGGAGGATCTTAAAACCACAGTTCGCCACAGTGAAGAGATGCCAGAAGTGACGGCTCATGCA